CGACTCGCAGGCGCCGATACCAATACCGAACGGTAATGGACACGGGAATGGACATGGACACCCCCAGCGCGATGAACAGCTTGGGCAGAAGAAGGAGCTGTTGCAGCTCGGTCATCAGCTGTTGGAGGAGACCAAGGATATGCTTGAACAGAATCCACACATTATCAGGAAAGAGTCGCTGAAGAAGTATAGGAAGCAGGCTGCAAAGTGAGTGAAGACTTGCACTGAAGATGTGTTGCTCATCAGGCCTGCAGGTTGACGAAGAGCGCACCGTCCAAGGGGAAGCTGCCCAAGAAGACTCTGGACGATGTGGCGATGTTCCAAGAGAATGCGAGAGCCTTGCACCACGAAGTAGAGGTACGTCGGATGCTCTTTTTGCTGCTCAACTACTCTGACTTAAAAGTCAGAACATCCTTCGAGAATTTGACCACCGACCCAATGATTATGACACCCCACAACCGCCGCACCCACAGGACATTCAGCGGGGCCATTCCGAGTCACCCCCTCCCCTCCCGCGGAAACCCCCGTCGCCCAGGGTGCAATTCAACACGGAAATGAAGCCAGACCCGCACATGTCTTCCGCTAATCTATCGCGGAAAGAATCATCCAGGCGAGGGCACGAGCAGCTGCAGGCTGTGGATATGGCACGGCAGCCTTCGTCATCTCGCCACCGCGACAAGGAAGCCGAGATGATGGCACGCCCGTCTTCCCAGGTGCGTTTTAGTGTTCGCTTCGAGATCAGGCCATATTTAACTGTTGTTTTTCTGTGCAGAGGCCCCCCGAAAGAAGCCGATCCACGAAGCACGACTATGATCGTCGAGACGATGATCGCTACAGGTCCCGCAACGAAATCAAGCGTTCAGAAACCACCCGTTACACGTCAGACGTGAGTCCAGGCTGTAAAGTACACATAAAGCAGCACCCTCATTACGAGTTTAGCGCTATCGTGATCAAAGTCGGGACGACCCTTACTACAGAGATAGGGATAAAGAGTACCGGTCCTCACATACGCGCCATCGCTCGGACACAAGAGACTACAGCAGGGACTACTACGACAGCCGCTCGAGGCGATATGATGACCGCGACCGGGACAGAGATAGGGATCGCGGCGACCGCGACCGTGAACGAAGCAGACGCGACGCAGCTCCTGGCTCCTCTCGGCCCGCTGATCCGCCGCTGCGTGTCGTTCACGAGGATGCACCGCTCTCTTCCCATGGCGCATCGGGCAGCGGGGTGCCGTTTACGCCTACGTATGTCGACTACCCCCGCGAGCGGGATCGCGACAGAGACAGGGATCGTGAGCGCCGGCGAGAGCGCGACGACTACGACCGCGGGCATAGGGACGACCACTACAAGTCCTCCTCGAGGCGGGATCGAGACCGCGACAAGGACCGCTACTATGAGGATAAGTATGGCAGGTCGAGGAGATACGATGACGAGTATCGGTCTTCGGGCAAGCATCGCGAGTATGATGACAGAGACAGGGAAAGGCGACGAGAGAAAGACAGGGACAGGGACAGGGATAGAGACAGGGATAAGGATCGAGACAGAGACAGGGATAGGGATCGGGATCGACATCGTTCTGCTCCTGCGCCTGCGCCTGCAGGTGACGAACTCCCAGCGGACGGCGACCCGTCTAGATCCAAGTTCCAGGAAGTCTTCTCGCCGCCTGAAAACGCTGGTGGCGGCCTGCCTCCTCCCGAAGAACATCGTGATTGAATCAACAACATCTACATCAACGTCTGTACACCCTCGACATGCCCTGTTAGAATGTACGCTGGGATAGTCCAACACCGACAGAAAAGCAACGACAGACCTTACATTACTCTGCCGCTCTGCCGTTTTCTTCAACACCAACTACGTCCTCCCCTCTCTATTCATCCTTTATTGCTATCCAATTTTGCCGTTATTTATGATATCCTCTATATGCTGCTTGTGCCCTTGTATGTACGATTTCTCTGTCGATTTACCGTAGTCAAGCCTTTCTTTGTGTTTCTGTAATTATTGTACTGAGTAAACATGGTTTTGGCAATGCGAAGACCCCGGCGAAACCTCTAGCACTCGCGGGCGCTAGCTAATAAGATTGCTGGGCGTAGCTTCTCCAAACCAGAAGGACACAGTGATGAGGACGCATTCTTGCTCGTTGTGCCAGGCTGGGACTACAAGACTGTTACCCTGGCTGATTGTCTCTCCTCGCAGCTGGAATTTATACATTGACCAGATTTGATTTCACAAATCAGCAGAGATCGTATCCGACTCGGAAGGACCTTGAGAATTGAGAAAACATCCATTATCTACAAGTTATCCTAATGATACTCTCAAGAGCTATCCGAGAGGAACTCATGTCCTGATTTCGAATGGACCTCTGAAACATGGGAGCCAAAGTCCAAATGGGCAATACCTAACTAACTCGCCGCTGCATTAGACACCGCGAAATTTCGAAAATACTCGGCGTCTCTGTTTGTAGCCACTCGTCGTACAGCATAGTTACCATCCTCCGAACTTCGGAGAAGAAAATGCAGTGGACGTCTGGAGTCAAGCGTATCGAGCTCGTAGGAACAGTGCACAAAGGTTGAGAAGCGCCACGCTTGGGCCGATCAGGCCATGGGCAATGCGCGCCAAGCGCAAGCCGGAGGAGCAGATCACGCGGCCGCGTGGTGCGCGATGGCCCGCGGAAGCTGCCGAAGCATTCAGATGCCACCTAAAAAGGCTATTTGTGCAAGCACGCCACAGCTCCGGCGAAGTGCTTTGGATTTGTTATTACAAGCTCGCCCTGTCGTCGTCAACGCAAAAAATTCTCCACTCGGAGAAATTCGGGGAGAAATTGCCCCCCCCTCACGCCGGGCTTACCGCGTTCCAACCGGCGTCCGGAGCGGTTTAGGCGCGGCATGTCCTCCATTCTATGCTCCCGCATAGCAAGATACTTTACAAGAGTAAGTGAGGATGTTGAGTCATCCCTTCAAGCCAAGCGTAGAATCATCATTATGTCCTATAAACTTAAAAGCCATGTTAGAAGTGTTATGTGTACTCAAAATTGAAGGTATTCCACCTTACATGTCACGTTTAGCACAGAAAGCCACAGCGACAGGAGGTTGCCACTCGCCGGCATCTTACCGCCGTCCCATCTCTGAAGCTGAGTCCCTATCTCTTGGCCGAGGATCGCTATGAGTCAGGATGGCCCAACCTCAGGCTTCCAATCCAAACGAACGAAGTAGAGCATTACGACCCAGTGTACGGATGTTCGGAACGTCCATATGAAATACCTCCGGTCTATTAGAAAAATGGTCGGTGGTGACAAATGGGGAAACTTCACCTCTGCCATTGTTCAAGGTGCAGGATTTGATCTAGCCGAGGCCTAAAGGGGAGTACGCGCCTGAACCCTGAACGCGTCCGTCCAGATTCTATCGAGCATCTACGGTGCTCGGAAACAGGAACCGGACTCCCTTGGGATATAAAATGGGGGGTCAGAAACGAACTACGAGTCCAAAAACCTCTCAAGGTCCCAACCATAACGGCCCCTCCCCAATCTCCCCAACTTCGACCAAGCCCAATCGATATGTCGACTATCCTCCCCCAGCCACTTCCCCTCTTCGGAATACCTCTTTACATGAATTACAATGACGGACTCACGTACGGCTACGACTGTACGCTCAACCGCTACAGCCCGCTCAGCCCTCCCCAAGTGCAATTTATTCAGGAAAAGTAAGCAGCACCTTATCCAATTGGCGCGTCATGGTGCTGAGACTCCTCCCTCATGTAGCTATCTGTTCGACGCACTAAATTGCAACTTTATCGAACCAGAACCGGTGTGGTTCAAAGACCCACAGGAACCCATGTATGTTTCTACTTATTTAAATCATCTCACAAAACTCAAGTTCACCCCTTGCTCAAGATTTTATCAACGATTCGCTGCCTTCCTTCAAAATGTGTCTCCCTTATGTCGCATACTGCAACCCACGACGGGACCTTCCACGAGTAGCGCACTGGCCCCGACGTCAAGGCAGAACATCCCTGGGCCCTCGACGACGACGAGAAAGACGAAGACGCGCCGTGCGGCAGGGAAGGCGGAAATTGTCGGTGCACCAACGGTTCCCCTGGCTCGCAGGAAGGGCCGACGGACCCCGACGCAGGACAAGGACCCCCAGGAGTGGCCGCTACTTTGCCCGATTGCTGGATGCCCCCAGCGTACCAGGGACAGGAGGGACATGAAGAGACACCTAGACTCAGAGAAACACAAAGAGAAGGGTTTCTCTTGCGAACCCTATGGCTGCAACTGCGGCCGGAGGTTCACCAGAGATGATGCCGTGAAGAGGCATGTGAAGAACAAGGGCTTCATCGTTTGATTACCTCCGGGTCAAGACCAATCGAATAGATATACGTTGCATCTTCTTACCCGTCTTAATTTTTGTTGTGCCACCTCCGGACTCTTCACCTTTCTTGTTTTCCTTTTGCTTATCTCCCTGGTTTTACCCCTGGACTCGTACCATACCTGTTGTAATTAAATGTCTTTGTACCGCAGGCCTCAATCATCTGCTTGCGCCACCCTTCTTTGTGATGGTCTGACGCTATCGTCGCGGAGAGCGGTGGTTAATTTAACCATCCCTTCGAACATATGCCACTCTTCTTTGTCACTGAAAGATATAAGTACATGTCGAAAAACGAGGACTGGGAACTGCGCAGCTGCACCCCGTCTCCCACCCTCCAGTCTCCTAATCCGAAGAGTCCCAAATTAAATGGTAGCCCCTCTGGTATGCCTCCGTATATTTATCGGCTTCGAGTCTGCACTGACTACTTTATTGAAGCCAGCGATCATTAGCGCTGGTGCAGTCCAGCTTCTCTACCGTTTCGCCGAGGATGGCGATGTTGTGTCTGGACCGCACGTGTCCTCCGGGACCTTTCGACGGGGGCGCTCTTCCAGTGGGACAGCCATCTGGGACAAATGTTTCCCTGTATACAACGAACAATGGGAACATCTAGTTCAGAACTCGTGAGCTCTTCTACGAATTTATGGCAGCAAGCGCACTGACTGAGACTCTTCTAGCGTCTTGTATGTGATGACGGATTTTATTTTTCGCCCTATGCCACCTAGTTCGAACTGGGAACACACGTACGTCCTCAATATTAATCAAAAGAGCTCCCGCTGATAATTTGTACTTGGTAGTTCCACCGCTGTCCCAACTGCGTCCCCCTTCCAGCAGCCATTGACCACCACTTCAACATTCTCCTTTGCGATGCCCCAAAGGTCGTATATCCTTCAAGAGTGGCCGCTCCTTTGTCCAATTGCTGGATGCGACCAGCGTACCAGGGACAGGAGGGACATGAAGAGACACCTGGAGTCAGAGAAGCACAAAGAGAAGAGTTTCTCTTGTGATCCCTATGTGGGCAAGTGCGGCAAGAGGCTCACTAGAACAGATGGTGCAAAGAGGCATGCGAAGCACCAAGATTTCGACTTCTGATCCCCTCTGTGTCAAAGCCAATTGAGTAGACGTATGTAGCATCTCTCTTATCCTAAAATTTGTTATAGCGGCTTGCCTTTTTTTCTTTGCCTGGACTCGGGCTAACGATATCCGTTGTAACGTCTTCGAGCTATTAATTCTTCAATTCTTGGTCTATCTATCCTCCTTGGTATAATGTGATAGACATCACAATGCCCTTTTTGACGATAATGTCCTCGAACAAGGCATATTTCACCTTTGTCACACTAAGAGACGTTTAGGCGCTCATCGTTTGCGTGGGAAATTATGAACTCGGAAGAGACCGACGCGAAACAAGCCTCATCATAGCTCCAGGTCCGTTTCCTTCCTTACCCCTGAACATGGAACGTGAATGCCTGACCAATTTGAATTCTCATTAACCCTTGGGTGGAAACATCCAGCAAGAAATTTAGAATTCGGGAGCATCACAAAACCCCGTCGCTGCGAATGGCGCATTGGCCCAGATCTCTCTTCTGGAAACCATTCGGGTTCGGCAAAATGTCCTGCGATTAAGCGTCGTAAGTGTGTATCATTGGGAAGGGTAAGCTAACTTACATATTCGAATATTCCAGTGGGGATGGCAAGGGTGACGCAGGCATTTGGAGAGTCCTGATAGACGTAGAAGGTCAGATGAGACCGATGATTGAGCGTGCAGGTCGGATTCTTACGACGACCGCGCCAACATGGCTTTCAACGGGGGCCGCAGACAGCAACAGATCTGTGTCGAAGGTCAATATATGAGCTTAATCCGCGTAGTATAGTCGCACAAGCTTGTTCGCGAGCTGAAAATTTAATTTCACTAAGTAAGAAGGTCCTTCGGTGATCAAAAAATGGACTTACTGTAGCCAATCTATGAGACGGAAATCAGTTCCTAGAAGAATGCAAGCATTCAATATAGGCTACGAACCTTCATAAGGTACGCAATCGCATTGAGCGCTGCCTGCTTGTAGGCCACCGTGCTGCAACACCGTTAATTACAGTCAGCGCGCGCACAGATGACGCACGCATCCATGTTGTATTGCTTCCCGTCTCCGTCTACCATTGGTATTTTAGAGGGACATTCAACCAGGATGCAAGTGACTCACGTATATCAACGCTTAAACCTTCGAAAACTATCTGGCAGCGAAGATTGGGGATTGCACTATACACTCTTGCACGTAAGGAATACCTTTTGGGAATACATTGGGTCGATGGGAGAAGGCTACGACAAGGGATCAGCGATGTCATGAGGACCCTGATCACTTGCTTCTTACGACGAAGATGGGCTGCTTCAGTGCAAATTTCTCCACTCCTCCTTTGATGATACTGGTGCTGAAGGTGATAATACCAGCCTAGATATTGATGAGTCAAGACCGTACAAGGAACGACACCGCAATGCACCATTTCGATTGCCCCACAAAAAGACATCTATGAACAGAAGACCTTAGATCTACTAGCGAGAAATGGCTGCAAATGCGAACCTCTCCCTAAGTTTTTGTGAGCCACGGCATCGAGAACAGCAGTAAAGAACGTACATCTCCTTGCGAGAAATGCAAATCCCCGACTGAAAGATTGGCACCCTCGACGAACACCGGGAAGTAGCACCGAGAACCCCGAGACAAGTTCTTGATCTGCACAAAGTTCCTTGTTATTCTTAGAAGGGGAGAAACGTTGAGGATCAAAACTGACATCGCAATTTCCACCATGCTCTCGTCCTGGAACCGTTCGAGCGCCCTCTTTCGCTATCTTTTCCATGACCTCTGGTGGTAGATCTTGGCCGACATACGCATTGACTGGCTCGGGTGGGAACGCCACAGGCGGAACAGATTCTCCGCAGGCAGTGATAAGCTCGCCCTCGCGCTTGTTCCACGTCGCCAGCAATTCTGCAGATGGAGCCGTACCGATCAGACCTGGATGAGTCACCCCAGCGAAGCGGACGCCTGGGATGTGTCTAGAAGTCGCGTAAATACCTGTGTATATTGTCAAGAGAGTAAAGCAAAGACGTGGTGGCCTAAAATACCGTTGATGTCCCAAATAGCTTTCGCGGCTCTGCTCTTGAATTCCTTAGCGAAAAGGCCTCCGCCATTTTCAAGCTCAAAAATTCCCTGTAGAACCCTCTCGAGAAATTTGAAGATCGGCTAATAGACAAAGATTTTCTTACGGTGTAACCCCAGGGCATTTTGTCAAACGGTTTGACTGAAAAGAACAACTTGAGTCCTTGGTAGCAGCAAACCAAAATGGATAACTGACTGTCGAGAATGTCCACTACCAAGCAATCCCCAGGTTCGGCGCCTTCAACTGCAATCGGTCCAGAGAGATAGTGAATTTTTGTCAGGTCGATATTCTTCACATCATCGCTACCTTTGCGTAAAATGATTTTTTAGACGGATCATTGCTCGAGAGGACCAGGGAAACTCACAATCGTTGTTGCCAATCTGCGCTCCAGTCCAATCTGAACAATATCTTCAGGACTGAAATTCTGTGTCCCGCTGGTCCACTTTTGTCTTACCAACGCATTCAATCTTGAAAGTCTACGAGAAAGTGATCGTCATTAAGAAAAGAATCTGGTTGAGACCGGACAGACATATGTACCTGTCCAGGCTTGACGGTAGCAACGGGTGGGATGTCGGGGCTAACAAGAGGTCAACTCGAGCGGATACAGTGACGAGCAACAGGCATACTGCCAACGGTTGTGTATGCCCTAATGCAGAGGACTTAGAGCTATCTCTCTGAACTTTCCGAAATTTGCACTCACCTTCTGCTTCGCCGCAGGGCTACAGCACGCTTTCCGTCAAATTTTCACAATGGTGCTCGAGGTTGAGATTTGCTTACACGAAAGGGTCAACCTTAAGCCAAAGGTCAGTGATTGTTCGCAGTGATGGGTAGAGGGCTTACAGAAATCAGGGTAGGATGGGGGATAGAATTAGCTTCGGTGGCCATTCCAGTTTCGCCGTCGTCTTGCTCTGACGGAGTCGTCTGGGAAATAAGAAGATAAGTAGGCCGAAGGACTCTGATGTTCTCGGAGGGCCTTTATATATGGGGTGTATTGATAGATAAGACGCTTTCGGAATAGGCTCCCTGGGAGAACGCCTGCCGCACAAGGTACTGCTGAGAGATAAGATGGAGATTAGAAACCAAATACTATGCCGACGGTCCAGGAAGCTTGATATTGGAGCCAGAGGCCATATGACGAAGGACCGATCACGAGTGGTGTTGAGTGAGAAATGTTCAAAGTTGTTGTGTGGACTGTCCAATTGCGATCGTCTTCCAGGGCTTTCAGGCAGAAGTTGATCAATAATCACGAATGGAAGAGGGCAAACGTCATATAATAATACATCCTTTGATGATACGGAGTCGAGCCTCGAGAGACGGCAATACTTATAACAGAAGAGAAGAAAGCAGTCAAAAGTCAACGCATGACACAAATACAAAAACAGAAAGTGGAGGTTACGGCACCTCCATCGAACGGAAATTCATCAACATTGGTCCCAGCCCTAATCCTTCTTCACGACATATCTCTCCCAACTCGGGTAATTCGTACACTCAGCTCTCATCTTCTCGAGCTCCTTGGTCTTTCGAGTGCGTATCGCACCCGCCTTCTCTTTCCCATGCCGGCTTGCTTTGGGCGGCGGTAGTTGCGGCTCGTTTAGACTGCTGGTGTTCAGACCACTGAACTTCCGCCCCGTACCACTCGAATCAGCTGGCGAGAGCAGGACAATCTTCAGCTTCCTATCGTCCGACCGGAGCTTCGTAAATGGGGGCTGTTTGATGGGTTTCGGTTTGGGTATGCCTAGGCGTCGCAGAGTTTCTGCATTAGGCTCGATTTTCATTGAAGGAGGGCTCTTGGAGGAGGACGGGTTAGTAGTGGTACCCGACAGGTTTTTGTCGTCAGCCATAGATATTAGTGAGGCAAGCTCGGCCAACGCTTCCAGATTGTTAGGTTGCAGTCGGAGTACGGCGCGGAGATCTGGAAATTCTTTGAGATACAAAAAGCGCGAGACAATAATACGTACCTTGGATGGCTTCATCTGGCCGTCCAAGCATCTTTCGGGCCCTGGCCCGACGGTATAGACCCTTGCTACTTCGATGCTGCTGAAGAGCTTTAGTGCATGCCTTTTCGGCTTCAATCCAACTTTCAACTGTGTCAGAAAAGCATATTTGCTACGTATATGCGCTTACTTGTTCAGTTTAAGGTGGGCAGCGGCAAGGTTAAGCTGGTAATGCGGCACTTCCGATTCAATCTCGTGGGCACTTTCATACAGCTGAATCGCAACCAGGTAGTCGCCTATGCGGAACGCAGCATTACCCTACGTTTCAAGAGGTTATCCACGTGGCAGGTTCGTAATTGTGAATAAGCGCATACCCGTTCTTTCTCTCGCTCGGCCTTCAAATACCGCCACTCCATCATCTCCCCGATGGTCATCTCCGAATCTGGCCCTCCACACTCCTCCGGGTCCAGACCACCGAAATCCAGGTCGACCTCCCATATGTCTTCCTCTTCCTCCGTCTCCCAACCGAGAATACCACTTCCTCGCCCGTCCCACTCCCTCTGCTTCCCAGGCCGGACACCGTTCTCTTCTTCGTCCTCTCTCACAGTCCGCTCGCAAACTTCTCCAAGGTGGTCCGTCGAGCATCCGCAATCGCACCATTTCGTGGTTAACTTCTCTCGCAGAACTAACCCATATCCTCGCACGTCGAATTCGCGTGCGACTCGCCAGAGCGTTTGCGAGAGTCTCTCGTAGCCGTGGCGAATTTTTGCCTTCCAATCGCCTTCCCACTCCGGATGACCTGGTGCAAGTTCGTGCATCCAGCCGAACTTCAGCTCGCAGGCGTCTTCTAGGGCTTCCTGTCCTTCTTGCAAAGAACCCAAATACGGTGGCTTGGTAAAAATAGGCGGTCCCATAGCTTCGAGCGTGTCGAGATGAGCTTTGAGTGCCGGATAGTAAGGTAGAAGGCGGAGAGAATGTAGTCCGAGCTTGTTGCAAATGGACACGTTGTTGGACATTGCCTTGAAGTCAGGTTTACTGAACAAAGTCTTATAGAACAGAAATAATAATCACATACAAAATGGCGAAGAGCCGTATAAGACCACAAGACACTCTTCGTGGCGACCCTCTCTCCTGCCTGTCGCATATCCATGCTAATGGCAGCACGGAAAAAATCCTTGATCTCCTCGGAATCGTGATTGAATGCTAGCCACCCGGGCCCTCCGAGGGTTACGCATCGCATGACCAACGTCGGTAGATGAACGAGGGCGACGCTATACAGGCGCGTGGAATAGAGGCGGGCAATATCTTGTTCGTACCGTAGGAGAAACAGGCGGGCAATCGCGTGCTCGAGTTGGGAGACGGCAGACATTGCCTGGTTGAGGCTACGATCGATGTGTGGATTGAGCGGGCGAGGGTGGTATGTCTCCTTGATGATATGGTGGCCATTTGGACTATTCTTCTCTTTCTTCAATAGCCCAGAGGCGGATCGCTTCTTGACATGAGAGTATTTAGCTGGCATAGTGGATACGCAAGCTTCTTGCAAATGCGGCCTTTAGAATGTAATTAAAGCCGTCTAGTCGAAACAGAATGGGATTTCGAGAGACCGTTTGCTGCAAGAATTCTGGGCATGCGTAGGAAATTGAAGAGTGCTTCAAGGAGGGTCTTGAGACAAGTAGACGCTGAGGATGGCACTCAGCCAAATTGGCGTGAACAAGGTAGACTAGACGCTCAACTCACCAGCCTAGGCGCCCGTTATTCAAGAGCAGCCTACGACCACAGCTGTTCCCTCTTCCTCGGAGGCTCTGGATCCGTCGAAAAGAAATACAGCCCAGTCCTATGGATCAGAGAGGTCAAAATCCATGTTGATAACCCGCAGTCCCACTCCATTCAGCTGTCCAAACGCCGAAATTGTGGGATCGCGGTATTGAAGCAGTCTAGGAGACCTCAGGTCATGGACACAGACCATTGAGAGAGTCTCTGATGGACGATGAATGGGCGAACTGACCTCGTCGACTGTGGGTGTATCGATGTGGGAAGCGAAGGTGAGTGTTCGCCGTTGTTGACGGCCCTGAGAACAATGTTGGTCGTATTTGTACATCATGCCACCTCTTATAACCACACCCTCATCATCGCCTCGGGCCATAGCCACCGTGGCATCACTTGTGCCACCTTACTACATCTCTGTGGAGTTCCGGACGAGCTCGCTGTTTATGAAGATCGGAATTTCCTCCTCAAATCGTCGAAGTGACGCGAACTTCCAACATGAACATATGCTGGTTCAAAACCACCTCTAGCTCAGTTTCGATCGCATATATACCCTCAAAACTATCGACCAGCCTCACCAGTATTCTTAGGTGCTCGATCAATGATCTACACACCCTCGCACACTTTCATCGCTTGTTGGCCTAGGGAGCAAACTAACTTCAATTCTGGATGAATCGGCTCTGTCATGCGGCAGAGAAGTCGCTGTCGCAGATTCTGGTACGGACACCTCAAGCAATTGGACGAAGAGACCTCAATTGCAGGCGGACATGCCATAATCGGAGGAGAAGTCGTGCTGGCGTCTTCCAGGCGTCTTCGCTCTTGGAGCTTGGGCGCTCAATCTCCGTTGCTGAAATTCCTATCCTCTGCCAATCCATCTGCGGCATCTCCTACGGTACGGGTCCGTGAATAGAAGTTGAATGGTATTGCGACCTCCACGACCCTTAACGTGGAAGCATATGGAAGAAAGTCCATTATCGGGTGGGCTCCTCGGTGTGTTTTCGTATTTGACATTCCTCCTTGATCCACCGTTTTGAATCCCATCAGAACGCCTCGCGGTCGGCGAGTAGTACCCGTTACCTCATCGACCCCTTGTAGTCTTCATCAGGCCTCAGCCGTCCAGCATCATTCATTTGACTACCCTCGCATGCTAGTCTGGGAATTTCTAAACGCCCATATGACCAAATCCTTCATGACGCGTTTCCGTGCTTTGAGCGGGATGGCTGTGGGGGATCCAGTCCCTTTTCATGCGCATCATCGATGGTGCTTTTCAGCAGCCTTTCTGTGACCCATGTTCCATCTCAGTTGCGTACATATTTGTAGCCTTCTTGGTGCACTAATGCGCGGGTTAAATTGCAGTTAATCCGTCTGAATGAAAGTCGTCTTTTGGCCCGCCTTAACCCCAAGATTGTCGGCGTTGAAGACCCAGCCCTGTCGCTTCTCGTCTTCTGAATATTCAAATTCCTTCTCGCGTCCTCCCTCTGGTCGCTCAAGCCCAACTTAAGAGCTTCTGATTCAGCAATGGAGATGCCTCACTCCAATCTCGTGGTCTCGGCTGCTATTACAGTTGGATTCTCGGAAAATTGGGTGTTCGCTGCGTTGCGTCCATGATTTAAGGCTCCCTCGCGAGACTACAAGAGCCCTCTTTCGAGCCCAATTTCTCTGAACGCTCGTCGCTCCAGCAAGCCCCACATCCGATTGCCTCCGGCTGATCAAAATCAAATTCACGACCGATAAAAATAGACATCACAATTGGATCAAAAAGGAGGTTTTCAGGCACCCTCGAGGAAGGATCTTGCCGCCCAGGGTCATCCTCGTGAATATAAAAGTCTGTCCCCAACATTTTCCCCGCCTTTCGTCTCTCCAACGTTGTCAGACACCCCCACTTAACGACGGATTTTCCCGTCCCCCACATTCTTTATCCCAGTCACTCTTTTATCATCCAGAACGCGCTCGATCATGCGTTCAACTCTCGTTCAGACCCTGACGGCTTTCGCTTTCCTTGCGGTCTCCGTCAAAGCCCAAACACCTGCGTGCGTGTTCTTTTCTGTCACCAAGACACGGGGTTCTTATTGCTAAAGGTTATATTCGCCGTTCGATTAGTTTCCGCGGTGAACTGCTCTTGGAGCCTGGCATCAACAGTGGTGCGTTCTGCAATGATCATTATCCCTCCTTCGCGACCATAACACCCTCCGCTTCCTTCAGCAAAATGCTTGACTGCTGCCTCCAACAACGACGGTGCATTCGTCACCATTCAGCCGTGCAACGGTGGAGCGTCTCAAAAATGGACTTTCTCCGGCGGCAACATCAAGGTCTTTGGCAACAAGTGTCTCGACGCGACTGATGGCAGTACCACGGACGGCACGAAGATGCAGATCTGGTCTTGCGGAGGTAACAACCCCAACCAAGCGTTCAGCTACAGCGTCGTACGTGTTTCAAGTGTGGATGCCGTCTGATCAGGTTTCTGATTCTGAATTTTGTGGGCGCTGTGAATAGTGGGACAACCGCATTACTTGGGTCAATAAGGGCAAGTGCGTTGATCTCTCGGGGGGCAGACAAGATGATGGCAATCGTGTGCGTTCCTCCTTTCTCCTCAAATGGAAGTGTGCTGACTTCTCGACAATTCAACGATTAGATTCAAATATGGTCCTGCCGAACGAACAACATCAACCAAGTCTGGAAGGCCGGATACTCCGTCAACGCTCTTCCTCAGACCTCGCAAGATGAGCAATACGGTACCAACAACTGCGGCACGGGTTCCAGCCAGACCTCGAGATGCCAGACTGCTTGGATCAAGTGCGACGCCTTCTTGCTCGTAAAATCGAACCTCAACTGATGGAACCTGATTTCAAGCTCTGCGAGCGACTTCTGCCTTTGGGCTCCCCGTGAGTTTCTATCTACTAGGTTGCCTTGTAAGTGGGACATGAACCGACCACCTCGGAATTCGCAGCGTACCTCGGGAACGTCGGCGACACTGAGCGCATGGCCGTCGCCTTCTGCACCAAATCCGGCCGAGGCACACGCACCATACCCGACGGCACGTTGAAGGGCGTCCATTTCGTCAAGACTCCTGAATACGTCCAGGTCACAGGAGTGGGCAATTTCACCAACATCAACGTTCCTCGCGGTGATGATGGCGGCGAGCTTGACAACAGGGGTGCTGATGGTACGTTTAAGGGTTTCATATGTGGCCGAGGAGGATTCTAACACGTACTTTGATTCCAGGTCGCGGAAACCCGAGTGCGTGGTTAACACCACCGAGGTAGTAAATTTATGGTTGACCCGTTATGCGTTTATAGTTGGCGGTCTTCTCTACGGGAACAGCTTCGGCGCGAACCTCCAATACCACGAATGGACCAGCTTTATCTCCGACGACGAGTTCTGCATCCGTGCTTGCGTTGGAGCTCGCGCTACCGCCTTGTGCAACCATATATACGACATCATGGGCTGCTACTGGGTGCGGTCTTCGCCATTACACCCTTTCCTTTTCTAATTCATCCTGTCAGAACATCCCTGCTAACTATAATGCTAACCAATATGAAGATTGCGACGGCAATGCTGCGTAAGCTTTCTCGGCTCTCTCTTGAATGGGATTTCTAAATATTCCCTTCATAGCATCCCCATGGGCGTCTACGGCACTAGCACCTGGTACCAAGGCGTCAGCCCCACGCCTGCGCCACACCCCGCTCCGGCGTCCTCAAACTGCAGGCCTCTCCCTACCGTCTCTGTCTCTCCTGCACTCGCCCGCCGCGACAACGTGCTTAAGATGCGCGGTGCGCCTGCATTCCCTGGCGCAACTCCTGCTCCTTCTGTTTGAAAATCTCTCTTTCTCGAATCCTGAATGGAGTTTCGAATGAACGTTGCTTTCGCCTACATGTCTCATTTAAGCATGAACGCTTTGTTATCTCGATTATATAAAGTCATCTAATAATTCTGGACGGTCAGACTTTTTTATTCCAAGTTCTTCAGGGGCTACCGTCAGAGAGTGAGCCGGCAGGGCTTGATATGGAATCTATTTCCATGTTAAGACGGAACTCCAAGCAAACCCCAAGAGAAACTCGACACTCTCCAGGCAAACATTGTGCTAGTCCATACCCTCACACACGTCGCACCACTCTTGGTTTACAGCACCATCAAATACATAAGGTTGCACGACCACCAGAGGGAGCGTAGAGGAGCGTTGAGTCATTTGGTATTTTAAATCCAGTATTGGCTCAGAAATTCAGGCATTGACCCCCGGCGAACTTCTACGCTCGCGAGTTCCATGGATCCTCCGCGAAACTAAGCGAGTCTTCAGAGAAAGAACGGGCGAACACTATTGGATTTTGTCCCAAGGCACTGTGAGCGATTCGAGTGGGATGTCCTCCACTTCCCGCCTTCTTCAAATCGATAACCATGTGTGTTCCCTGCCAAGTGGGTGAGAACACAAAACAGCCGTTAATCGAAGTTATGTAGTTGACTATTTTTACTCTTACCACAAGTGAATACACTGTAGGCACCCATCTACGTCGTAGAGTTCTTGTCAGCGTTAGGTCTAGACGCCAATCAAGGAGACGTACGGCAATGCAAAAATCCCGAACTCACTATTCCTCCACGCAATAAGCACCGCGTTTACTATAAGAGTGACTGGGTTTTTTCAGGGATTTAATCCACGAATTCTCGTAAAGGGTAGAGCAGCGTACCAAGAATACTTTCAAATAACTTGATCAGACCGGACCAGATGATGGGTCAAGTCAAGTTTAGACGCTCACATGAAGAAGAACATGGCACCGTCTCGCATTAAGACGTTCAGGAGAGGAGACAGATATTTCAAGTCTTTGATCAAGTCTAGTTGGACTCTGCCATTATCGTCCTTCAGCGAATCCTTGAACTTGAACAGCGTGAAAGCGAAGAATACGACTTGAAATTTTCTACTTAAGATGACCGTTGTAGTCAAGAAAATCTCACTTACAGCCAACTGCGGCGCAAATACACCTAATTTGGACGGTAAATATTCATAAGCGCCTGTGTTTAGTCACAGGAGGCTCACCATGCGGCTAGCGAGTGAATGCTAACTGATATTGGGGACGTCAGGCATCCACGCCATCCCGGGATGGGAGGTTTGAAGGCTGCATTGGCCGTTTCACGACTGACGACCCAGCAGATATAAAACTCTACCTGTATGAAAATATCAATTTCTTCACTTGACGGATATTTTGAGTCCTGCTTACTCCAAATTCAGCTGGACGCGTACCCAGTATAAGCAAGTAAATCAAATTTACGGCCGCCGGGGCACACACCTAGACATAGGAGCGTGAAGAATATCAAAACTGCAGGAGAGAGCAGGATGAGACTTCAGCCTAACGGTTTGAAAGACTGAATTCCCTGACCTTTCCGGCTTCGGTGGTATAAAGCGTGAATGCGCATGATGAAGACAATGTTCACCATCGTGGTGAATGCTATAGAGCCACCTCTTGCCGAAAATAATAATAATGCCGCTTAGTGAAACCCGACATACGAAGCCAGATATAGGGGGGCTTACAATGATATGAAGCGGAAATAATTCTGGCAGCTGCGGGAGACGCATTAGTCTGGGAGACAATGCAGACCAATAGCCAGATTCTCCTTACAACTAGGACTTGATATTAGATTGTAACGAGAAATGAAGACAAAGCACTAACTTCTATGGAATGCCCAGGTGTTGCTAGAACTGAGTGACTCACATGAGTGTGAGGCTCGAAAACGGCCAAGCAGAGCAGTACTGACCACGCAAGGTCACCCTGGAGTAGATACCGTGTTAGTTCTCCCAAGGCATATGCGGAGAGAGCGATAAATCCATAGCTCACGCAATGAAAATGGAGGGGTAATACCGAGCGATTAAATAGAGCACCTTCGCGATGGACCATCGTTCACTGCCGCGAATGGATTATCAGATAACAGCCAAATCGGACATGGGAGAATAGCTTACCTCCAGATAAGTTCCACCTCGTCAACGATGGTCGTACAAATGTCGTACAGAAGGATGGTCAAAACTGCGGCTGGAAAAAAAAAAAAAAAAAAAAACGAGGGATGCCGTAAGCATATGTTTGCATTTCAGAAGATGTCCGCGCACCGTTCATGTAACCAGCATCCTCCGAGCGTTGAAACCCTGTCAGCAGCTTATGGACAACAGACGTGTCGCTGTCTGGAATGAGAGACATAGGTTGCGCGAAGTTCGATGGCGATCGAAGGCAATTAGCGGACGAGGGTACCTTCTGGAGGAACTATAAAAAGATGCATCTTAAGTAGAGGCTTGGATGGATAAAAAAAACGTTGCAGACGGCAGGCATCTAGAGCAATGACCGCAGCCTGCCGTAAGGACAAAGCCGTGATCGATGTCCAGGAACTGAGGTGGCGATGCGTCCCATGACCCATCGTGGAGGGAATCGGTGATCCCGGTTGTAGTTGACCCTGGGCGCTCGGAGGGTCAAGGAAAGCCGCAGTGTCTTCTTCTTCATCGAAGTGAAATTGCTCACCTCTCTTCCCGTTTCCGAGGACAAAAGCTCGCCTAAGGCTTGAGAGAACCTTCCTGCCTGAGACGAGTCCAGTCAGGGTTACCTGAGATCTCAATTGCTGCATTTATGCACGAAGGGGCGTTTGGTCGCTTTGGATCCACTCGCATGGTATATCTGGGATAATCTGTTTCAGTACCATGAGTCCAAGGAGATGGACGACTGTTACAAGCGACCACGAGGACTCGAATGAGTCGAGAGCTGAGAAATTCGGGGACAAAATATTGGGGATACGAAGCAGTGGTTATCAACGCAAACTTATGTCTGGAACCAAAAGATTTTCAAATGATAGTAATTGAAATTTAGAGGCGGCATTTTCTTGATGAATTGGGCGGCAATTTCTGCTAAACCAATGATAGCAGAAGTCGAGAAACCAGGTATCATCTGCTAAACTCTAACTAAAAAGTAGTGATTTACCCCTCGTAGGAATTCAGCTAGAATTGCGTGGTGTTGGTAAGTTGAGTAGCGGTCAATTGATCATTGATTGATGACATATCCGAAAATGGCAGTTATTTCCATTTTAAACCGCCATGATCGTCCATACCAATCCCGACGCCGGACGAGCATAGTGAGCATGCATATGGCTCGATATAAGTCCCACAAGCATCAAAACATTGCGCGAAGATAACATGGATGTGCAAGTTCTCTGATGTGCAGAGATCAGGGAGGAGCCGGAAACCTGTCCACACAATTGTTGCTCATGCGCCGTGGTGACAAGAATGAGGTCGAACATAGGCACCAGGTCCTCCATGGCACAAATACGTGAGACGTGGGAACATCGAAGATTAAATCAAACATAGTTTGTCCTGCAAACTCGCCCATATATTTGGGAGTCATTTCCGAGGGAGTCAGTGAAGCTGGGGCATCAGCATGACAGGCGGCACTCCGAATGTCATGGATCGAGAACCCTGATCAAGGGTGCCTCTGGGCTCAGAGTGGCTTCTTATGGAAAGATGCCTCAATTAGCAGTTGTCAGCGCTGGGGTTGTACATACGACACCACTCCACATTGTTCCTGGGAGAAATGAATTGTGGTTCACAGCATCAACGTCAACTTTCCCCATTCATGAAATTGATATGTCATGGGGGGATGGCATTCATACCACAAGCCAGAACGAAGTAGCCGGCAAGACATCATAAAATCCAATTGTCTTCACCACTTTCCCACCTACCTGAGATGTAAGGTTAGCCCGTTTTATGGTCGGGTAAAGTAGTGCTCAACACAGTATACGGAGGCGGATTCCCGGTCCAAGCCGTGAATACTAACATTATTAATAGCCCTAAGTAAATACAGGCTAGAGTGGGGACGTTAGAGGAGACCGCAAGGCTACCAACCAGGCGACGCACATATATATCATCACGCCCAGCTCAAGCCTCACACTCGCGACTTCCAGGCTTCTTCCCCGAAGCTCCCTATGTTATCTGAACGGGAAGGAGCAAATATCATCGGGTTAGCAGCGAAAATATGGTTCGAAATTCGAGTAGGATGCCCTTCATCTCCGGCTTTCTTGAGATCAAGGACCATGTGCGAGCCCTAATTCAAATTTAGAACACAAGGGCTACAGTCTGTAGCTTTAGTTGAAGACTTACAACAAGAGAATAAATCGCAGGGACCCATCTAATATTTCATTGGTCAATACAGTTGTTGGTTCCGGCACGGTGTCCGAGAGCAGACTCACGGTAAGCCAAACATGCCTAAGCCACCATTCCCCCACGAAGTCAGCACAGCGTTGACGATGAGCGTAACTGAGTTGGTCGATACATCAGCGATGTCCTTGCAGAATGCAGGGAGGTAGTGTACCCAGGATTCTGTTCGTGGAGCACAGGTCAGTGGAACCGCAGACTTAGAACACGAAAATATGCCTACATCAAGAAGAACATTGCGCCATCTCGCATGAACACCGTCAGAACAGGAGAAAAATATCTCTGGTCTTTCAGGAAGTCCAGTCTGACACTGCCACTGTCGTCCGTGAGAGAGTCCTTGAACTTCCACATCGAGAAGGCGAAGAATACGACTGGGCAGCATATGTCAGAAGATTATTCTCCTGGAATGGACCTTAACATACATCCAACTGCCGCACAAAGGGTCCTATGTTGTGTCAATGAAAGATCGAGGAATATCAACCGATGAGATCCAGACTCACCATGCAGCCAGCGAGTGAATCCTGACCGACACAGGCAGCGTCAGGCATCCGCGCCACCCAGGGAGGGGTCCTGGAAAGGTGGTCCTAGCTGTCTCTTGACTGACCACCCAGCTGATGTAAAATTCTACCTAGTCAACAGCAATCAGGTGTCAGGCTCCTCAAAACAATCAAGAACAAAACTAACCCCGAATTCCGCTGGGAAACGAGTCAGTCTAATGAGGTTTTTTGCAAGAGCCCAGGCAACCTGACTACATACCGAGACATAGGATCGCGAAGAAAAGCAGAACTTTAGAGTGAAGGGTAAGTACGAGGGATATTTTCTGGGAGGCACGTATTAAAGGACCTTACCTTTCCGACTGCGGTGATACAGTGCATGGACGCGCATGACAAAAATGACGTTTACCATAGTGGTAAATGTTATATAGCCACCTCTGCAGGCAGAAATTATCCGATAGAACAAGCAACAGTGAATGATGACGAACAGTGAGATGAACCGGAAGTAGGTCTGGCAGCTGACAAGGCGGATGAAAACTCGGAACAGAACTGGACCGAAAGGTGTGCTTACAACTGAAATGCATGTCAGACGCTGAAGAGGGTGGAGAAAAGGGCACTCACATCAACTGAATGGCCAGCTGTCGAAACAACTGAGAGGTTGTAAGCGCAAGGTCGAGAAGCATGCATGGAGGCCCGATACTGACCGCGTAAGGTCACCCTGGAGAAAGCGTCCGTTGGACTCGGTTCAACAGATATCTCCGTCAGATGATAGAAGACTCACGCAGTGAAAATGGGGGGATAATATCTAGCGAACAAGTAAAGCACTTTCGCCAGCGTCCATCGTTGCCTGTGAGGGTAGCTGAGCTGAAAATGCCTGCACGCAGGGTGATAAATGCTCGCACTTCCAGATGAGTTCTATTTCGTCAACGATGGTCGTGCACATGTCGTACAAAAGAATGGTCATAACAGCAGCTGGGATGTCAAGAGTCTATTAGCGCAAATCTCCGTCTAGGAAGACGAATACGCACCTGTCATGTACCCCGCATCCTCCGAGCGCTCGTAAGCCGTCATCAGCTGCTTGAGAAGGTCGGAACCACTGGGAATGATCGACATGGCGAGAGGAAGTGCGACGTTATCAAGGGCTACCGGAGAAGACGTCTGTTATCCCAAAGTCCTACTTATATGGGGTGGATATCTGTGTCGATCATAACGCGCGCTCATGCAGCGGAACCAGATGAATGAGGACACTGCCAACTCGCAACACAAACGTGTGATCAGAAGACCTGATGCGATGATGCACTTCATAACCTTTTGTGGTGTTTAGTGATCGCGCTGGGCATGCGGGTGTCAAGGACACTGGGTCCTTATCGAATCGTCCGAACCTGCGGCTGACGGGAAATAACTTATTTCAGTCAAACCAATTGAGGTCACGTCTCAAGAGTACTAGTCAAGATTGATGTAGCATTCGGGAACCCGGGGCCAGGGTGATGGTTTGACCCAAGGTGCAGTGGGTGCCTTGACCTCTTTGGTCATAGTAGTGAGGAAATGATAGAAAATCGCTGATAAAGGGTACGAGCACTGAGCCTTCGAGGTGTAGTGTACAGTCTGAAGGTCTGAAGGATCGCAGAGGTCATCCAGTGAAATCTGGAGTCACGGAAGAATTAATGGAGCAAAATCTAGAGATACTCTATGCAGTAGATCCACAGATAATCAATGATATTGATGATACACCGTCTGGCGGGGTTATGCAATGAGCTGCTTCAACGTGGTGACGTGTGCCTCGCGTTTCGCGACGATTTGAGAATGGACAAGTGAGCCTCGGAGATCGGCTTCCAGCTGCAAGAAAAGATCGTGAGTCCGAGGAAAACCAGGTAGCGGACCGAGACTGACCTGAAGTAACTTGTCTGGCTCCCACATCCGCGTAGGTAGGTTTTCAAGAGAGACATAAACCGCCGGAATGGATTCACATCGCAAAAGTTCGGCTTCATTGCTGCGGAGAATTGCAAGAGCGATGCGGAACAGCGTGTCAAGGCCATCAACGAGGAATAGATCCCATATCCGGAAAAGAGTCTTTCAGTTCAAAAAAAACGGTCAGATCCTCTTGGATATCTAAGCGATGTCATTGGTACTCACCTCAACGGGGAGACAGTCCGTGAAGAGAGAAAGGAACCAAGAGAAGCAGATCGCTGCGAGATCGACTCCAAGGTCCGTCAAATGAGAGTGAAGTTTTGGCGTGAGCTCTTGAACGTAATCCAGGAGAACAAGGGGGCAAGCTCGGGAAGGAAGGAGAGATGGAGAAAAGAAATCCTCTGGAAGTATTCGTTCGACGATGGCGCAAAGCATCCAGAAAGCTTCTTCCTCATCTGCGTGCACGAGAAGCAAGGTCGACGTGATGAGGTTCATGCCTTGGCAATAACCAACCGCTGGATTTCGGCTGCGAGGGAGTCTACGTATGAGCCCAACATTCTGCACACAGAACAAAGAGGGAAAAACTCACCGACTGTAGGCAATCAACACCCTCCGTAGCTTGTCCACGCCCGCTCCGTCGCCTCCAAAGAAGATATTCAACGGCATCGTCCTCCCAACATCTTTCTCAATCTCGTGCGCAACGCTATCCGACCCATCAACCTGAGCCAGGAGGTCCTGGAACAGGCCCGGCTCCTTCATCTCCAGCGCACCACTGCACTCCAACCACACCTTCGACCGGTAAACCAGCGGTATCCCATTACGGACCAGCCTGTCAAACTCTCTCCGTACATCCCTGTTAGCCGATAGTCCAAGCTGCGCGAATCCAATAAGACCCTCGCTGTGTGAGAGCTCGTCCTCCTCTCCTTCCGTGCCTAGTCCTAGGATGGCAGCAGCACCGCCGGCACCAAGACCTGCAGCGACAGATGAAGCAGTCGACGTGCCCGTGTTCACCTTCATATGCTTGGCCTTACTCCTCTGCTTGACAAATGCATCCCATTCCTTCCGACGGGCCGCCTGTCGCTGGTCGTGTATCTCGGTCAACTCGTTCAACAGGTGCCGCACCGTGTTAGCACACGCATGTCGCGGGGTGTCCGAGTTCACGGAGAGGATGGAAGTAGTTGATGCCACTAAGGGAGAAGACGTAGCGCCAGAGGTCGCGACAGATGAACGACGCCTGCTCTTGGACGACGAACGCGACTTGATGCTGATCGACTTTGAGTCTGTTGCACCTGGCGAGCCGACAGAATCCGCAATGCTCCGAGCATCCGACTCCCCGTTACACGAGCACGCGCCCTTGACGATCTGAATGGTGTTCCTGCCCCGTATTGGGCCGCCGTCCTCGTCTCTTCCTCTTCATCATCCGGCCAGCTGTTATTCTCTTCCCGATCTGCAATCTTGACGCCCGTCAAACACGCAGGAGCCGTGTTCCCGCACTCCTTGGCTCGAAGGAGTAGGAGGACATCATATTGCGAGACGTCGTACATGAATCCATACCGATCAGTCAGAGGTCGATGGTCCTTCTCTCCATGATAGATGGTATATTTTGACGCGGACTGAGGTAGAGGAATCGTGAAACGGAAGTCGCGGGCGGTAAGAGGAGTGTACGTTCTCGAAAGGTATTGCGTTGGAGGCTTTGCTGTGGCCGGGATTATCGACTCTAGAGGCACTGACAAGGGTTTCCTGACCGTTGAGGTTGTGGCAACAGAAGTCGTACTTGGTCCATTCGCTCGAGGGGTGCTTGCCGAGACATCATTTCTAGCACTAGACGAGCTTCCAATAGCGACACTAAGCGGCTTTTTCTGCTGTTGTGCCATGAAAGAACCAAACAGCGGAGACGCAAACGGTGAGGAGACCTGCATGATGCTCGTTTTCCTGGTCTTGTGCTTCTTCAACCCCTCCGTCTGTGCCGTCAACGTCCTGTTCAGGATCATGGCAGCGTCCGCTGATCCAGTGGCAGGGCTCATCGTAGCTGTCACACCTGACCTATCGACGACTTCCGTTGGATGGTCCGCTGGTTTGGCTTCCTTGCATTCCTTGGGACGTTCGCGGAAAGTAACACCTTCGTCTCGTGCATTCCTTATGAGGTCGAGTGCCAGTTGGGCAATGAGTGGGCTGGTTTCCTTCCCTTGGTCGGCGAGGACGCTGCTGGGGTCATTCGTCATGACTCGGGTGGCATTCGCTATTGCCCGCAACGTAGCACCTTGCATGACGAGATAGGGTGGTTCTTCGGTTGAAGAACCCTTTGTAGAGAGAGGTTGCGTTGGTGTGATGCTTTCGATAACGGTGGTGATAAGGGGAACCGCGAGAGAAGGGGCGAAGGAAATTTGGATGGGGGAAGAAAGTGCTGACGCAGCAGTAGAGAATGTGTTCGTATATGCGGACCTAGCTGACCGTCCTGACTTTCCGGACCTGCCAGATTTTATAGAAGTAGTATCCGAAGCTGCAGTGTCATCTACGACAACAGAGCGTCTGCTCGATGCCGAAGACGAGGGCAGAGAAGGGTTTAGAATGGAGATTCCAAGAGTGCCAAAGACGCTCTTTGCTGATCGCCGTCTGTTTGCACGTTTGATTGCGAGCCCGTTTGGAGGTGCCTCAGGAGGGGGTGGCGGTGGTCCTTCGTCGCTTCCTGCGGGCATTCGCTCTCGAGGTTTCCCTTTGCTCCACCACGTACCCATCCAGTCTCCTATGGAAGGACGTTCTTGCTTCAGTTTCGACGGTACAATTGTCGGTTCGCCGGGTCCGTCGTCTTCTAGTGTCGGTATGGGCGCGCTTTCCTTCGGGGTAGACACCTCCACTTCTGAAGGCTCATCAAGCAGAGCGGAGGTCTCCTCCGCCATCGGCGATAGAGGATGGGGTCGTGAGTCAGGCAAACTCCTCGAAAGAGGTACTTCATCTGCCACCGCCTCAGCCAGCGATTCCGCGAGAGACTGAAATTGATATGAGCAAGAGGAATTATTACAAGAAAATAGGGACACGCACCAGAGCACTCTGCTTTCGATGTACCTGGTGCTCCGTCTCGTCATCGTCCGTGAATAACGACTGTACGACACGTTTCGCAATCTCCTGCTCCGACGGCCTCAGCTCCTTCAGCAGCTCGTCTGCCCGCTTCCGCCTCACGACCTCCTTCTCCTGAAGGGCCTTCCTCGCCTCCTCTAACTCGAGCCTGGCACGCGACAAGTTTTGAACTGCGGATGACAGGACGCGTAAAGCGGTGTGGTATGGATGATTCGGAGCGTCTGCAGGAGATTCAGACGGCCCGACTTTCGAGATCGCCGTCTGAATAGCCTCGTCGGAGTACGTATGCCATTTTGTTGCCAGGATCTGACCAGACACCGCAGACGGCACGCCTTCGAGCTCCGAATCGCCCGTTATCAGGACTTCCGGGTTGCCTTGAGTTACTGACCGGTCGTGTGCCGACCCGACGATGAAAAGGGGAGGTGTCTTGCTGGTGGTAGTCGGTTGCCTATCCCACAAAGCCGACAGACTCGACGACGGCGTCCTATTCACCTCTATAGGGCCCCTCTTCTCCGTCTTCCCGTATCCGCGAACACTCCCATCCCAGTTCGGCGAGTCCGAGGCATCCTGCTCCAGCTGGGCCTTCAAGGTGAAGTAGTTTGCGGTCGAAGCTGGCCGCACATCACTGCTGCTTGGCTGAGCACGACTTCGACGGCCTCTTGAAGGAAGTTCCTCGGGCAAAAGTGGATGAGAATGCACGGGTGTCGACGCCATTAGCTATAGGTCAAGTAAAGGGGCGTCGTGTCATATTCCAGCGAGTCGGTGTCTCGATAGAGTTTGCCTCGTGTCTAATGTCGTCAGCGTTTGCCGGATCTTCTAGGATATTTCAAGTGTGACGCAAAGGGCAGGATAATGGCCTTGTCTATGAAAATGAATTTGCAGCGGGACGCAGGTGAGTAATGGCGGAAGGTAGAGTAGAATGTTAGGCAGGAGTTCAGGTTACGAGATCAATTTCGATTTCGTCATGGAAATGAAATACATGGTTTGCTAAGGCACTTAGCAACACAAGAGGGCGAAACAGGTGAAGCTAGCTGAAGACATGCGAAGAAATGCCTAGTTGGCCACTAATATATAGGGCTCGCAATTTACGCCTGGCAAGGGAAGAATGCCGAACATATCTTGCACCAGATGACCTCACTTGTAGAGATTTCTTGAGTCGATCAAGATACTGGGCGGTGCAACAAGAGTTGGAAAGAATAGTCTGGAAATTTCACGCTGCAAGATTTCAGCGGGCAATATAAAGTAGACGGAATGATGTGAATGTATGCGCAACAAATATTAGGATTTATACACTGCACACAACTGAAAAGCTGCAATTTGAGATGACAATTGTTACTTCCACAAAGTCAAGGCAACTGTCGAAACAGCAGTTGCACCGAGTACAATATATCCGCTAACGTACGCGCCCTTCACCGTGATGACTATCGAAAGATTATGAGTTAATATAAACAGCAAAGATATACACGGCGACGACGTACACTTGACCAGGTCCCAGCCCAAATGTCTCAGACCGTTGAGCGAGTGGAAGGCGAAAGGAGCGGCAAGGATGGCCTTGCCGGCGTGCTTGACACTCTCCGGCAGGCCAGCGATGACTTCAACGACGTGTGCGCTGTCGAAGGTGCCTGGGGCGATCAGGTAGGCTATAGAGAAGCTATAGAGCACTATCCGGTTCCAAAACTAAGTAACGGGATGTAGGTGCGGAGATAACGACAAATGCAACGCACAGACGCTGAGACCAGCCCCAGTAACACGGTTGGCGATCGAACCAAGCCACGTAAGCTGAGGTTGGTAGATGGTGAAGTGTGGGCTGCTAGGGCGATTCAGGCGTTGCTTGTTCAGGATCTCGAGGTTGGCGGAAGGCGGCAAGGATTGGACTTGGATGGACCTAGATTTCATGAATGAATGATCTGCCTTGTGAACATTTTCCTATGTTGCCGTACCTCCTCCCGACGATATTTCGCAGCATAACCTGGTTCCTCGCTGCCAACCCGATACAGAGAATGAGTTCCCACAAACCGATTCTCCGAAAGACCACACACTGAGGTTAGGGGTGAATGCCACCTTCCTGAGGGCCGGGCCCAGACCAACTGCTCTCGTCAACATCATCTTTGCACGCGTTATTAAGAGACAGTAACGGTGGGCGTCTGGACAGTGGAAAGTGTGGTGGAGGTCGCGGTGAGCGTCGGGAAAGCGTGTGAAGTAATCAAACTCCGCGCAAGTCCTTTTCACGTGGCTACGTCGGCCCGGTCTTCTCCGCACTATTCCGATTCCGAGACAAAATCCAGTGACTACTATTGGTTGGATGTGATTTGAACCACTTTCTGAAGCCCGGAACAGCACGGGCCGGGAATACCTTCTCTTTTCACTTGTGGTCCACCACCCTCGACAAGTCAGCAAAATCTACTACTGACCCACCGCGTGGAATGGCTCCCAGAACACGTTCAAAGCGCGCCGCAGAGAAGCTCGCAATCCAACAACTCCTCGCAAGTGGGCAGAACGCCAAAGGTCTCCTTGCGCTCCCCGACGAGCTCTGCCTCGAAATAGTCTCCCACTTCCCCTCCGTGCCCGTCCCCACTCCCCTGATCCGTAAAGATGAAGAGAGCGAGAACTACCACCATAGATACCCTGCACTCTTGTCTTTATCACAGACATGTCGTGCGCTGCGGCGTGTCTTTTTGAGGTATCTGTGGCAGAGGATTGAGGTGCACGAGCAGATGAAGGCGGATGAGCGGACGCTTCGGGATAGTGGGGAGTTGTACTACTGCTGGACGGACAAGACGCATATGAAGGAGCTGGTGCGTCAGCTGGAGGTCGTCACAATTCGCGACCCCAGCTTGGCGGTGCATGTGAAGTACGTCGGATATTTTCCTAATCTCGATTGTAGTTGAACTGATTCGACGCGGGGTTTGGTCAGTATCCTAAATGTCACTGTCGTCGACCATGAATTCAAGTCTATTATGGAAAAACTGGCACGCTGCATCGCCCTCCTCCCCAATTTGCACACCGTGCAACTGCGCACCATGCCAGCCTGGTCCTACCTTGAATGCTTCATGTCAAACGTCTTCAAGCAGTACACCTATCCCCAAATTCGTACCGTCGCCGTATGCTCACGTGCGTCTCCTATAATGGAGTCGTGTCCCGGGATGGTGCGCTTGTACGCGTACAATGGTCTCCAGTACGGTTGCTTGGACCACTTTGTGGAAAAGAGCTACTCCCAAGTTGAGGTGCTTGGCACGCCTGTGGACAAGTATTCGCTCACCAAACACTCGGTAGAGAGCAAGTACCATTCATTTGTCAAAGGTGAAAGTGTGTTCACGCCCTTGCGCAGCTCTAGTACAAAGCCTACCCAACCTTCGAGACATAACCTTGGATCGCCTTATTCTTGGTCGGGCTTTCGTGAGTCCCAGACACACCCCATTCCTCCACTCTAACGTCTGACCTCACTCCTAGGACTGGATCAAACCCATCATGCAACTCCGCAACCTCCAAACAATCCGTCTGAGAATGGACTCGGACACGCCCGCGCTGCCTCATGATCGGCACCGTGCATGCGCTGAGTGGATCAAGTGGTCTCAACATATTTTGTCCCAGAATCAGAACCCAGACATAGTGAACAAACAAGTGATACTCACCGACCCGGACGGAAAGGTTACAGTGTACGTGGTTGCGTGAGCGGCTGCTCAATTCGGAGGAAGTGAGAATATGATTGTTCCTCCACCCAGTGGGTTAGCGAAGTACGTCGGATTATGATTTTTCATACGCAACGATTATGAGCAGCAGTATCTATGTACATTTGAATTAAAGGTGGTGAAAGCAATGTGCGAAGGACCTGACAGCAAGTAACTCGGACAGCGTGGATACTTTACTTAGAAGACCAAAGTGACCGAGGGTGGATTATGAATGCCCTGAAGAAAAGGTCCATGATGGTGGAGGGTCTCTGTCCGTGAATCTGCTTTCCAAATCAACATCCCCGGTAGCGCCGCTCGCCATCGAAGAAAAAGGTATCGAAGGCCTCGAAGAGCGCGAGCCTGGGTGGTATGACGAAGCGTAAGGCGACTCTGTAACATCGGTGAGAGTAACTACTGAGTAATGCTCGGGAGACGCTCCTGGCCTGCGAGACGCTGATGTTTCGAAGGTCGCATGGAGGCGGATAGTAAGGGGAGGTGGTACGTCCTCCTCCTTTGCGCTGGAGGTAGCAGTCGACGAGGTGCTTGGGGGTTTTCGAGTCCGTTCTTCTCGAGCGGTTCTCCAGTGACGAACCCGGCGGTAGAAAAATAGGGAAACAACGAGGAAATTGCATGCGATCAAAGAGTTAACGGACTATACGAAATTGATGTGAGTTGTTTCTAAACAGAATTAGGGGCCTGTTTACCAGCATATTTATCATCATTAAGCGCAGAAGAAGGGAGTCCGGATCGGTAGCGACGCCACTCAAACATAAAATCGAGAAGGCGAGAGCAGACCCAATCGTCAAAATACTAGCAGAGGCCACGGCCAAAATCAGCTTTCGTTGGGGAGTTCGGAGTTTCATTCGCCATATCACAGTGAAGGGTACGATGACGAGCAGACTGTCAGCCATTAGGTCGCCTAAATTGCGGTGGGTGAATGAGCAAACGAAACCATAGAAAGCAGACGTACAGGTAATTCCTCCAACGACGAAAATAGGCAGTCCTCTCGCCGAGACCTTTTCGCAGTTAATTCCGCTTGCTCGGTACCAAGGTAGGCCAGGGGGCTTGCAGGACTGGATTGTGAAAAGCGTGATAAAGATGTAGGCCAAAGAGAAGGCGACCACAAGACCAAACGCGACGCGTCGTGAGTGACTATTTGGAGGGAACAATCGGGAAAGAGAGAGTGCAAGAACTATGCGGGTAGTCCTGTGATTCGCTCGTAGTCAGAAAGACAGCAGCAAAACCAGACCGAAAAAGACCGACCATAGGATAGCTATGTGCAGGCACATGGGAAACAGAAACCCTTTCAAAGGATTCGGCGAGAACATGAAATAGACTTCGATTGCTTATCAGGCCGCGAGACTCGAGCGCTGGATAAGCCGCATACTCACTGTGTCCAGCAAAAGGCCCCATCCATAGCGCAACAAAGTATAAGATGTCCAAGATCGTCGGCACGACCGATAGGTAGTCGTCCCACCATAGCCGTTGCTCGCGAAACCTATCATATAGGCGGACACCGGTCCCAGAGACTGCGATGGTGTGCAGAATGGTCATCACAGCTGCGAACAACGATCAAGCACATGCATATGTGAGCTCAGGATTTCAGACAGGAAGAGATTAGGACTCACTTTTCCATGCTGTGACATCCTGCTTGGGCACCGCCATCGCTGAGCGAGTCGACTAGAATCTAGTGTTCGTACGACCCAGGCTGGGGGAATCCGGCGTCGTAGTGGGTGGGCGAAAGAAATGCATGGCGAGACGTCGCGTTAAGTATGAATGAAATGGAGTGGCTGTATGTAAGTCCTGTCTTGATTCTGTCAGAGAACTGAATAAGACTTCTAGCAGCAGCATGGAAACTAAACACCCTAAGTGTCAAGACCGGAATCGCAACGCGCAGGGACCCATGTGCGTGCGAGGCTGCATCTTACCATTTGAATGATGCTCTCGCCGGCATCACTGGTGGGTTTGACAGGTCAGAATCCACCAGAGTCCAGAAACTGTCTACGGGTGACAGAAACGCGCAGGAAGAAAGACCCCCGTCGTCAAGAAGTTGGAAGTTGAAGAATTGGAACGAAGCCAATAGAAGGGAAGATGAACCAGAATTAGCACACTACAGCTGTCCGATTCCAACGTGCACGTGGCTGAGCATTGTTGAAAGGTTGTATGGGAAGTCTAGCCGCTATGAAGATACCCCACCGACGTTTTCTGACTCGGGCCAACAATGAAGGAATGGTTCACCTCCGCAGGAGGTGGTGGCGAGACGCAAGTGAGACGGAGGCGTAGCAAAGTAAATACTGATAAGATAAGAAAGTTGTTATAGAGGAAATTTAATTTATATGCCGTTTATTGAGCAAAAACCAATCCCAGAATGTAGATGATAGCAGTGCGCATTTGAAAGATATCTTAAGGAATGAGAGTGGTCCCGACCGTAAACTAACACTATATTGTTGGGCAGAAGTGCCGAAGCCTGAGAGCGAAATAACAAAAAAAAGGTGCCCAAAATCTTCCTCAAAATTCGGAAAATATTGTTTAGTGTGAACGAAGATAATTGTCTGTCCTGAGAATGGAGTTTGCTTGCATGATCTTGATGATTGAAGTGTGTTGTGTCCATGAATCCGTGAATGCGTGCGGTAGAGTGTACAATGCGTGATGTTGCTGATGTTGAGAATGTTGATGAAATGCAGCGAAAAGATAATGAGGTGATGCAAGAGGACGCGTGTCCGAGTGTTGGGGCGAGAGTCTGAAGAATGAGAAAGATGGGATGACGAGGGGAAATGTAGAAGGGAGGACTCACGGTGAGGGATTTGATTTGAACATGAGAGCGTCAACGTTTAAAATTTAAGCAACGACGCAATAGGCATAGTTGCCGCTCCCAGCCTTCTCCTCTTCAGCGGGAATGTCAGCCACCTCGATAGTTTCTTCAACTGCAGGGGTGGGGAATATGGCGGTGAGGTGGGTGAATGCGTCCATCGCAACTGGTTGACTTGGAAGAGAATAGCGACGTTGGGTTTCGCAGACGGGGATGGTGTCTGGAAAGCTAGGGGGGTATCGCAGACTAAGGGAAGAGCTTGACCTTGAGCGAGGAAGAAAACTCGACACAAAAGCCGTACTTATACCTTCCCCATGTATTGTCTCTATGAGCTCTCCGAAGCGCATGGCATGATCCTTTTCCCTCTGCGTCATCAAAGCTTGACGGTTGCTCTATTGTACAGATGGTCTCGTCCATCCCGAGGCACGCCTTCGCCGCGGAAAGGAACACGCGAGAGCAACGCGAGACTATTGTTCCGAGCAGCAGCGCGGCAGCAGCAAGTAAAGACAGACCGCATTCACGCCGTCGGCGACGTCGTGGCGGCTAGATGCTTTGGCACAGTGACTGATGCGTGCCCACGACTAGCCTACGACAATAAAGTCTTTTGTGAATCTCGTACAAGCTGTCAGACTCGTTGATTGGGGCGCATGAACAATAGCGATAGGTTCGAATTTCCGCATTGGGTAGGCGGGAACAAAAAGGCAGGGACCAGCAAACCTCGAGGCGAGGGCAGACAGAGCGGGGGCATTAATTCGACTGTCCACGGCTTGCCAGAATAGATGAGCCGTCCGTACAATAGCGTCGAGGTATCTGTCGAAGGATGGCAAGGAGAAGCAACGTTCTCCCATGTTTGACTAGACAACTTGCTGTGAGGCCGAAATAGCCAGTTATGTAAAGGCACCGAGAGCGCAGGCGACGTCGAGATCCATATAATAAGGAAGTGTAGGAGCCGTGGCACGGTAGCATATTCGAGAACGGAGAAATAGGAAGAATCTGGTCAACGTGCACCGAGTTCCGTTCGCACTGGTGGGAAGGTCGGACAAAGTCCTTGACGTTGGTCAGTGACGCAGTATGGTGCACATCTAGCCCTTCGTTGGATTATGATGGTCGGGAAGTGGGGTACCATGATGTACGACCGATAGGTTGAACAGCCGACTGAGGAAATGACAGTTGAAAGCAAGAGTTTGTGTGAACCAGTTGTGGGACTTGGCATCAACGTCCGGAAATCACCGGCGGAGATTTAAATAGCGCAACAGAGTCCGACGCTACTGACGGCACGCACCAACTCACCACCTGAACCCGGGCTGAAAAGACAGCGACGTGTAGATACTGGCGACCAGTGGAAGGGAATTGTGGAAGGGTATGCCGTGAGTGGTACGATATGAATATGTTACAACAAATGGCAACGATGTCGAAGTGTACGTACAATGTTGAACATGCGTAACGTGACGAAAGCAATACAAGAGCCCAGAGGCAACGAGAAAGGCGTGATTATACGTCTCCTCTAGAGACAGCGGCCCTTCAAAAGTACGTACGAACTAATCAGGTGCGGGCTATGGATGGCTAGAGGAGAAAGTCCATTGAGTCTTGGGCCGCTCTTCGTCCGTATGTCTACTATCCAGGTCCAGATTGCTGGTCGCCGAGCTCGCCCTGGACGGGCATCTCGCTGAAGGCTTTGTGGAGGTAGGCGGATACGACGACGGCGCGTCTGATTCTGAAATGTTGGTGAGGGTAATAGCCGAATATTTTTCGGTGACGACTTTCGAGACCGTTAGTCTTCGAGAGGCATTCGTCTCAAAAGTAGGTTGGACGCTCAAGATCTCGAGCGGGGTGTCGTTGGTATCGGGTTTCGTCGAAGAGCCGCGGTTATGGCGGCTGGTTCGCGATGTCTTCCACTGGCTGAACTTGCGGTAGAAGAATAGGAAAACAACGAAGAAGTTGCAGACCAGAAGGGACACCAAAGCCTGAAGAAACCAACTTCAATAAATATGTTCTCATGTTTTCAGAGGCGTTAGAACCACTTGCCTCCAGGTTGACTATCATCGCTCCCAACACTATACCGTCTACCGAAAACTCTTTTCCGGTAAAATAGACTATGCTGAAGGCCACAGCCGTTCCGACCGTTAAAATACTCGACGACACAGCAATTAAAATTAACCGTCGCTGGTGGTTGGGAAGCCTGATCCGCCATATCATAATCACTGGCAAAATAACCAAGGCAAGGTCTGCAACTATATCAGCTTGGATTAGACGAATGTTAGAAATAAGCGCTCAAAAGGTCAGGGAAGAATACGTACATGCAAGGCCCAATATCGTAAAATGATTAAATCCAGTCGAAGTTCTTTTGCACTCGGCTCCTGTCGCTTGATACCATGGTAGTCCCGGTGTTTGGCAAGTGACAGTCGTGTAGATAATAATGATGATGTACGCGAGGGCAAAGAGGACGACTAATCCATACGCCGCACTACGCGAACGGCTATTTGGCAAGAACAACCGCGATAGGGAAAGCGCCAGAACTATCCGCGCGGTCCTGTCCATTAATTCGGGTGAATCGAATTAGAATTATAGATCGACTCGGCGCGGACAAACCATAGAATAGTGACATGCAAATACAAGGCATAGATGAATGAGCCGAAGAATTGAGTTGTGTCGAAGAACACTGGTTAATTATGAGGTTCGTAATTCATTAAGCGGAATAAACGGCATGAGACGTACGTTTCCCCGCAAAAATCCCAACCCACAATCCAGCGAAAAGGAGTACATCCAACACTGTTGGCACAATCGATAGATAGTCGTCCCACCACAACCGCCGTTCCAAAACCCGATCATATATACGAACGAACGTCGAAGAGATTGCAAGAATGTGGCAAATGGATATAATAACTGCTCGCACCATGAATTCGGAAGAGGTCCCGTGTCAGCTATAGGCCACGAAATAGAGCATTCAAGCCCACCTTTCCATGCTGTCAAGTTCTGCTTGGGTATAGTCATAGCAGAACGAACGGAACGTGTCGGGGATGGTGCCGTTTCAACGAGATAGTGAATGGGAGCAAGTCATGGGGAGCCTTCCGTGAAACGTTCACGCATAATATGTATGAAAGGATATGTGGGATTTTTCTCTGCGAAGACGTCAACCAGCCTCCCTGGATTTTCCCTGCCGCTAATACCGGTCCGGGACCTGCCGCCATCCACGACATGTGGCGCGGAGGCACTGCTGTTTTTGGTATATCTTACGGCCATTTCCGTTCCAGTGGTGGTCGTATTCAGACCTTGAAGTTCTTCAACTCCCGGAGTGATTACTGCGTCCGTATCAATACTATGGAAATACGCAGCGAGCCTTCTTTCGAAGGGGACGTGTGAGCGGAATCTAATATGTTCGAGCTTTCCGCGGCGAAAGCAAGGCCAAGTAGCGCTATGTCATTTTCCCCACAACAATCAGAAGTCCGCAGCGTTACGAGAGTGGTCAATATGATGAAGGTGTATCGAAGCAAGAGTCGGGAGAGTTTGATGAGGCGCATATTACCACGGAGACCTTAAATAATTTGGCAATTGCACATAGAGGGCAAATTGCGATCCAGGTTGGATCCAAGATGCAGCCCTGAGTCATTGAATCAAAATGATACGACCGATATGGCTTCAACGACTCCAAATTTTGTGTGGAGCTCACCAGGACGGCTCATACATCGCAAACCTGCCTCAGACTCCGGTAACCAACCCATGTCCTCATATTAACTTCGAACTAACTACGGTTTCTTCGAGGGTCACGAGGATGGCGGGGGCTCCAGTTCGAAGAGGTTAGGCACTCTGGAGTCTGGACACAGGCCTAGCTGCGGCTCCGAAAATTAATATCGGGACTGGTCCCTGCGATTCATGAAAAAAAACCGGTAAGAAAGATAAAGCCGTAAGAGGCCGTAGGATCCCAAAACCAGTCAATCTTAAAATGGGAACCTACCAGAAGTCTGAGACGTTAACGTCGACAGTGTCGCAGGTTAGATAAAGGCACCAGTAATCAACCGGCAGGAAATCGCTTTCGTCCGTCGGACGGCATATGTGCAGTAATGGGTATCTCGGGCGCTTATACAGGGAGCCTGAAGGACGGGACAAAATCACTGGCGTTTTACGGAGCGGATAAAAATAGTAGGCGCTTAGCCTATCGATATCTATCTCAGCGTTGAAAGTTGAGGGCAACCACCGGTTGTTAAATTTGCGAAGGCTGACAGGAACTGTAGGTTAGGAGACTCAGAAGGACCATAACAAAGAAAAAAATTCAAGACTCAAGAGCAACATACTACTGTAGGTGGAGACTCATACTCTCGACCTTCGAATTTCGGTTCTGGAGCCTCTTAAACAGACTGAAGAAATACTCTAGACATTCTGCGTCGTTTCGGACGTCCTGCGTTTCTTTCCGACGATGACAACGGACCTTGGTAAATTGCCCGCGCGAAGGCAATACAAGGCCCGCAGAAATGACCGATGCAGGGTTTTCCTTGGGCCTCGGCCGTGCGCCGCACGGAGGAGGAAAATGTTTGTCGGGCGATGACTTCGCTACGTACGTTGAACAAAAATAAAGACACGTGCAATACGATGAATCCCTTCTTCATTTGACATTCAAACGGTGTTTGATACACTCTTGCTCGTAAGTAAAAGCAGATACAATACAAAGTGTTTAGCAATGCCCACAGAACACCAAGTATGCGACGAAATACCTCATTATATACAGGTAGGGACAAGCATTGCTGATTACCGTGTCTTTGCCAGCTCTTAGCCGGCCTGCTAATGCTCGCCGACGTCCAATCTCCCAACTCCTCTCCTGGCCCTACTATATTTCCTGGAATGCAGGACTATAGCGCGCATCTAGTCGTCTTTCTTCGGTCCTGCCTTCCTTGGAGGAGGCGGTCCCACTTGGAACCCATTGCTAGAAGCAGGGTTTGGTGACATAGGGAAAGTGGCGTAGCCAGCTGCTGGTGTGCTTGGTATCGACGGTACCGATCCAACCCCATGTCCATTTCCATTTCCGTGTCCACTGCCGTTAATTGCAAACTCCTGCTGCCCAGCAGGTGATAGCGGCGACATGAAGGTGCCAGCACTGGGCGTGCGCGACGAGCGCGGGGGCGGTGGGCCCAAGATAGATGTCGGCCTGGAGCCAGGCGTCGGCGGTGGACCAGCGCTGACGGCCGGCCCGAAGCTTCCATACAGCGAGCTGGACATCGGAGGCGCTGGTGTTCCTGGGGCACTGCCACTCATGAGCGACCCGCTGAGGTAGGGCGACTGTGGTGCGAAGCCGCCTGTTACTGGCGAGTTAGCATAGCTTGCATATCCATCACCGCCTTCCATCGTCCATCCACTGCCTTGCGGCACGAGTTTGCCGCTCTTGGGACGCGCGCGGAGCTCGCCTCCGCCCCATTTCGCTCTCAGGCCTATCTTCACACCCGAAGATTCTGCGGCGACGATGCCCGCTGTTTGGTCAGCGCCAGAGACGACTTCGACGGCACGTGTGGTGATGCGGATAGCATATCCCATGCACACAAACACTCCTCCCAGGACACCGACACACCGGATGAGGAGCTGCAGGAAGGTCGTTGTGCGCTGGTGGATTGTGATGGCAAGCGGATCTAGATCAAACTTGAAGAAGATCCCAGGTGTGCCGTGGTCGTGTGAGACTTCGCGAGTGTAATGAGTGACGGAATATTGGTGAGTATGCAGAGGGCTCGAACGAGGCGCGATGTAGGTCGTTGGAACGACGTGGAGGAAGTATTGGTACGCGATGAAGTCTGAGCAGAGGTTAGGCACGGTTGTTTTCGATTTCACGAAACTCACTTTTGTCAGTGGATTCGAATGAATTGTCCAGAGGTTGAACAATGTCGGGGAAGAACGGTCCGAAGGAGAATTCAGTGATAACATGGGAGAGATTCATTTCTTCCGTATGTGTTAGATTGCACCACTCAACCTATTGAAAATTGGGACGTACTGCTATGATCTACATGTTCGTAGCTTGCGTATCCATGTCCGAGAGTGGTGATATGGAGGTTCGCAGTGACGCGCTTGACTTGCAGAGTGCCCGCAATTCTGCATGCAGAGCTATCTCCAACGTGCTTGTATGATGGCGCAAATAGAGACTTTTTTCTCCGGAAGAGCCAGTCGAACATTCCGCGCGAGGCCCTCGACTGTGCTACGGCTTGGGACGCTGAGAGGGCATCTGAGTGCTCTCTGCGAAATGTCATGAATTTACCAATAAATAGTTCGAGACACGCTTACCTCAACGCCGTGGCTTGACCGACGTCGAAGAGAACCTGAACCAGTTGAGTTATAGTCCACAGGTTGCATACTCTGGACTTACCCCGTCCCGACGCAGACCTCCACTCAGAAACAACCTATCCCCCATGGCATCGCGTAGGTCAACACTAAGGTCTTCGTACCATAATGAGTCGAGCCCCCGATCCAAAAAGCAGCGTACTTACATCCACAGGGCATTGCTACCACCATGTCGATGTTAATGTCCAGGAAAGGATTCTTGTTGTTGTCAACGCTGAATTCAAAGTCGGGCCAGCCCCACAGGAACTCGCTGATGTCGTTGACGACGAGCATGAAGGCCATGAAAGCCACAAAGATGGTCATGAACCCCCTCGATTCCGAGCGAGCCTTGTAGGACGACGGCAACTTGGGAAACGCATCGAACTGGGCTAAAGGGGCGACCGCATCGAGCTTGTCGAGCAGCGAAGGCTCTTCGGAGGATGTCGAGGCCATTGCAGACGCCTCAGAGGCCCGTGGAGTGGTGGTATCGAAGAGAAATAACTGGAGGCCTAGGACATAATCAGAAGCGTCGACGTGTCCGGATTCCTCGTGACAACATGATCTCCGAGCAAACAGCGTGGCACTTCCGTTTCTATTTTACCCGCCTCCACGCAGAGAGTCTTCGAACCATTTCACACTCATGTCTAGGCCATGAAAAATATCATCCTGCGCAATGCACACTCAGTGTATTTACGTTGAACCTGGGGTGGCCAAGGCAAGATGTAAATTGGAAGAAAAACTGCCTTGGAAAACCCATTTTACTGTGCTTGACCTCCGTACCTGTACAAGACATGTAAAGCAACGGATCTACGTACCCAAAATCCGAGAGGAAGCCCAAAGTGAAGACGTTGATTGCGGGAGGTCATCAGGGATGCCGTGTCCCAATATAGAATCTAAAGGCTCCAGAAAGTCACAAGAGCAAATACGAGGTCACGAGCGGGCAGACTGTTCTTCAAGCTTCAAGTTCCAACGTCGACGAGGACCATACAGACAGAAGGTAAGCGTTGTCGCTGTTTTGCGCATATAAGCCTGCTAATGTGGGCTATCGTTCTCTTAGACATGGCTTCCGTGTCTTATCGGACTTACCTCCAGGCCTGCCGTTCCGTCTCGCGGCGTAGCCTTGCCCGAACACTCACGACGGCCCCAAGCACACCATCCACATCCCAGACGAGCGCGAGCTCATCGTCTGTATCTACACCCGCACCCACATTAGAGAGCCCGCCTCCGAATACCCACTTCAAAATCACCCTCCGACGGTCTGCTATTTCGCTCGGGGACAAAATAAAGGGCACTCTGAAGGCACTTGGCATCCACCGGCGTTTCCAGACTGTCTATTTCCCATTTTCACCTGAAGTCGCAGGTAAAATTCTTCGAGTCAAGGAGCTCGTTGAGGTGGAGAATGTGCCGACGCACAGGGTCATGAACAAGCAGCAGCAGCGACAAGCACGGAAGGCGACGAGGGGTTACACGGTGGTCGGTTCGAGGGACGGTTTCATGCGCATATAATAGAAGTCCGGTGCGTCTTTCCATGCCATCCCTCTTGTCGTCGTAACTAATGCCCCTGTGGCTCAGGTTGTATAGATCCATTAATATTACTTTCATTCATCTCTCAGCCCTAAGTCTTGACGAAAACTCGTCCAGTTGGATCACTTCATGCATTGAACAACGAAAAGCACGAAACCAGCTTGTGGTGGCCGACTGTCGATCAAGGTCCTCTCAAGGTCCTCGTCGGTCGCGACATGGCTATAGCTTCCATTTTCTCCTGAATTCCTCTCCAGAGCTCATTTCTACCACGTCAGCAGCAAATTAGGTCCGCATCCTGGCGCAAGGTATTCGTTACGACCCCATCCTTTCCGCGCCGGGTCGCAAGTTCTCATCCGGGTTAGCAAATCTTCTAGAAGTCGCTGTCATCCGTGGCCGTTTCGTCATCATGATTCAAAAATACCGATACGTTGTACATAAGGACCGTCTCCTTGCGCGGACTCTCTTCGTTACTTCAACTTTGACCGCTCCAAATGACCTTCACTACGAACTGCTGGCTGGAACAACTTGGCTGACCTGCAAAATAATTACTTCAATGCACCAAGCAGTCAAATTTTATAAACCCCAGAAAATGTAAGTGCGGATTTGGTGCGGATTGAAAACATTTGGTACGGTCTCATCCGGCGATTAAAAGCTTAGGTTCTCAAAACTGAAAGCCGTACGTACCTCGGTTTCGACACCCTCTTCTCGATACTGTATTTCTACCGACTATCGCTCCCAGAAGATGGCTTCAAAAGTCGAAAAAAAGTCGAAGAACCACAGGCGGCATCGACAGTCGCGCTTCTGGATTGAACGGAGACTGTTGGGCCCCCTCTTTTGCTGTCTTCCAACTTCTCCCGAGTCCCCACGACTGGGACCGTGATCCTTCCACCTTTGGGCTTTCTCAGTCGTCGGCGTAAATGTCAATGAGCCTCGTGTTCAATGCTTCGACAAAAAAAAAAAAAAAGCAAAACCTCACAGGCCTCACAAGAAAGCACCGTCTGCACCTGACGTGACCTGTGAGTGCTTGTCAGCGATGGCGTATCTTGTGAGTGGTCGATGCAGGTAGCTACCGAGCGTCATTGCACCCGATCTTCTCGACGACCGCTTCCACTGCTTTCGAGGTTCGCCGCACTGACGGCGTGGAAGGGTGAGTTGCTTTGTCTTTTTCCTTTGAATTTCAAGGCTGACCAAAGTAATTGTGACGCCTCTCCATACAGTCGTTTTGACCTTTATGCATACGATTGGGGTTTCATCGACCTTTGTCCCCCTCTATGATAGGTTTCGGGAGCAGCGGTTGTGGTGGGACGACTACTTTGCTGTCGTACCGACCGTAATGGATGTGTTGTACTATGCTGGGGTGTGGTTAGGACCATTTTCTGGCAAAAGTGCGTTGTTGAACCTTGTCAAGAGGTGGACATGGGAGCTGACTCGCGGTAGTCTACTTCAGCGAGACAGATACTATGCACAGTTTCATCTATATTCTCTTTTTGCACTCGTCGATCATATGGTGCGCTATTTCCTAACCCAAAACTTTCTTTCTATGTATTGACTTGGATGGGTTCGACAGGACGTCCCGCATAGTTCTCGCGCTGTCCCTATTCCGTTTGTTTCTCCCTCAGAGTCGCGCGCGTCGCGTCGCAGTGGGCTTAGTTGTCCTCTTTACTCTCGAATACATCATTGTTGTGGTGTATACCAGCATGTCTTACAAACTCCTGGATTACCCTGCCATGAGGCGACCGGAAAGGACTGTCAGCGAGATGGAAGGAGGATTGGCTCCTTCGCGACGGTGGGCGTTGTGTGTACGCCTTCCCCTTTTGAGGGATCTTCCATTCACTATTTTCGACCATAGGTGACCTCGTTGCTGACGTGTCCCTAGTGGCGTTGCCACTTGTCGTGATCTGGCGCATCAGACTCCCCGCTCACCAGCGCCGCTTGATTCTGATTGCCCTCTCTGGCAGCATTTTCACAATCAGCACCGTTGTTGGTTTCTCTGTCTTTTGGTTTGCAGGAATGGATCAGGAAAGTGGGCCAGATGCAAATATTTTAGGTGCAATGATGATCTCATTGGAGGTACGTCGAGCCTTATTTCCTGCCAGCCTGGAATGAGAAGCAATCTCATATAATCGACCTAAAACGATGCCGTGGCGCTACTGGTTTGCAACCTCTTTGTGGTAGTGGCCTTCCTTTATCGTCGGATATCTAACTGTGCATCTGCACGGACCTACGGACAATAGGAACACGAGTCTCGAAGAACCAACGATCATCCAGAGGGTGAAGGAACAGGCGCGCCTCTGGAAACTTACTCTACAGTCTCCGCGCCACTTTCGATAATCGCCCACCTCGCAGACATGCACCAAGGCCAGTTAGCGACAAATGTTCTGCAATGACTTCCACCGACATCATGGAATCGGATATCGAGTCTTCGCATACCCTCGCATACCCCTCTCTCATCAAAACCAAATTCATTAAGAATCCCTTCGGAGTGCACTATCACTGGTGATCTGAACTTGGACAGTACTGGGGCGGACACAAAGCGAGTACCTTCTCCTGAACTTCGTCCATAACCCTTATGCATATCATTATCGTCTGGTCAAATGGGCTGATGCTATGGATACTTAGGATCATAACTGCTTTCCGCACTTCTCTTCCGTGTGTCTTGCTAATTCCTGGATCGCTTTCCTTGGTACGCACCATTTATTACACCTATAATCCCTTTGATATTTGTTGTAGCATATTACATTTTGTTTCGCATCAAAGGGTCTTTCAGGTCTCTCTGCATTTCGGGTAGCGATTTGAGGAGCGAAGCCCAAAGCCCCAAGTGCAAGCAACTTCTCTTATTCTATCCTGTCTCAGCACAAACCTCTTTGCGCGCTACCTCTCAATGACTCTTCATTGTGGCCTCACTTAGGCGCTTAAACTTCGACCTCCAGCGCTTATTCAAGTTGTCCCTAGTGATGGGTCTTCCACTTAGATGTCTGCAGGCGCTGCACCCAATTTGGGGACACATAGGAGCCTTTTCATCCTTTTGCACTTACTAACTAGTCAGTGCTCACCGCCCGCCGTCACCTTCAAGACAACGGGCGTTAGAATCCCGACGTATGTAAAGGTATTAAACATTCGGTCGAACTCGTAGTCATCAAAATTACGAGGCGTAGGACCCTGACTGTCCCGATTCGCCGGGCAACACTCAGGGGCTTCAACAATTCTATTCCTTCGCTTCTAGGCTTTATTTAATTCCCTGTCAGAGGTCAGACAGAAACGACCCTACGCGCATCCCTCTCTATCATATTTTACCTGCAGGCCCGCCATGGATTCAAGTCCCCGATGACCCACCCACGAAGTCTTGCACGAACTCGTTGAACCAGAAGACACGTCGACGTGCGCAAGATGGCGGTACACAGGCAAAGTGTACTGGCATGGAAGAGTGAGACCTTACACTTTTTGTGCCATTCTGAACTCCTATTGAACCACTTGAACCACTCGTGGGCGTGTAGTTGCCATGACCTTCATCCACACCATCGCCGTCTCCTCGACCTGCATACGACTGTACGACCGGTTTTGGGAGCAGCGGCTCTGGTGGGACGACTACCTCGCGATTCTACCAACAGTGCTGGACGTGTTGTATTTTGCGTCGTTATGGACAGGTCCATTTTCGGGACATGGTACGTGCAGCATGAGTGATTGTTCAGAAAGTAAGAGCTCACGAGGGAGAATAGTTCTCTTCAAATATGATCCAAACCCCTTTCGCGGCTACCTATTTCCTGTTTTTCTACACTTTTCTATCCTATGGTCAGCCCCTCTTTGCCTTGCTTGTAAGCTCTGTCTACTGGTGACTAACTGGAGGGCATTCGTAGGACTACCCGCATCGTCCTGGCGCTTTCCCTCTCGCGGCTGTTCCCTCCCAACAGCCGTCCCCGGCGCATCATGTTCGGCCTGGTCGCCCTCTTTCTCGTGTTGTACGCTATCATCCTCGCGTTCACGTTTACGACATGCACACCTGTAAACCGGCCATGGTATAAAGCAAGCAGTTCTGACTGTTCACAACTGCCGTCGGGTCCTGTTCCGGTCTTTGTGGCTCTGGGTATTGCAGGTGCGCTCTCGTACCTTCCCCTCTTATATTCGCTTCCTCATGATCAAGCCTCCAACTAGGCGACCTGGCATCCGATTTACTCCTAGTTGTATTGCCGCTCATCATGATATGGCGGATCAAGCTTCGCAGCCACCAGCGTCGCCTAATCTTGGTTGTTGTGTCTGCCAGCGTCCTAACAATTGCAGTAGCTGTCGTTTATGCCGTCTTCTCATTCAGCAAGGTGAACAAGACGGAGACCCTGCTCTTCTGCGCGATGTTGGTTAATTTGGTGGTAAGCATGTTGCCCACTATGTTGAATCATATAAGTTTTCATCTTGTTTGTTCAGTCCGTCACAAATCTAATCGTCTGCAACTTCCTTGTGGTTTCCCTATTCTTTTACCGTCGACTTCGTCGCTGGCGAGGAGCTGCAACCGACTCCGAATGTGAAAGCGCATCAACCACATCTGAAAAAACGTCGGATAATGGGAGACCACCCAATACACGCAGGCTCCAACCGACCTTTGAGATTCCGACCTCACCTAGACCAGTCTATTCCACCCAAATTTATTCAACGGTCAATCTCACAGAGATTACACAATCGTCCCGTTCGTCATCCTACTACTCTTCCGATTCTTCAAAACATTTGGGCCAATTATCATCAACGGCGAGCGCTGCCACCGGAAATCTTGATTTGGATGGCAAATATACGGACAAAGACCTGCCACCATGGACTTTCTCTTCTGGACATTCATAGTACATCTCTGGGCACGCCTCCCCGTTGCACGCATATTATTGGCGCTATGCGTCTCTGTTCGTGTCGTATTGCTTTTTTATCGCCCACTGTACGTAGATTCTTAAGTATTCTTGTAGTTGTACACTTGCTGTAATCCAATCCAACTGCGCGGGAGAGAGCGTCATTTTGCTCTCTTCGCCTTCGTTTTTCCTTACAAGCCGTTCTTGTCCTAGTCATTATGGACAAGATTGAGACGGGTTGCCCAAAAAAATTAAAAACAAAGTAGCCCACCGCGAGGGTCGAACTCGCAGCCTTCAGATGCCTCTTAGTGCCTAACGTAAGATCAGCCTTAAAAGTCTGACGCTCTATCCGATTGAGCTAGGCGGGCACATCGGAGTATTGGATAACGGAGCTTACGTCGGCAATCATGCAAAGGTGATCCGGCCCGTTCAAGCAAATCCCTCTTTGAACCTAACCTCCATGTCGCTCGGGACGCTGAGGGCATCCCTCTTCAGATCTGTCAGACACGAGCGATGGACGCGTCTGACACACTCTGGAGCTCGTCACTTATCTCGAAAACACATAGTGCCAACTGCAGAGGGAGCTGTTGAACTCTCGTACACCTCGATCATCCCGGAGAACGGTAATGCGACGGAGAAACCGTTGGTCATTCTTCACGGACTCTTGTAAGTTTTATTCTCATCTTTTTGTTGAAAGGGACTCAGCCTTCTTTCTTGGATAGTGGCTCAAAACGAAACTGGGGCTCGCTATGCAAAACCCTGCACCGCGACATGCCTCATCGGCCAATATACGCCCTCGACCTGCGCAATCATGGATCTTCACCGCATGCGACACCGATGACCTACAAGGCCATGGCCCAAGACGTACAGAATTTTATAGAAGATAAACAGCTGGAGGAGGTAGCTCTGCTGGGACACTCCATGTACGTCATCCGTACGCTCCTCCAGTCCTTTCTCACCTTATGTTCGACAACGTAGGGGAGGAAAGGTCGCTATGGCCTACGCACTTTCTCTTGACACATACCAAGCACCGAGAGACACACTTTCGCGTCTTATCATATCCGACATTGCCCCTTCAATAGGAAGACTATCAAACGAGTTCATCAAATACGTAGAAGCGATGCAGAGAATAGAGGCGCTGGCGCCGGGCGTTATCAAGACACGGGCGGACGCGGACAAGAGGTTGCAGCCCTATGAACCCGTCCGTCTTCAAGCGTATATTTTCTACTGTCGATGACTCATACCCGGTGTAGGACATCTCTGTCCGCCAATTCCTCCTCACGAACCTCCAACTGCCCAGCCATTCACGGGCAGTCGCGCACGACGCGTCGAGCGAGAAGGCGAGATTCATTGTACCGCTCAATATCCTGACGCACTCGATCGAATCTCTGGGATCGTTCCCTTATGAATACAATGTAGAGGATGGAAGCGTGCCGAAGACTTGGGATGGGCCAACGCTGGCAGTGAAGGGCACCAGGAGCGCGTAAGTTTCGGTGTTCCCAGCATTTGGAGGGAGGCAGTGATATTGACTTGGGCTTTAGGTTTATAAACCACAGGAATCTTCCTGCCTTTGAGGCTTTCTTCCCGAATATGCGCCTGGAAGAGCTGGATACGGGACATTGGGGTACATATATAATCATAGCTGAAAAACTTCACGGCACTGACGATTATTATCCAGTGCATGCTGAGAAGCCCAACGAGTTCCGCAAGCTCGTGGTCGACTTCCTCGCCAGCTGATTTGTTCAAGAATCCTCGCAACTAAACAGACTACCGACAGACCCAGCCTGCTACTTCTAGAGCAACCTATTTCTTCACATAATGGAATACTGGACTACGCTATGGCAACATAGATGTACAATCACACTGGCACTTCTTCGCGATCGGGTTCTAATAGGACCGCCCTACCACGAGGCGACATGGATTGACCTTGGATTGTGGCAAGATATTTCGCCGCTAGACTGAGCAAGGTTGAACGATGTGTGCTGGCCTTCACTGGCGCTGAATGGTCGATTGCAAAAAAAAGGGAATATTGCAATGGAAGGTCGATAGAAAGGAATTACTTAAAACTTAGTTTTCCTCCTCATCGGCTATCCTCGGCGCGATGTAGAACTTCAAGACACCTTCATAAAAATCATACTGGACCTGTAAGTGGCTCAGTGGCTCAAAACGCAGGAAGGAAGAAGGGCAACGTCCTCACGAGTAGTGGTTGGTCCTCTTTCATCAGTACCGACACTTTGCTCGAAAGGGGTGCCCTTTTGGACGCGTGAACTAGGTACTTCGTCGACACACGCAGCGAAGTGGCCTTGTGAAAATATCGATGGAATTCGTGGATAATAGCACCTGCTGGCTCATCATCTTCCGAGTCGCGGTACTCATCAACGACCTGTAACCGTCCCTCTCTGTATCGCTACGTTCTGAACATATTCAAATTGCCACTCACCTTCGCTCGTCGAAAGATGAAGCAGCCTTTCTTCCCTGAGCCTTCATCTAACGCGGTGAATCGTGCTCCTTCGTGGATGATCTGAATGTCGAGGGAGCCGCTCAACTGGTGGAGCTCATGAGCGAGACGCGCGAACCTGGTCGACCACACGGTGATTTTCGCGTCATATGGAATCCTGGAAATCACGAGGTATTCCGAGCCGAGGTCGATGAACGGCACGTCGTGTTTTGATACCAGCCATGGTTGGTCTGTGGAACGACGCAAAAAGAAACGACGCGTCAGCTCGCGCCATCGCGTTCGAAGAAGGCTGAATTGCTCACCCCTCGTCTCAATCGCAACTGTAAGGACTTTCGCTTTGTGCCCTGCCTTCAAGGTGCAGACATCGTCATCGTTTGCCTTCTTGAGCACTGTTGCCAGTGAGTCGATTGGGAGAGACATGCAGAGGTCGTGGCACAACGCGTAGGACTCAAACGAGCGTTTTGAGAGAAAGAATTCGACCAGGGAAATGTGAAACTCGTCCATGCCCTGGAGCATGATGCCCTCCTTGCTGCAGGCAAGCTTCTGGTGCCTAACCCCAAGGTCGACGAACGCTGGAGAAACCAATTTTGCAAGCCGTTTGGAAAGGAAAATGAACGGGTAGACGTACCATTGACTAGTTACTTGAGCACACCAGCCTGTTCAAGTCTTGCTTGAAACATTGTTCATGAACGGAACTGACGAAGTGCAGGTCCAAGCAGGCTCGTGGTGGCCCTGGAGCTTCAGCATAGTGGTGGTATGTAAGATGGTCACACAAGAAGTGACGAAGGCGGTCTTGATTATCTTGCGAGTTGCTGCGTGTCATACCACCTTCTGTCCAAGTCCTCTTCGCTCTTCCGCAGTCGTAAGGCTGTTCTTTTTCTGCTCCCAGCTGCGTCAGTGCTGGGGATCTTCGTCCGTCAGAGGCTGTCCTCGGCGAGGATCCTTTTCGGGAGAGCTCTAATAAGTACGCGAGCATCACGAAGCTTGCGGTTGAACCTTATCTTCCTACTTCCATGTCGCAGGCGCCCACCGTTCAATCGTCCATTGCGGAGGTCTGGTATCTCAAGGAGATCAAGTTCAATGGCAAGCCATATTCGATAATCACTCAGAACTTCAACGGGTGCGCGCATCGTCTCCAGCTCATGCACATTGCCAGGGTTTGACCGGTTATTAAAGGCCATGTTCGTTCATTGCTATCTGTGAGTTTTCACATCCCCAACGCCATTGAGGCTCTTTCTGTGCTGCAAATTGTGGCTTCAAGAAATGCAAGCGCGTTCTGGAGACACTGGCACTGACGAACACGCTTCAGGCAACATCCTCATCCTCAGAGGAAACATCGAAATTCAACCCCCGTCTCGGAAGACTGTATCCTACGAATTCCTCTCGAACCTAGTTGCTGAATACCTCCTTCTCACCTCACCCGACGTCGATGTCTCCGCTGCGCTGACTGTTATGCCAGTCACCCAGAGTGCGTCCTCCGTATGCTCAGGAGCAATTTCGTTCACAATGCTCACCTCGTCCTGTAGAGGGCATGGACCTAAATCCCCTGTTCACCTCCTCTACCTCCTTCCACCCCTCGAGTCCGTCAAACGGGGGCGGTGAATTAAAGCTCTTCGAACACGTCGGCATCCCCCTCGTGCACGGCTGGCTGGTTGATCCCGATAGCCCCGAGGGTCCGGTGATGAAACGCGTGAAAGACTATGATGCTGCCGTACAGCTCATCGCGGAGGCCGATCACCTTACACAAGGCCGTTTCGTGCTGCCTGACGAGGCCTGGGGGGTGACAGAACCGCAAGCTGGCCCTTCCTCTGGGTCTAGCGTGGCGAGCCCAGCGAAACACTTTGGCGAGGAGGACAAGAGGAAGGTTGAAGACGGTGAGCATTACTCTACACTGATAATTTACAGGTAACTCATCTGCTTCAGCTATTGTCGTCCGCCAGTTCCTCGACTCATCACAATCACAGCTGACCTATTATGGCCTGTTCCACCTGGCAACGTCTCTCCCACCCAATACTCTCTGTGCCCTCTTCCGAAATTCCCATCTTGCTGTCTTGTATAAGCACTCTCCGTCGCCAACAGAAGACTCGGCGTTGTATACGCTGGTGACGGACCATGTGTTCCTCAACGAGACGGCTGTCGTATGGGAACCACTCGAGGACGTTGAGGGCGGCTCATCCTTCGTCGACTCGGATTTCGTCAGATCTAGTCCCGCCGGAGGTGATTTTGCCGGGCAGACGGCCGAGGAAATGATCCGGGCAATGGAAGGTCAGCTCGGGAAGGTTGACCCTAGGGAGTACGTCCTTTCCCCCACAATGCCGAGACGAATGTTGCTGACGGATTTATACAGCTACCAGCTGGCACAGCAGATCGCGGCAGAGGAAGAGTGGCGCGTGCGTCAGGAGCGGTCGTATAGGCTGCAGAAGAGGCAGTTCGACATGATTCAGAGGCAGCAGCAGATAGAGGAGGAGAAGAAGGCGAGAAAGGCAAAGAAGAAGGGAGATTGTGTTATTATGTAGGCTAATATCCGCGTAATGTCTTTTTATACCTAGGGCTGTGTTGCGATTTGTCTTTGACCTGCGAGAAATGTGTGCTGTGCACTGGATCCCTGCTGTCCAGAAATGGATATTGAATGACCTCGAAAGGAAATAAAGTTGTATACTGCAAATCATTCTGCCTGCCCGACCTCATAAATAGCCTTGCATACTGTGTAAGTCCTTCTTTTAAAGTTCAATAGATAGAATGGGCGTCTGCAAGGCTTCCAGGTCCCCATCCATACCACCCACCTCGAAATCCATCTTTTTCCCAACGTGGCACATTCGCCTTCAAGTTCAGTGCCGCTGGGACGGTATCCAACAACATGTCCCACTTGATGTTCTTGCTCTGCGTGTAGATACCCACCGAAGGAATTTCTCCTAGAAGAGTGCTCCGAAGCAAGCTCCACAGCCTGACTTCGCCCATAGAGTGGTCTACGATTGAGAGCTGTCGAAGGCTACGCGAAGAAGACAGAGTGGCTTCGAGAGTCGAAACACAATCAGCTCCGGTCTCAAAATTGTGCATTTGGAGCACCCTTAGAGACGGAAGCTTGAGATATTGTAGGAGAGGTGTGCAGTCGCACGCTGAGTTTGCGATACGGAGTACACGGAGATTCGCCACCGTATGTGCCCAGCTGGTAGAAGTTAGATTGTCTTTGAAGAAGTCCGACCAGGGCTCGTTGATGCAATCTAGCGATATTCCGACGGCGGAAGTGCATCTGCACATAAATAAAAAGGCGTCATCCATGCTGAGCCCAATGCTCAACCAAATGCTGTTTAATTTCGACCATGCGTCGTGTGTTATAATCCCTCGTCGAGGAGGCCCGTCAAGGCTCCTATCTAAATGGAAGTGACAGAGGAATGGAATGCGATTTATGATATCGGGAATATTGATTATCGAGGGCGTGGACTGAGAGCCTCTCCAGCCGGATGGCCTTGGCGAGTGGGAGGTTACAAAAGCGTTCGGAAGCGCTGGGTTCGAAGCAATCGGGAAAGGCGAGCGCTAACCCGAACTCTTTCCAGCGGTGTATATGGCCCGCAAGAGCGTCGATGACCATTGGCAGGAGGTGCGGATGTCGATCTGTCAAATCTCCATCGAATGCTGTGTGGACCTTCAGGAAGAGAGGTTCCTCAGATCCTGAACGGTTTAACCATAATCTGAGTAGGGAGACGTGCGGTTTGTTCCCGACATATATTGCAGACCACAAATTCGGCGTCGTAAGTGATACCTGGCGCCAGCGCCGGGATATTTCGCTTGTCAAGAGCGGCCCTTGGTGCGGGTTGGGCTCGATGCACGGAGCTGTGGCAGGGTTGACAGTGGAAAGGATGAAATAGAGAAAGATCTCGCGAAGGACGTTGTTTGAGAGTCGTAGAGTATGGTCAACGCAACCTGGAGAAAATTAGCTTTGGACCCATATGAAGGGCCTTTTAGCGCCCACCTGCGCCACGCCGCGACTCTGTGGCTCCGGCGCTCTTGGTTTGGTCGCCCCTTTGGTTCTCCAGAACAGAATTCTCGCCTGGAGAACAATTCTTGTCCTCTGAAGCCAAGTTCCTAGAACGCCTTCAGCCGGATGTCCCCCGTGTGTTCTGGCCATGGTAGTGTTTAGGTACAGCTTACCTGAATCTCTGTAGCTGCCAAGGCAACTGGACAACTAATAATTAATAATGATAAAAAAGAACATATACAGTCATCCACCATCATTTGATACACTGAAATTTAAATTTGATCCCAGAACTCAACCAGCCCATGGATTCTCATAAAACCACTTGGAATCAGTGTAATAGAGCCATTAAAATAAATTTATACCAGCTGTATGCCATAAAATCAACCAAACGTGAGCAGAAACAGCCAGAGATGCTGTACCAGTGACTGGTGTGACAAAATCAACCAAAATGAATATTTTGGTGATTTTATTACTGGGCATTGACTTCACCAAAACCCATAAAATTTTATACACAGTGTATGAAAGACTTATAGAGAATGGGGTTATTTTTTCAAAGCAAACAGTTGAGTCCTTCATGGTGTTCCAAGGTGTATCATTAGCCGGTGGTGTCTCATTGGCCGGTGGATGACTGTAGTTAGAAAAAGATAGCCTTGCATTGCCCGCCTAGCTCAATCGGATAGAGCGTCAGACTCTTATGTCACGGGCATCTGAAGGCTGCGAGTTCGACCCTCGCGGTGGGCTAGTTCTGTCTTTTTCGTTTTGTTCTGTTTCCTTCTTGGTGAACCTCTATGACAAAATTGAAGCTTTTCCTGTGGCTTCTAGCGCTTCATGAAGATCAGTTGTCGACTCTCAGAGCTCAGTTCTGACTCTCCCAACAGGGATCCACCTTTAAGGAGATGTCAAGAACAACTTGTCAGCTCAATTCCAGATGACCATTCCTTGCTTGTTCTCGTGTTTACTCTCCTCGAATCAAGTTTCATTGTCCGGAATCCGGAAGTCAGGGAGTGGCGACAAGCTGGCCGAATCAAGGCTTCTTCGAAGACAATTGTGAGCCGAAGACGGGAGACCTCCAATATAAATAGTTGGGAAGTCTGGGGTAATGCCAATTATCTGTCCTCTGAGACCCATTCCTTTCCAGCTAACGCGATGGGTTCTGTAGAAGCGCCCTCCTTGCACCGCGCAGAGGCCCCTCTCCCCGTGTTGTCGAAACTTGGTAACCCCAACATCCCAGAGGACCTTGATGCAGGCAGCGCCGCCTCGATCTGGCTCGAGTCATTCGCTAAATACGCAGAATCGGGAGACATTGACGGTGTTCTCAGTCTCCTGGTCAACTCCTCGTTCACTTCTGGAATCTTCAAGCCTGGAGTAGCTGATATACCCGAACCCACCTCGTCCGAAATCGCGGTCTACTGGCGTGACATCCTCGCGCTCACCTGGGATTTCAGGACGTTCGAGAGCACGCTCAACATCAAGACGTTCCTCACCGATAGGCTTGCAGAGGCGAAGGATCACGAACGTCCAACTCCAGAAGGACGCTCCTCCCCAACTGCAGCGACCGTACCCAGACCTAGCTTGGATCCAGGTCATCTTCACCTTCGAGACAAAAGTTGGTCTGTGCTCTGGTATCGCCCGCCTCGTACCCTTCCCTGGTCCGAACGAGGACACGTTCGATTGGAAGGCATGTGCGGTGTTCACCGGCCTCGACGATTTGAAAGGGTTCCCGGAGAAGGTTGGGTCTTTGCGTAATCGCCAACCTAATCACGGAAAGTGGGAAGAAGCGAGGAGGAGAGAGATAAGCTTCGAGGGCCGCGACCCAACTGTTCTCATCATCGGTGGTGGACAAAGCGGATTGGAGGTCGCTGCACGTCTGAAGGCTCTGGACATCTCTACTTTGGTCGTTGAGAAGAACAAGAGAATCGGGGACAACTGGAGGACGCGATATGAGGCGCTGTGCCTTCATGATCCTGTGTGTAAGCGTCATTACACCTCCACCCTCCTGCATTCAATGACTCGTGAGCTAACCGACCTTTCAGGGTATGATCACATGCCATACATCCCGTAAGGATTTCATTTCCGACATCGGACGGGACGCCGCTCATCCTTGTCCAGTTTCCCACCAACATGGCCCGTATTTACGCCTGCAAAGAAGGTAAAAATCTCAAATTTGGGTATTCAAGAACAAGTAACATTGCTTTCCTACGCAGTTGGCCAACTGGTTGGAATACTACGCCGAAGCGATGGAACTGAACGTCTGGACCTCCTCGACGGTCCTTTCCGCGACTCAAGACGCTGAGACCAAGATCTGGTCTGTCAAAGTGAAGCAATCCGACGGAACAGAACGTGTCTTCAAGGTCAAGCACGTTGTCATCGCCATGGGGTTCAAAGGCGGTCGCGGCTACATCCCAACTTATCCAGGAATGGTAGGCGCACTTCTATTTCTGGACATCCTGCTGTCAATTGACCGATCATGTGGCGTCCAGGATACGTTCAAAGGCCAAATTTTGCATTCCACTCAGCATGATAGGGCGCTGGACCATGCAGGGAAGAAGGTTCTGGTCATTGGGTCGTGCACATCTGGTAATTCTCATGCTCCTGCTATTCAAGTTCGAGGAAGGTGCTCAACGTGGACTATAGCTCATGACATCAGCGTTGACTACGCTGATTACGGTGTTGGTAAGTGCGTCCTAGAAACTAGGTTGACACAATACCGATCCATGTTCTAGATGTGACGATGTTCCAGAGAAGCTCGACCTACGTGATGTCGACAAAGAACGGAATCCCGTTACTTCTTGGGAGTCAGTTTCATTTCCGTGCCGAGAAGGTCAATTCAGCTGACATTTCTATCCTTAGGCCTTTACTCTGAACATGGTCCACCAATAGAGCTCGCTGACAGGATTAATGCCTCCTTCCCTAACCTCTTTATGGCCGGGATGGCACATCGAGTGACCAAACTTATCGCAGAAGCTGACAAGTTCGTCTCTCTTTAATCCCTCGCTATTCTCGTGCTGATGCGCTCGCTAAAAGAGAGACACTCGATGAGCTTCATAAACGGGGGTTCAGGACCAATGACGGCTACAAAGACTGCGGCCTAATTCTCATGGTTTGGACGAAGGCAGGAGGGTATTACATGAGTGCGCTTCTTCTCTTTTCCTCTGCGGTCGATGGAATTGATCGCCGAGTCAAAGATGTCGGTGGTAGCCAATACATTATCGATGGAAAGATCAAGCTCAAGAACGATTCCCAAATCCAATCGTTCACGCCAGACGGACTCAAGTTCGAGGACGGCAGCACACTCCCCGCCGACGTTGTTGTATTCTGCACTGGCCTTGCCGACCCACGGCACACCATCCGCAGCGTCTTTGGGGACGAGGTGGCGGACAAGTCGAAGCCCGTCTGGGGAATCAATGAAGAGGGGGAGATAAACGGCTGCTGGCGAGATCTGGGGTACAAAGGGATGTGGTACATGATGGGTATGCACCTGTTTTTCCCCTTCTCTTGCGAAGGAACGTGGAAGGCTGAACGGCGGCGATAGGAAACCTGGCGCTGTGCCGCTTTTACTCCAAGCCTCTCGCACTTCGTGAGTCTCTTGACTTTCTGACCTTTCTAGGAAGGTCGTTTGTTGTCCTGACTGATATGGCTGGCAACAGAAATCAAGGCGATGGAAGAAGGCGTCTTCGACGGACACCGATACGCTGCTGCTGAGTAAACATGGCCTTCCGTTCTCATTCGCATCCGGTCAACAAAAGCGATCCTTCGATTTCATAGTAAGAAGGGAACTAGAAATGTACAAATACACAAAGGGATGGGTACAAAAGAGGTCTACTCCAGTTGACGTTCTAAGATTTGGTTATCGGTATACGAACGCTCAGAAAAGGGTGATGTCTCTTCAAGAGAGGACTCGACACAGTATCAGATAGTAGTATGAGTATACGAAAATCGAAAGCACAGTGCACAAGCACAAAAAGCAGTGGCGAAGCAGTAGTAAGTTCGTACGTAGTACGAAAACGTCGAAGTAAGCATGGAAGTATTGGCGAATCCGGGCGTAGGGTGTTCGAAGCAATTACTAGTATACAAAGGTAGGGTATTAGTTAAATTAGTATTGTCGCATTTGCAGCAAGCCTGAATGAAGCACAAGGCCAAGATGGGCCAAAAAAGAAAGAAAAAAATAATTAGGCTGCCGTCGTTGTTGTTGTCGCGTTCGAGTTCATAGAAGTGTTCGTCGTAGTAGTCGAATTCATCAGAAGCATGTCCTTGATTCCTTTCCTCAGCTTCTTCACCCTGCCCATGAAGCTGTTGCGCGACCCTGGGCTCGGATTTGTGGCGGTGGACGCCACTAGAGAGTTTTGGTTGACGCCCCTCCCAGTGCCGCTCCCACTGGGTGCCACGGTTTCTGTGAACCTGAAACCTTCCTCGGCGGCCCCTGCCGACGCTGCACCCACGGCCAGCGCCATCCGTAACTCCGTCTGTCCACTCATCGAGAAGCCACCGCTACGGCGACCTTGAGATAACGATAACGAGTGGGAATGTGAGGACGAATGTGCTTGGGCGTCCATGTGCACTCGGGGGGATGGGGCGAGGCCGAGGGATGATCGTTGCGGCCGTGATGTGAAGGAGAAGGAGAGCCGACCTGGTGCGGGTGTAGGCGGCATCATGGGAAGGTCGTCATCACCGTCGTCATCATCATCTACGACTGCGAATGCCGAAAACACACCTGACGGTGCTGATGAATAAGGTGGGCTGACAAACATCGAGGACATGGAGAGATGGCGTGAGGCGGTCGTGCTCGCTGTTGAAGCAAGGGGTTGCGAGGGAGGTGGGTTGTACGATTGTGGGCGTGTACTGGTACTTGTCGTGGGTGGTCCGCTGAGAGAGGTGGGGCGTGACGAGGGTGGTGAGATGCCCTGCTTGCGTATCGCAGAGTAGTACGGCCTGCTTGGGTGCCCGATCCGTACTGGACTTGATGGTGCGGTGGAAGGAGCCGGAGGCACCTTGGGTGATGCAGGCGGCGTTGGCACGTCGCTGCTTGCAGACGCAAGTGATTCGGGCTCGGATAAATCTCTGGTGTGCGTAGGAAGGCTGAGGGAGATCGCGATCGGCTCAAGGGCAGGCCTCGGTGGCTGCGTCACATTCAGGTGCTTCTTGCGTCGAAGTGTACGGTGCTGGCTGTGTCGCGGAGAAATGGGCCGAGGGTCGTGATCGTCGTTTCTGTGGGCCGGTCTGTCTTCGTTGAAGTCGATGATGAGAAGCCGCCGGGAGGCTTTCAGCGTCCGAGACGATCGTTTCGCGGACATCGTGCGATCAACGCTGGGAATAACCTCCTCGAGAGGTTCCGGATCACAGAGACGGAGCGAGTCCTCCTGCCTGGTAGTCGCCAACACCTGCGAGGAGGCGAAAGGAATGAACGTTGATCAGTGGGTCCAGGAGGGGTCCAGCGTTTTATCACATACCGATTTTGTTGTCGTGGTAACATCAAGGAGGTCGTCAGCCCCATGTTCGGGGGACTGTCGCATATGGTTCAGAGCTGCGCTGGGATCCCGACCACTGTCGCTAGGGAAAGCTGTGTTGAGATCGTCCATGGATTCTGCTGCAGCGACGATGGGATGCGACTCTACAACAGATTGCAGCGCAGCTGGGAAACATGGCGGTTCTTGTCTCGATGACGAATCGCCTGGCGCTGGGTGTGAGGCCTTCTTAGGATCATGTGGGCGCTTCCACACCCCGGCTTGGTGGCCTGACATTGAGACCTCGAGTTGAAAGAACACCCGCGCTGGGGCACTAACGCGTCTTGCGCGTGGCGTAGATAACTTGAACGCGTGTCCTGCCTCCTGTGAGGTCCATGTGCACCAGAGACAAAGGGGAATAAGCGTGTTCGTAAAACCGCATCGTCGACAGTGGAACAGCGGTTGTCCTGGGGGTATCAACTGAAACTCTGGCAAGGAGCTGTATTTGGGTATATTCTGGATATGATCTATCAAGCCCAACATCGGAAGAATACGACTGCAATACGCACCAATTTGTTTCGATTCCAGCTGCGACGGAAAACTCGTGTCGTATCCTCCCTCTTCATGCCTGCTCCTCGTTGAATATCGCGCCCGCGCTCCTCGTCGTCGTTCGTTCGTGGCAGTCAAGAGGCCCTAGGAGGCGGAAGGGTTCAGGAAGAGGTTGGTGGGACCAAGATGTGTCAGGTCTTGGACATGTGGACTATATAACCCGAATGCCCTTTGATCCGATGGTCCCCAGAAGCGCAATTCAAGTGAAAGCGGTCCATGACCTTGGAATTCAGTTCCTTTGTTGTGAACCCTTGTGGAATTTTGGGGTTTCAAGCTTGGGGTTAGATCGTGGTAAGTTCTTGTCAGAGTCGGTGCGTTCAAGCTCCTCAAGCTCCTCCATTATGTAAGCCTCCTCTTTGCCTTCCACCATGTCCTCGAAAACCTCGAAAGAAAATCAAAGCGCCCTTATCGACGTCCTGGGTCTCGAGAAGCTCTCAGGTTCCGATTGATCAGAAATTCTTGATGATGCTATGCAATATGTTCTCTATTGTGCTCTCCCGAGCCATGTTTCCCCATCCTGTCATCTTGACGGCGTCAGCTGTGCATTATCTGGGTCCGAACTGGATAACCGGACTGCGAATCTTGACGCGAACTACAGAGTCGTACATCGTACATATATGAAAACGGCGGAACCAGAACGCTGACGCGACAGACGAGATGTCGCCGTCAGCCTCTGCGGCTTTTTCTGAAATAGATATCCTCCAAGTCTGAAATTTTTTGCGCCCTCTGGTCGTCTGCTGTGGTTATCTTGCCCTTGCGAGGCTGACTCCATGGCGTCCCCCATTCTCGAGGTTCTCGGACGGCTCTGGGCGATTATGCTGGCGTTTGTCGGAGGATCAAAAACATCCGAGGTTCCTTCTCTTCTCCCCCTCCGGCGAGAAGTTAGAACGGATGGTTTTCGAACCGGTAATTAAATCATCTTTATCTCTTCTGATGCTGAATACTGAATGCCGCCGAAAGAGACATGGCACAGTCAGAAGGAGCAGTTCTTGCGAGACCCGAGTTTGCGGTCGAAGGAGCAACATATCGCTGACGCCATGGCTGCGCTTTCGAGGAGAGAGAGGGGTAGCAGGGCGAAGGATCGGCATGCTCCAGTCGTCCCGCCTGTTTTCACCGTTGAGGATTGGAGCCTTCCGCCTCTCAACCAGAATTCGAAGCCCCCGCCTCGACCGCCCAGACCGCCATCTTCCAACGCTCTTCCTGCAGTAATTGTCACGCCGTGTACGCCTACGATCGACGGGTCCACGTCTTCTAGCATGCGAGAGATCATCTTTCCTTCTCCAAGCGCCTCCCCACTTGAGCTCTTCCAGGGATACCAGCCCGGGCAGCACTTGTCGCCGGATGATGTCTTCGGTAGAAAGGGTACCAAGACTGCCGACCCTCCGCAGGCGAGTCCAGCTTGTGCGGAACTTCAGGTTCAAGAGGAAGGCGACATGTCAGAGACGAAGCTCGATTCCGACGCTGCCAATCTCGTCGAGCCTCGCCGATCCTTCATCCTGCCAGATTCACTCAAGGCAATCAACTTCCAGCTTCCCAGATACGACTCAAACCCTCTCTCTGCTGCTAACGTTTCGTGGGACTCGTCGTGGCTGAATCCAAGGACGAGCATCGACGAGGTCCAACCCAGGGCGCCGTCGTACGTGACCAGCACTCCTACAAAGCGATGTCGGGCAGATAGCGACACACGGGCGTCAGAACTTCTTGGTTTCTGTGATGCTTCGGCCTCCACCATTCAGGAAATTTCTCAGTCCGAGATCGCTAGACTGCCTGCTTCTCCGTCTCCTGCGCCGTCGTGGACTAGAGCGCATTCATATTCACGCTCGGCTCCAAGTCTCATCTCAGTCCCAGGCTCGAGTTGGCACCTGACAGACGACCAACTCGACTTCCTCCCTTACCCCGACGTCTTCGACCTGGACATGTATTTCGGCTCGCAATCTGCACGGTCGAGCGTCGCGTCGTCTTACCGGAACAGCCGTCCGCTCTCAGCCACGCTCCTACCGCCCACTAGGGGCAATCGTCGTTCTTCCAGTACGCCAACGCTTGTATCCAGCTCTTCTGGTCCGCGAGAACTACCGCAGAAGGGCGTGCGGCACTCGTCGAGCACGCCAATATTTAGCGCAGGGCCATCTGGTCCTCGACCACGTCGCGGGGAGAAGAGCGACTCCAAACACTTACATCGTCGGTCCCAGAACCAGAACGCCGCAATTGTGACGAACCATTCCACGACCGCGCCTCGCTCCCCGCGGCGCTTTGGGTTCGTTTCTGAAGTTCCGAGTTCGACGAGAGGGCCAGGTGAGCGTGAGGTCAAGCGTCATCGAGATCGACATGCGGCAAATCCGTCCTCTACACGCTCGGGGACACGCGCATCTGGAGGTACGGCAGCGAACACAAGTAAAGGGAAGGGGAAAGAGAAAGCGTCCGACAAACCAATACCTGTGGTGCTGCCACTCCAGCCGTCTCGCAGGGCTAACACAACCGCACGCCCGAGTCATAGCGCCAGTACTAGTCGACTACCAGTCAGGGTTTCCGACTCAAGGAATACCCCATCCGGAAGGTCGACATCCACGCCTACTCGAGCGGCCACCACCCAAGCGACCTCCTGGTCTCTTGTGTCTCCAACTGCCGCGGTGACTTCACAGGAGACACCACCTCCGCCTATCGTTGTCGTCTCGCCTTCCGAGTCGATGTCCTGGGACATCGAGTACGCTCTGGAGCTTGACTTTCCTGCTGTCCCTGGGAGCAGTCGCCGTCCTGGAGCTGCACGGCCAGCAAGCACTCCCCAGGACATTGACGCCTATCCTGACATCGAAAGAGACTCGAGCGACTCGGATTCTATCTCCCTCGCGGCGCTCAAGGCGCGCCTGCGTGAAGCATGCGACAACTTCTCGAAGTCTCTCATGACCTCTGACGAGTCGGGTTCGCTCAATTTGGAGCTGGAGTCTTTCGGTTTGAATAGGCTGGCGACGGATGGTCAGGCTGGGCTGAGGTTTCACTGATCCTTTTCACACATTCGTTTAGAGTTAACTTTCATTTTGTCTACTGTCTTTACTGTGTACCCCCCTGGAAATAGAAATGAATTGGTTCAAGTTGTGGTGTGTCGGTCCCGGTTCACAATGCTTTCGCATCGTTGTACAGGCAAAAATCCTATTCCCACAAGTTTGTTGAGCGCTTGAAAAATGTCGGACTCTTGTTTGACCTTTGTCCTAGGTAATGTAGAGTAGGTGTATATGATGCATTACCAATAGGTCGTTGTGGCTGTCAGGTCTCCCTTTCGATCAATCATCTACATGCGCGAACGCCGTCGGAGCAAGAGGTGTTCAACGACATCAGCAATCTACAGTTCTTCTTAGTTTTGGTCTCCTTTGCTCCAGCACAGGATGACTTATAGGCTCTATATTACAGGGTACATACTCTACACTTCGTTATCAATGACGTAAGGCATGTAAAGGACAGAAAGAGAGAACAGGAGGAGTACGTAACGCTTCAGAGAAACCCCACCTATCTGCGGGTTTTTGGTCACGCCCAACCCCATTGAAAATTGACCAGACCCAAAGGCTGCCCATGTCACCCAACATCGAATCCACCTACGCCGCAGCATATGAATATCTAAGACACAAGACAGACTACGAGTAGGAAGAAAACGACAGCCTTCTGGGCTAAAACAAGACCAGGCAACGATCTTGTCTAGTTCCAAGAAAATCCGAGGGAGAGAGGCGGGGAACGAGGAAAGAGAAACTCACAACAAATTCAGTAGAACGCGCATCAGAAAACGGATAGATAAGAGAGGTATGTAACATGGTAAATGGTCTCAACGGCGGTATCTTCGATATCAGTTGCGAAAGGGCACCGGACAAGGAAGGCGAGAGAAGAGGAACGGAAGAGGTGGTGGACGTTCGGAGGAAGGATACATTTCTAGCCGGGAGGGGCTTATGTACCCTGTCGAAATTCAAATCTTTGGGGAATGCCTTGTGAAGCTTGAAGAGCGATTTCGTTTGGGGAAACCATTTTTGGCAGCTTGATTTCCGAATTCGGAAGCAACGGCCAGGGATCACCGGGGCCAGCCTTGCGCGATGAAAATGGACTGTGACTACAAAATCACGGTGTATGGAGAACGAAGTAGAATCGCTTGATTACACCAATGAAAAAAGCTTCATTATTTTGTAATGGTATCACTAAGGGCTACAAGGTTAGATATCGTACAGAGATGGATGGTTGCGGATTAGTGGCAATGTATAGACAAGTCCGTAGTAGAGTCAGTGTTCAGAGAAGGGCTGATTCACATCTACTACATGTTCCAGAGGCTCCGGCGGTTCTTCCGGTCAAGCTTTCTGCTGCGCCTGCTCATCAGTGCGATCCTGGAGCGGCTCCACGGCCGATGTGCGTCGCTCATGTCGCGTTTGGTCTTGGCATACTCTGTGGTCGACCCCGCACCTGAAGAGAGAGAAGTGGAAGCTTGTCCGCAACCACGGGGGGTAATTGCATTAGTCGAGTCGTTGATGGATGCGATGGGCAGCTTCGCTGAGACGTCGGCAAGGAGGGGCATGGCGGCGTTCGGAGCAGGGGTGGGAATGGAGAGGTAGGAATCGATGAAGATGTCGTCTTGGGCGCCGTCAAGGAAGTTGTAGCGATCGTTGTAGACGGGTGGGGAGTAGGTGCCTTCGAACATCTGACAACAAAGATTAGAGGCGAAGTAGAAGGAAGGGTAAACGAGATGACCTACATTGTTGCGCTCATTATTGAACCAATAGAAGGGTTGTTTGGCGCCATAGGTACAGTTCGCTGGGGCAGCCTGGAGTCGGTTGTTGACGGGGTCTGCACCGCAACGACGAGCAACTGTGGGCTTGGCGGGGGGGACGTCGGAGATCGAGCCAGTTACGTTGCACCGAAAACCGTTCATGTAGTCTGCGATAAAAAGAACAATAAGCGCGACGCTAGACACAAAAGAAAAGCAAAGCTTACTCTCTTCTCCACCACTGTTAGGCTAAGAGGACCAGAGCATCAATAAGAAGTTTGAAGAAAACAAGGACAATAGCATACCGAGTGGATCCAGAAGAACGAACAAATGCATCCACCTTCAGGACAAGGAGGCATGCGAGCAGGAACTTGGAAGTCCGTGAAGCGCGTCCAAACGCAGGTCTGGTTCACACTAAAGATTGTGAAATCCTCCGGCTGGACCTGCTTCACGTCGCTCTTGTACGCGATAGCCAATGCACACCCTTCCAAATCATCAAAGCCTAGAGTGTGGTACGCCTCTGTGCCCGAGTTGGGACACACGTTGTTCGGGTTGTTGGGGTCGCGAACGTCTCCTCCTTCTGATGAGGCGAAGTACGATGTAGCGCCTTTGTTGCATGCAATTTCGGCAGTCGCTGGCTTGCCTGCCGGCAGTTCGAAGAAATCGCCTTCGTTAGGTGGATAGTCGAGATGGTTGTGGAACCACCACTTGTCAAAATTCATATTCTTGATAGGCGCGACCGGTCTGTTGTCGTAGTCGAAAGTCTTGTCGGTGACGTTGAATCCCCACATGCTCGGGTGGAAGAAAGCTGCGATAGAGTTGGAGATGTAAGAATCGAACAAGCATCAAAGGTTTGACCAACTCACCAGAGTGTCCAGACACCTGAGGTAGTAGCGTAAAAACAGCAAGAGAAACGATAGCCAGCATGTTGAATAGATATAATCGTGAGCGTAGGCTGAATGAAGTTGATAAGTTTTGAATAAGGATCGGTAATGAAGTCGTGAAGTGTTAGAATGGAAAGAAGGAAAACTGAAAGCAGTTTAGTCCACCTGTGGACGGAGATAGAAACGAGGCGACGGGGCATGGTGGATCCACCGTCTTATAGGACCTCAGGACAATAGACCGAGGACAGTGAACAAAAGAGAAAATGCCATTGTATTACGTAAGTCATGCGGCCCGGCGAAATGACCAAATACAGACCAAACAAAAGCTGTGAATACGAACCCCAGGAAAGAACTGGTCATCGACTACCTATTTGGAGGGTGCTATGCAGCCTAGCTTTGAAGAGTCGGTACCGTGAGAAGCATCGATTGACTGCTGTCGAAAGCTGACTTTTCAGGACTTCGGAAATGGATGAATCGGAACGGTGCTGTTGGTACGCGAAGGAAAGGCATGACGACAGAGTTGATGGCTTCATACGAATCAAACTTCATTTTTCCTGGAGGATTATGTGAGAGGTGCCGTCGTGAATTTGAGGTTGATATTTTGAGAGAGCCATTTTCGGCAGTTGGCTTTCCGCATTAGGAAACCCGGTCGTCCTCGAGCTCATTTATCGATGCAAAGTGGGCATGCAGGTAAGGAAGTAGAGAGATAAAATAGATGAAGACCAAAAGAGAAGGAGATGCATCCTGTGGAGCTCAAGCGCTTGCATTGAGAACTCAGAAAGCCAAAATTGGAACAAAGTAGCCCACCGCGAGGGTCGAACTTGCAGCCTTCAGATTCGCAAGGAATGATGGAACACCGCCTAAGAGTCTGACGCTCTATCCGATTGAGCTAGGCGGGCCATGTACGGGTGCCCTCGTGGCCAACCTGATCGCGCCATGCCTCGATTTGGACAAGCGCCCGATGATTCGATACTTGTCAAAAACTTCAGCGCCTCTAGCGCCCATGGCAACTTTACCTAGATGTGCAAACAAACAACCTGCCCTCTTAAGAGTCCGCTGCTCTGTCCGATCATTGAGCTAGTGGGTTGTGTCAACAGGGGCCCAACAGTTCATCACGCCTCTGTCCGGTCTCGAAGATGGTCAGAATTTTGGGAAAGATCGTCGTAGAACTTTGTGGCCCCAGGCAAAATGGCGCTACCTAAGGTGAGAGGCAATTTATTGGATGAAATTTGATAACATTACACTTGGAATACCTCCATAGTACTGTCCTGCAATCGCCCTCTCTTGTAAGACTTATTGAGATCCTCGACTATGGTGTAAGTAGAGTATTAACTTTAGATACTTCATCCACGCAAAATACACGAACCTTGCTCGACTTTCTCCTTGATCCTCGGCATCCACTCTTTATAGATAGCTAATTCCTCCGCCATGTCCTTCATCTTTTCTGTAGTTTTATTGGCTCTAAGCTCGCGATTTAATTCGGAAATTTCGTCTTCTGCGACTTTCACTTTGGGTATAAAGCTAGGTCACTAGCCAATCTCGCTGCAAAGAGAGAGTGCATAAACAAGGAGGGTTCATAAATATACTTACGTTCTCCTTCTAAATGATCGATTATGTCTTCCTTCTCCCTGACTTCCCTTTCAAGCCTCGTAATCTCGTCCTCGTAGCCAACGTAGAGCTCCTTCCAGTCGTTTACTATCGACCACAAGTTAGCATCAAATTAACCTTCTTATTTCGCCGAGCAAAGTGGCTCTGAATCCATTAACATTTGGTTTCAAACCGGATATAGTCCTGTTGACGCTTAATTTTCAGATCACGAACTAAAAAAGTAGTGAATAATTCAAAAGCCATCGAACATGAGAACCACCATGACACGGACCTTTGTATTCGAGTTTCACCAGGGGAGTCTCTTCCACCTCGACGAAGGCCGCCATCGTATAGAGCGTCTTTGGCTGCAGGTTTCAAAGTAGGCAGATCTGGAGACCTTCTCCTTCTTGAGAGCGTCCTTTTAATATTGAACGCCGGCGCGGACTGCGATACCTGTCAAATTGCCTTCGGTTACAATCGCCAGGCGAAGATAGTCCATGTCAAAATCGAGTAATCAACATTTCAGAATCTCAGCTGAGACAGGCCTTGAAGTATCGGAGTACTAGATTGCTATTCGTAGGAATGGGATGACGAAAACAGGACGGCATAAACTGAGGTACGTACGTAGTGCATGAATATAAAAGACGTTGCATAGAAGAAATCTGGAAAGCAGTCCAACGTTCTGAAAGGGATACCAATAAGGATAGAGAATCAAAATCAAGGCAAAGCAAAAAAGCAACCAAAGCCGGTGCTGTAGAGCAGAGTAGAGTAGGGATGGCGTATATGAAGAAAACAAGCGTGAGGATTCCGTGTGCAACAGGCGTAACGAGAAAAGGTCCCTTGGCAAGGAGATCAAGAAAGAAGAAGATGCAACCCATACGACGTAGTTGCTAATCGGTCATCGAACCATCTCAGATGACACACCATAGCTGTTCAATGAGCGGACAACCTCAGCGCCGAAAGTCGACGTCGGAAACCCATTCCCTTGCTGTCCCTGTCCTTGGCCACAACTGGTACAGGAGACTCCCGTTCCGGAACCTCGGACAACGAGATCAACTCCCCAGAAGAGGACGACAACCGCGCCATCTCTGACAGTGACAAAGACACCGCGAGCGGTTTCCCGGTCCGCGGCGCTGGTAGCCGCTCCTCGTCCTCGAAAATAGGCTGCGAAGACAAGTTGGGCGTACTCAGACGCTTCCGCGATGCGAGGCCGTCGGGGAAGGACAGTAGTGTGCTGATCCGCTTGTAAGAGGGTGATTTTCGGAGCTTTCTGGGCCTCGGAGTGCTCTCGATAGGCTCCTTCTCGGGACGTTCGGGCTCTTTAAACTTCATCCCGGACGGGGAGGTCGAAACGCCAGCCGAATTTGGCGACGTTGGTGATGAGAGCGCTCGGAATCGCATGCTCGGAGGGTTGTTCGCGTCGAAGCCCGCGAGGAGGTCGTTGACGTAATCCGGGATTGTCACCTCGATGTCGGCACCTGAGAGGATTTCGTCTTTCGGCCGTAAGGAGCTTCTCCAGATTGTAGCCGTGCCGTCGATACCTCTGGGCGAGAGTGGAGAGGGTGGTATGACTTCAGAGATCGGGGTGAGGAGGGCGGGATGTGATCTGGAGGTGGAGGCAGCAGTGAGAGGGGGTGGAGACAAAATGGACGAAGGTGAAGTTGCTGATGGAATAAGAGTCGGAGGTGGAGACGGGGGTGGAGGTGGAGAGACCGCCGATCGCTTTTGGTGGACCGCGAATTCGAAATGTCGGCGTGGTGTGGAGGTCAGCAGGAGAGGTCGTGGTTGGCCATGGTGGCATGTTTGTGGTACCTCAGGATTCTCAACCGCCTTCTCCTTGGTAGGTCCACGTTTACGGTACTTATGCCGAAGAGACACACGGTGGCGCGGCGATTCAAGAAACCTGACCAAGTTGATAGTGGATTTCGGAGGAGAAGAACGAGCCTGTGAAGTCGAGGGCTGTCGTAGTGGCAAGTGTTCTTGTTGGATGACCTTTGACAGCTGTTCGGAAGCAACGAGCCGTCGTTCCTCCATCCATCGTTGGCGTTGAATCGATTGGTAATGGTCTGGTTCCATCTCGCGGTTGGCTAACAACTCCCGCAATTTCTCCAGTACCTCGCTAGAGTCGATGATATGAGCATTGAGCACGGAGGTAGCATTCTGTAGTGCAGCAATTTGAAGTTCGTAGGTCGACGGTTCGTTCAGGCAACGGTTGAAAGTCTCGACTAGACCAAGTTCTGCCTTTGAGTAACGGACTGATCGACGGGTGGTAGCCTCCTCGACTTGCGAGACACAAATTTTGGGCTTTGCTTCTCGTGGGTCCGAGGGTGTTGAAAGGGGGACAATTTCGCTTGGTATACTGTGAAAAGGTAATTAGGGGCGGTTTACGACAGGCTATGAAGTCCCATGCCTGATCACCATAGTCATTGGGTATTGAGACTCTAAGGGTTTGTTAGTGCGCTCCTTTATATCGTTCAATACAGAGTTAAGATTGACGTGAAGGATTTCTCACCTGAAAGACACGGATCTTGGTTCGTTTCGCCTCCATATTCTCAGGTGGAGGAAATGCCTATTCTCCGCTGAGCACGTAGGTGACGAACTACATGTAGAGTATTCCCCTAGAGTCACTCCAGAGGACGTAAATAGGTAAATGCAGCGAACGCTGGCAGAGGAGGAGACAGGCTCAAGGAGAAGACGGCGCTCAGCGGAAGAGCCACTGCCAGCCAGGCTCACTTCGCCAGCCCTGCTTCACAACGGTAACGTGATCGTGGATGATGGGAGGCCAGAAAAGGAAGTCTCGTCCGAATTTCGGTGCACAAAGCAATTCTCTTTCTTACCCCCATGACGATTTCAACGGTAATGCGCGTCAAGGCGAAAACGGTTCCGCGAACCCATGATCCAGTGAGAATGCTTTGCGCAGACAAAAAGGACGCTTTGGGCCACCACAAATGGGAAGCCCCTCCGAGTGGCATTCGACGCGTGCGCGGGCCCAATCACGACCCGCACGCGTTGCTTTGTTCGCCCAGATTTCTTTGTTGTATATAATTTCCTTTCGCCCTCGACCTCTGCATTCCCTTGCATTCCCTCCTTTTCCTTCTCGAATCCTCGTCAACTTTCTCTCTGGCCAGAATGACAACGACGAGGACCGTCCCGAACCCGTATTTCCCTCCTCAGTACCCTCATGCGACAGATTTCGCTGGTGCCACTGGGTCCAATCCTTTCATCGATGCCTCTCCAACGAATTCGAATTCTCTAATGAAGTTCACGAACTTCTGCTTGCCTTCAGACGATGATCATTTCGTCCAACCGCAGCCTTCGATGCCAGCTGATGTCGTTCATTTCAACACGAATATCTTCACGCAACCCGCTCCGAGCCCTGCGCATGGTTTCGGGGAGGATCTCCAATCCAGGGTCATCACAGCCAAGGAAAGAGGCGGTCTGAAGAGCGTCGACTACTTGCACAAATTTGCCCGCGCGACTGGCAAATACCCCAAGCTGGGTATGTTCTGCACGCCAGGCGGCGACGATGTTGATCCACACGACGTTCGCCGATCAGCATATTCTCAACCCGTTTCGCCTCCCGTCGTTTACCCTGTCAAGCAGTTTACAAACCTCCCTGTATACAACGACGGAGCGCCGCTGAGGTCACCAGGAGCGGGGTCCATTGCACAGGAGCTAACGGAGTCAACAGATGCCACCATTGCAAAGAAGAAGCTCATGTTTACCGAGCCCGAGCAGTTCGCGATCGCCAAACCCCCTAAGCGCCGTTCCCTCGTCTACTACTTCGACTCTGACAACGACGAGGAGCAGGAAGAAACGCCGTCCAGCCCTGGTGGGTCAGAGTACCGCGACTCCAGCCCAGAGTTCGTGCCTTCCGTCACCATAAAACTGCCAAAGCTCCACCAGATGCGCGCCCCAGCGTCTCCCAACAAGAAGCGCAAGTTCGTGCAAGCTAACGACGCGAGGCCTCCGTCGCACATCGCCAATGCCAACGCCCAACCCGACACGAACCTCAACGCACCCTCCCCGACGCCCACTCGCCAAGACAGTGAACAACCCTCCACATCGAGCAACGACAAGCCGTTCTACGAGGTCCGGGACAAGTCTGGTAAGATCATTTACCAGTGCCGCGACTGTGTTGGGTTCAGCACCCGCGCGCTCGGCGACATGGGCCGCCACCTCGAGTCGAAGGCGCACAAACCGCCGAGCCACTGCTGCCAGTTGTGCCCGTCGGTATTTACGAGAAAGGACGCTCTGGTGCGGCATGAGAAGAGGAAGCATAAGCTTGGAGGGTGGTAGGTAGCCTGAGTACTAGTACAAGGAATGCGATGGAGCTACGGGTGGTCGAGCTTCAAGCTTCAAGCTTCAAGATCCATGCGCATGAAGATTAGGAATAACGAATATGAGAATTACGACTATAACGAAAACTATCATTTGACCAATAAAATAAATTTTACTATGGCTTTTTTGCCTTAACGCTGCCCTGAGTGCGCAGGAAATTGGAATCCATGATTGTAGAATCCCGAAGCTCCGGATAAACAGTGCCTGGGCGTCTAGTCTTTGCGATCGAGATCACTCGATCATTCCCGCGACGATCACACCGATGACATCTGTCCCACAACAGGCGCCTATACTGAGCTGTAGCAGATTGCGCTTTGGAAGCGGCCACTGTGGCTTTGGGATGCAATTCGGAGCTTCAAGCTTCATGACTCAGGGGGTACAAAGCGGCTTGACAACAGAGGGTCGTGGGTTGACTGCGTGACGTCTTGCTGCAGGGGCCACCGGCGTAGAAGACGAGTTCTTGGATTCCTGTGGCCTGGTATAAGTCGAAATAGCGAACTTTGTTTGTTGACTACACATGACGGCGTTGAATGGCCTTAGCGAAACCTGTGAGCCACTGTCCAAATTTTATTGTGGCCCGTCAGGCATCAATCCAGGCACTTGTGCCCTTAGCCGACAGCTATAAATCTGGTCGACATCCCGTTTCGTGGGCCGCATACGCGTTCACCTTAACCACCACCACCGCTCACACCTAAAGTACTTCTCCTTCATCACCAACTCACTCCACAAATTCCAATATGTCAAACGGACACTACCAGTTCCACTACGGGCTGCAGGACAGCCAGTCATATGGGTGTGTCAACTTGCGTCTGTTTCATTGTCTTCTCGTCGTTCTGAGATTTTTTACAGAGATTCGAGACATCTCCCCTCCCCAACGCCCTCTTTCGACCACGCGCCCATCCAGGCACCTCAACTTCGCGACCGTGCGCCCTCCTGGACGTCCGTCACCAGCACTTACACCGGGTACGACGGAGAGGACGCAGTTACCTATCCAACCCCGGATGCGCTTGCTTGCAAAGAATGGATCCTGCAGCAGGAATTGAAACGACAGGGGGAGGCGATGTTGGCAGCACGTGGTTACAACATGGGGGCGGCGGAGACCCCACCACAGAGCCGGGAGATGACTCCGAGTGATGGTTCGGCGTCGACGTACGACGGGTCTGACGACGATGAAGATACAGAGACGGAGGGAGGGGATTTCGACGACGGAGCGAGCTCGATCTCTCGTATTCGCTATCGCACCCCCTCCGTCGAGCCGACTTACTACTACGCCCGCTCGGCCACCGCGCCCCCTGCGCCTCCGACGCCCACTCGAGGACCCATTCCTGGCACTTCTGATTCGGTGTCTGCCGCATCAACCAGTCTGTCCGAGTCTACGGAAGGCCGTCCTCGACGCGCCAACAAGCCAAGCTTGCGCAGGCGCGAACACGATGAGTACATGTCCCGGACGTCCCCCAAGAAGAAGCAATACGGGTCATACAGTCTCAGCGCTGGAGGAACATCGCGACGTTTCTAATTGAGAGCGTGGCATCGATGGACTCCTGACAATTACTCACTCTATTTTTTTGCGCCTCACTCCCTGCCTTACAATATGCTCTAATCTCGCAGTTTTCTAATTTACGTTCTCTAAGTATTTACGTACATATGCTCCTATGAATTATGACGCCTTGCTCTATGCCGAAATTTGAATCGCTATGTTTACTTTCTGACAAAGGGGCCACGATATTAAACGACAAGCAGCAACAGTGGTCGAGTGATTTTCTGGAAGGTAATGTAATGAAAAGCCTCGGGCTGGTGGCCCATCTCTTCCGTATCTGGGCTCATCGCTGACACTTTGTCTCGCTTAACTCTGGGTCCATTGTTCACAAGACAGAACCGAGTAATTTGCCGGTGACTCACACCACCTCTAAGTTGCAAACTGCAAGGATGTTCGACTCGTCCTTTGCCCTGCGTTCACGCGGATGCTTCCCTCGTGCTCGAGACCGAAAAAAGGGCGTATGACTCGCGATTTTAAGGCCTAGAGTATATGGGGGATCCTTTCTGGGAACATATACCACGGAGCTCTAAAATGTATCCACCCCGACATTTGGGTCCTTTCTGGAGTTTGAGCACGGTGGCCCAAGTCGCCAAGAACTACCGCATGGTGCCCCGGCTTTCTCAGTAACAGAATTTCCCTTTTGGGATGGATGGTACCACAGGATTGGACTCCAAAGGATGGGTTCGCTGATTCGGGTGAGCTCTAAGTAATGCTTATAAAAACAGAGGGGAAAATGTAGGGTTCCAGTGCCCTCTTTTCGTCTTGTACCTCCATCACCCCCAACGTTTCGAGTTACCTATCTTTCTTCTCCTTTCGCGGCCAACTCCATAACTCTCTGCAATGTCTTTAGGTGGCTCATTCTCACGCAGCCTCCCTCTCATCGAAGACCTATTTGGGTTGCTGAGCCTTGAGGACCATGATAGTGGTCCGTTATATACCGCCGCTGCTGTTGAAGATCAAGACATTTTCGACTGTCTCATGAGCGGGGATATGGAAAGGTACCAGAAGCTTTTCCAACAGTGAGTTTTCGCTTTTTACACCTTTTTCCAAGATATAATTTAGTATTGACATTAGGCGCTGTCCTAACGACAATCCCGCGCTCCCCTTATTTGCGAAAGAGAATCTCTTTCTCTTTCCTACCGTTACGGCGTCGGTCAGTGTTTATCTCTCTTTCGTGTTCTAAATGTATTCCTGATAGTGAACGTATATGCAGCCACCACCTTCACCGGACGGTAGTGACATATCTTTTGCACGATACCAAGCCGAGGTGGCTCACATATTGTCTGCGGATCCGCCATTCGACGCTGCGACGACCGTCCACTTCTCTGAGACCGGAGAGCTCGTGTCTGGAGCCCGCTCGTCCTCTGAGCCCTCAAGTTCTGACTGGTATGAGTCGGAAGAGATGTCGGATTCTCTGTTCTCTGGGCGACTGACCCCAATCGAAAACTCGGACGATGAAACCGACTCCGATTATATTGTCGAGGAGTCGGAGTCTGCGGAGTCTGTGGCGCATCACCAAATTGGTGCAAAAGGCGCACCATTGTCAGGAACATCGATCTTGACTTCGGCGACATTGGCGACACTGTCGGCCGCAGTTATTTCCATAGCCCCGGAACCTGTACTGCTGCGGAAGATGGCACCCTCGGATAGGCTCCGCCCTGTCAAAAAGATCATAAAGAAAGAGACGTACTGGAAGGTCGTCTTCAAGACGGGCTACCCTAAGATTTTGCATTACTGCAACAACCGACTGTCCGTTCTCGCACCATTCGGCCACGCAGGTCACCCGCCATTGTCGGTCGAAGACGGACCATGTCGACCAAAACCAGCGAAGTGTTTACTATTGCTATTTCTGCAGGAAGGACTTTCACCGGGCAGACGTCCTTAGGCGCCACAAGAGGAGTGGGGAACACGGAAAGAATTTTAGGCAGGCATTCAGAGACATCAGCTCCGGTCTGCACTTGCTGCTGGAGTTCGATACCGAGTATTTTGTGGAATTGTCCGAGCTGGACTGAAGGACTGATATAGGAATCATCAGATAATCATTTCGATTTTATTTATTTGCTTGTACGTCGTCGTTATAGTCTCCATCTTTGTACCACTAGAGCATCCGTATTACACTTTATCTATAGGAACGGAATATGCGTAAGCATTTGGTGCTGATGTACGAAATAACAGGAAATTTATTTCTGGATTTACTATAAATGACATTTATTACCACAAGTAGCCGTCGAATTTCAGATCCACATTCGCCATCGAAATCGCGCTTCTGAGTGATATAAGAAGCTACTGTTGCTTTTCGGAGCCGAGAGGTGGGAGGCCAGCAGCCTTCAAGTCGGCATTGATCTGGTCGATATGGTTAACGAATTGACCTTTCAAGTCGTCCCACATCTTCGGCTCATGCACTACATAATGTGTGCCGTCAGGAGAGAGCTGCATCCGAAGAGGAAAAGAACGCACTGTGTAACTTCCCAGAGCGCTTCATGGCATAGTCAGTGATGGTGAACATCATGCTGGACTCGAACATGAAAGCTAGACGATTCGGGTGAATGAGACGTTATTAGAAGCGACAGGATCAACATACCGATAGTTCCTTCGTGTATTCGCATTGGAAGCAGTTCACCCTCGGTGGCCTTCTTGAATTCTTCATATGATACTAGACATACAGTGAGGCCAATTCAATGAGCAGTGATCGCGGATGCTTACCTCCGTGTGGGCAGAATCCAGTTTCGAAACTCGCACCACCTGGATAAACTTAGATGGGTCCCACTTCCGGTGAATTAAGAACCTACCAGGCTGGAATCCGTCGCTCCGTCCTCCGTAAATTCCGTAGAGAAGGCCCATGAATTCAGTAGAAGAGTTTCGGTGATAGTACTACAGGGTGGATGTTGAGAGCAGCCCAACAAAACTCCGAGGTCCTTACCGGAGGCCTGAATGTGCCAGTAGCGACGTCCCACCGAGGGCTGAAGATGAGGAAGTCCGCAAGCGGGACTCCATCCTGCTTGGACTTCGCGGTGAGGACGCAGAAAATCGATGGGTCGATGTGATCCTTCGAGATGCTTCCTACGTTGACAAACTTCTCCAAAGCGTACTTGTAAGGAACATAGCTGTGTTGGGGTCAGATGCTACAACGGTGAAGATGAAACGAAGAGGCACCTACTTTCCGTGCCAGGCCACAACATCGAATGGTGTATGCTCCTGTGCGCAGGAATGGAGCTGACCGCCAACCCTGGTAGTGACAGAGACGTCAATCACCGATAACCGCAATGCGGAGGAGTCAATTCACTTGTACACAACTACGAGATGTCAGATCAATGGCCTCGAAGAAAACAGAAGTGATTGCTTACTTTTCCATGGGCTTTGATCGAGGTCGAAGGTCGCGACGGGATGCTCGAAGTCTCGCGGATTAGCAAGACCATTGCCTCCAAGAGGACCAAGCTCAGGGAGTATATAATGAGAGCCATAGATTTCTTGGATATCTATTGGCCTGCCGTCATTTCTGGCGCGTAATCAACTAAATGAAGGACTCACAGCCACGAGAAGGTCCGTCAGGCAGGACAACCTACGAAGAGATTAGATGAGTGGGCGTCATTAGTTTCTCCGGAGTCGTGACTACCCACCTTGAACTTGATTCCTCTCTGAATAACGCATAGTTCACCAGACCTCACCATAAGTCTGGACGACCATTCAGCACAAGAATTTCAGGGGGATGGTCATTACTCACTTCCCGTATTCAGTCTGAATGTCCAGACGACCCTGCTGAGGCAAGATGAGCATATCACCATCGTTGTTGCAGAAAGCCTTGTTCTCCATGGACGTGTTGGCCAGGTACATGTGGATGGCAAGGCCTTCATGGAGCGTAGGGTCACCATTCCCTGCAATGGTCTTCAAGCCGTCGATCCAGTCCACTTTCTCTGAGTCAGGCGGGATATCGAAGGGGTGCCATGCAAGCTGAGTAGGGCTGAAATGGACCTTCGGGTTCAGGGGAAGAAAACATGATTCGAGCTGTAGGATGGCTTTAGAACAGGGGGTGCACAGAAGAGAGAACCGCTGACATCTGGGTTGTCCGGCAGTCGGGTGAAGCCTTGGTGCGCGACCGACGGACGGATACGATACAACCAGCTGGGGTGCCGCACAAAGAGCGGACAAACATTTATCAAAGCATCCCATCCATATCCGAACGAAACGACTCACGAATGAAGGTTCTCATGACGAGGGGCGACGAAGGAAGATCCGGTCATCTAGCCCCGATTTGATAAGTGCCTTGTCACGAGTACGATGGTGGAGGTCGACTGACCCCTTCGGTATAGAGATCATACTTGTTGCGCTGCGGGCTGTTCTGGGCATGAGGGAGGGTACCGGGGCTAAGAGTCATAGGGGCGAGCGCTGTTGAGTACAATCCAATAGGCGACAAGGCATAACTCACAGAGCCTCACTCGCAAACGCGTTCCCGAAACCGACTTGATACTGGTAGGGGTCTTTATCGTGAGGGGTGGTTGCAAAAGCACCCTTTGCAGAGGCGCCGGACGCGTTGAGAGGCATTGTCGCTAGCTTTTGCTCTCAGTAAGGGAGAGGGAAGGAAAGAATAAGCTGTGTGGAAACCCAAGAGCTTTTCCACAGGGCTTTTATACTTGCTCGCCATATCCACGAGACAGAGAACATACGAATTGGGAAGCCACCTATAATTGTCCTGGAAGCAGTTGACCGTGCTGATGTCATGTTAGATCTCTTCAGGAAGCGAGGAACAGAAGACCGTCAAGTGAGCGGCCATCGCTTGAAGGAAGCATCGCTTTGATCAGGCCTCAGGAATCAGCACTTCCCAGAGCGAGCCGGAACGAACAACGTACTCGTTGGCCGCTAGGATGATAGTGTCAGGTTGACTCAGATTAGTCTCTGACGAAATCAGGATACCCCGAGGTGCAACACAGGGCGATGTTCGGAGGTTGGTGCTACACATTGTTGTTACATACATACACGTTACTGCTTCGCGTTCTGCTTGCTTGCCCTTCTCTTGCTCCGTGCGTTCGGTTATATGGTTTAGGCATTGCGACCAACAGCATTGGAGCCAACGCCTGCGACGATACGTTCCGATGAAGAAATCTATTGAGACAGTTGCTTGATCTTCAAGATAATCGCTGCGAAGAAACATCCATTTGGCGTCAGTCCACATTGTCGTTTCGGCAGAATGGCAGGATCAAGAATACGTACACTGAGGGTCGAGATTTTGGAAGGGAATTTGTTCCCACAACCCACCACAGCCTGGAAAAGAGAGAAGTTGCAATGGGGAAATCTTGCCAAAGAGGACGACTTATTGGTGAGACAACTTACCCTCTTTCGTAGTGCCCATATAACCGTACTTGGGTGTAAGTTGACGCTCCAGCAACCAAGTACCGAACTTTGATCCAAGCTGAAAAGATCGATCCTCAATCAGGATTCCACCTATTGAAAATGAGAAAACGTATACACACCCCGGTCTTCTGATTAAACGACTCGACGACCAGTACGAATGGGCTTCTTCCTATCTTCTGGATGGTCTATGGGTATAAATAGCTCAGAAAAGTTGCTTCAGCGGTGTTGATAAAGAAATGCTCACTTGTTCGTCAACGACATTCAAGCAAGGTTTGTTTATCAAGCCAACATCAAGGCCTTCCTGCCTGCAACGCAAGACAGCGTCCCATGACCTGTAGAGCATCTCTCCGAACGAAACAACATATCCGGCTTTGCCATCGGCAATGGTCTCATCTTTTCCAGGTACGAATTCGTAGTCGCCCTCGAAGAACTTGGTCTTTCCATCCTCTTTGAGGATCCAAGGGACCTTAGAACGCGTCGAAAAGATAAAGCGCATTCCACGCTCGAAGAACACGCGCTTTACGACAGCCACCATCTGCGCAGGGTCCGCAGGGAAGTACAAGTATGAATGCACGTCGGAAAGGCCATTATCAGCGAACATGTTGTTGACGCCTACGAGAATATCAGTCAGCCGACCAGTCTATTCATGGAAATAGACACACCAAAGTGGCAAGTGTTATCAGCCTGTGGCAAGACCCTTGATTAATGCAGGTCAGGATGATTGAACAAACGCACATACCATCTACCAACAACGAAAAACGTAACGTGAGTAATCATCTGTGCTCTAGGCGATATAAGATGGAAGATAACAGACCTCATCAACTGAAAATAAGGGGATAAGGAACTCATCCAATTTTCATAGAGGGAAGCAAGAAGAGGGTGCGTACCACCAGAGTGCGAAAAGTGGCTCAGAACGTTGCAATTGTTCAGCCGTGCCATCGTGATTTCAGAGACCACCATCTCAAGGAAGGCCGAGAACGTTGAGAAGACACCGAATTTGTCAGGCGCGAAACCGAAGCCAGCGGCAGCGGAGAAGTTGCCTCGTTCCATGATTCCAGACGGGATGAATACTTCAGGATGCTTTTGGTGAATGACTTTCAGGCCGGTCGAGCCTTCCAAGTCGCCTGAAAGAAACAAATGAGGAAAGGCTCATCGCGCGTGTTTTAGAGAAAAGAACGTACTATCGATAACCATGACCTTCTTCGCAGCATCCTCCTTACTAAGTCCATCCAGAACCATATTGACAGCCTCGCCGAACAGGACGCGATTAGCACCAACTTCCTTGGTCGATCCAATATACAGGTAGGGATTCGAGCGAGGCTTGATGTCGTCGTAGATATTCACGAAGTTAGCATACCCCCTCGCCTGGAGGTATTTGACGGCGGACTTGACGGGTATGACGTCGTGGCCATGCGAGCTGCCCTCGATGTCGGGTATACCTGGTGCCATGCGTCGTTTAGCGATAACTAGAGCGCATATATTGAGGTTCGTCGACGATTTGAAGGCCAAGAAGCGACTAACCTGCAGCCGGTCCTGGGTGGGCCAAAATTGCACTGACAGCACCCCAGAGCGCATCGATATCCTCTCCTTGGACAGTGACAACCTTCAATCCATGCCCTTCCAAGGTTTTCGTCAGGTCGTATCCTTTGAGATATTCAGATGGATGGCCAGCAATGGTGACGTCGTTGTCGTCGATGAGAAGCTTGACATTGAGGCCCTGCGCAACGGCGAGCCTGGCTGCTTCAGCATCATTGCCTTCTTGTTGAGAACCGTCGGAGCCTAGGCAGAAAACGGTCTTGTCGCGGTTGGCCATGGCGATACCGTTGACCAGAGGCCTGAATTTGATCCCGAAATTGATTTTGAAGGCGACAAAATGTTTCACCCAGGGCTTACCACATGTGTCCCAGACGGCCAGAGGAGAACTTGACCCCTGGGGTCAAACCGAGTTCGGGATGCCCAGGAAGCTTGGAGTCGGCCTCGCGATAGTGCAGGAGGTGCTCAGCGGGTATGGCGCCTTCGAGCGCAGCGAGAATATATTGCGTCGCAACACGGTGGCCTACAAAATTTAAGGATAGTATTATGAAGTAAAGTGACAAAACTCACCAGCCTCATCGAAGACAGTGGACAAGAATATATCGGAATGTTCAAAGAGAGCCAGGAGGATGCAGACTTCAGGCACAGTGTCGTAGGCACCACCTACAGAATAGAGCTTGGAATACGGATAATGACCAAGAAAGTATGCCGCCTACCAGTGTGCCCACTAACACCTCTGGCCGCACCTGTTGCCGTGAACAACACGATGGCATCTCGAAGAAGCTGGATGTTGGCCTTCAACGTTGCCTTCTGCTCTCCAGATAACTGAGGCTTAGTCGGGTCAAGAGACAATCTAGATATCCGTGTTAGCCGCGCATATGAGCAAAATGAACAGATTGCAACACTTTTTGAACTGCTTGAGATCGATAGGGAAGGCCATGGTTGTGGTTGTGGTTGATAATCAAGAAGGGTGTTGGAGTGACGTTGCTTATATCAGGCAGGCCAGGCAGCTCTGCTGTCTGATTGGTTTCCCTAACCTACCTGAGAATGTAACCGAAAAACCCTGGACCCGTATTTTGTGACGTCGTCGTTCAATGTACCTCTTATCTGATCCGGGAACACCGACACCCATGGAAAGCACCAGAATAAAAGGACATTCATTGGATCGCAGGTACTAAATAGAGAACCTGAACAAGAGATGTCGTACAGGAAAGGTTCACAGACTGGATCGAAGCAGACTGGAAGAGAGGACACGTTCTATTGTTCCATGATATCGATCGACGATTGTAACACACGTTCATAGAACTTCCGGTCGCACGGTTGAACTCTTTCTGGAGCCCCAGGAATGGGTCTCATATAACGTTGCAGCAGGGCTAGATAGAGAGGTGGTGGTCAGCGACGACAGGCCACTACGAATACCAAAAAGAGAAATAGAAAAAAGGAATCAGAGAACCGAGTTTCGACTTGGGTAACTCGCGAAGAGTCCTTCAGACGGCACTTCCTAATGCTTTCGGCGAAGAATCGTCATAGAAGAGATGGAATAAAAACAGCAGAGTAAGGAAAACAAGAGCACTCACTATGTTAATTAAACATTCAAGGATTAGGGTTGAGGCAAGACGCAACGAGCTCGAGCAAGAAAATAAAGTTTGGACGTGTACAAGCACCGCAAATCTCCGCCCCAAGTCAAAGTCCGACACTCGTTTCCCACGCGACACACGTGGCCCTGGGTGCGTTCAGGCCATCGCACTGTTCAAAGTCTTAGCCAACCGACCAAGTTAACTGCGAGTCGTAACTTATGTAAGACCAAATCCGTGGATCTATGTTGCTTCTGTGGGCAAAAAATGGAGATATAAGCAGTGAGATATTTTCTATTTCGCACTCAACATTGCTTTCGATATCTCATCTGATTATACAACCAAGTCAGCGTGCAGAAAATCCACCTTTCGGCTTCCTGAAATACCTCTGAGATTCATTTGCGCGACAAAAGGGCGATTTTTATTGGAATAACGCTCTCTGTATTCGTTTTCGATGGGTGTTGAGCGCATGTTGATGACATTAATACTCTCGAGTCGCACCCCGATCGAAGTATGTCAGCCATATGTCCTATAAAGACTGCTCTTCGGCGTCTGATCTCGTCTTTCACCCCGCCTCCACTTGTACGACCATGGCGTGGTCCTCGAGATTTGTTCAATGGCTATCCAATATCTGGATTATCCTCTGCGGTCTGGTCTTGTCTTGGGCGTCATCTCTCGTTCGACCATTCAAGTCGTCCCCAGTCCTTGAACTGCCCACTAGGTCGCCTTCTCTGCCATCCACCCCATCTTTTATCCAAAGTTTTGAACCGAACCCCGCCTGGGATGCTAGTAGGTTTTCTCATCTTTCGTTTCAGATCTTGCTCTGAAGGTCCTCATAGTGAAGATATTCCAATTGTCCAACGGATCTCCTCGCGCATCACGCATCGCTCGGAACAAAATTGCAGAACAAGAAGTGCGTCATGGCGTAACAACGGAGAATGCTTTTCCATCTCCCGCTCTCACCTACCTATCATCTCGAGATGACCTTAAGGCCCGGAACCGAGACCAAGGCAGCCATACGTCCACGTCCATTTCGCCCTCAGACAAGCCTTCACCCGGATTCTCCATCTTCTCGGACATTACCCACACGCTTGCGCCGTCGATGGCCGCTGACTCGCCATCACTGTACTCCAGTCCAGCGACGTCTCCTGCTTCGACGCTAAATGCTCTATCGACGCCTGGGTCGGATGTACTGTATATTGGGCCTAAGGAGGAATTTCTGCAAAGCGAGATGGCCATCAAGGGGAAGCATGAAGACAGCGCGGCTCCGCCGACCTTCTCGTCCCCCCGGAAGGAAGCCCGTGTTTCCAAAATCGACGATTCCTTCTCAGCGGACTTCAAACCCGACGTCGGCGAGCTCTCTAAGCGTCGTACATTCATGGAGCCTCCTGTCATTCCTGGTCTACCTCATGAGCATCTTTTTCTTCTACATCGATCCAGCAACACTTCTACCGACGACCAAAACCTACCCCTACCTGCATCACCGGTTCCATCGACGCCAAAATCTGCCTTCTCCACATTTACAGACCTTGTCCGCTCTCCTAGTCCCCTTAGGTCTCCCAAAGCCATCAAACGTCGTCCCGTTCCAGTCGTCTCCATCTCTGAGCCAAAGTACGATCAGCCGCTCTTTGATACTCTGGGCGAATCTTACTTCGCGGACGACAATCTTGCTCTTCCAGCCTTGACTATGGACATCAACGACCTCGATGTGTACAGGCACTCGAACGTTTTGGCCGAGTCAACCTTAAGCGTACCTCCAAGTCCCAAGCGGAGTCCGACCTTGAGACGAAAGGCGAGGCACTTGGATTTGGGTGCTTTGGCTTCTCCGTTTGACTTGCACTTTCACGGAACGAATGTATACGACAGTGCCATATACAACCTTTACCAGGATGGCAAATCGATTCTGGAGCTGAGAGAATCAACTGTCGACTCGCCGACGTTGTCACTTGATTGTGAGGAGTTGATGAGTGAAGGTCGAGCATCATCTGTCGTATCTTCTCTTGGTCCTATTGAGGAGGAATCGGACGGTACGCCGGCTTTTCACTGATCGTGGAAGGCGTGACTAATTGTCGAACTTAGGTCCCTCCCACAACGTTGCTAGCATCAACAGCGCATCGAGCCCAATTGCATCATTATCCTCTACGACACCCGAAGATCAGAGCGATGACGCTGGCACTGGCATGCCGTCCCCGTCATCCGCAACAGATACGCATACAACTCAACTGGCCTCCTCCGCGGAGCCTGGAGGCGAAGAAGAGCTCAAGCGGATCTCAAAGCGTCTCTCTGACTATGCGTCCATGGTGTTCCCTTTTAGCCTTGATGATGCTCCTTCAACTGCCAGCGGGAGCGACTACGATTCGGACGACTCTGACGACTCAGAGAAGGGATGCGACGAGCGAGTTAATGACCACCTTTCATCTCTATCTGTGGATTTTCCAGAAGTTTGCCCTGACGAAGTATTGGCCGTGCCAACCACTGATGCTGTAGTCGATATGGACTCAGTCCTTGGCTCTTCTGGTACCGAAATTCCTCCCTGTGCGCTTACAGCAGACTTCACTCTAGTAGCTCCTTCGCTGGCTGACGAGTGTACACACTCTGCGACGGAAGCCTTAAAGCACGACAGCGAACCTTGGCAAGCTGCAGCCAACCATGGAGCTGCTATGGCCGATATTCCGTGCATCTCTGACGACCTTGTATCTCCTCAGGCGAACGTACCGACTCTCAGTGATGACATTCCCCTTCAACCACAGTTTCCTCCTGTCGCAGACGAAGTTTCCATAATCTCAGTCCCAACCAAGAACGCCAACCGCAAGAGGAACAGAAGCGCTACGATCTTTCAGCCTAAACCTGTCTCTTCTTCCCATCTTGGTCTCAGTTCCAGCCTGTCTGACCCGTCCCACATCTCTTTGGTCGGTGTCTTTGAGCCAATTTCCACTCTTCCATGGGCAGGAACCTCCGATGCAAGCTATCTCGTGGCTGCTCATAGCACGGCCAACGGAGTAGGTCCTCCAGCTCATTCTTCGATCCTTGGTTTATCGGCAAGTTTTTCTTGCCCGTCGGCTCTTGTGTCACAGGAACAACACTCGTCCGTTACTGCGGTCTCCTCTGACACGCCTGTGTCCCCTGATGCCAATGGTGCGCCGTGCGCTTCTGTCAACTTTCAGTCCCGTTGTATGCAGGATATGAATCTTAGAGACTCAAAAATCCATTCTCGTCGGGCAGGTATTTACGGTGGTCTTTCTCGTCATAATTTCTCTGCATCTTTGGAGCCGACCATCCCTAGAGGCCTAGATTCCATTGCAGCTCGCTCCCGGTCTGTTGCTCCTGAGCGACATCGTTCGTCGATCATGTATTCCTCTCAGCGCCTTGCGAGGCGTGGTTCAAGTCTTCGCCCTTTGGTACTTCCTCTACGCATCGCTCTCCGCGAAAGTGCGTCACTATCGACAGGTGGAGTTGCAAGCTCTTCCAACCCACGACTGGTGATGCGGGGTGAATCATTTGACTCAAAAGAGGACGGTAGGACGAGCATCGGCCAGCCACCCGCCTTTCCGCTCCCTGCACTTCCAATGCGAGCAGTGCTACGCAGGAAGGCGCCTCCCAGACAGCCCATCCAAGCATCAGGCCGTAAGGAGAGGGCGGAGGACAGATTGAATGCCCTCATCGCCCTGATCGACGCTATGGATGTTGCTTCGGTTCCTGAAACCGACTCGGAGTTGGAACCCTCGACGCCTTCGACTCCTGATCCTGTCGCTGATCTCAGTCCACCGGAACCCGTGTCGTGTGGACTGCTCCACAGGCACGGCGTCAATTGGGGAATCGCTTTCTGATTCTGGCCTCGAATTTCCTCAAACCATTTGCTGCCTCGTTTGCTGCCTCGATGCGAGGACGCAAAGGTAAGCCTCGAATTGTTGCGAGCAACTGGTTAATCATATCCCCTTTTTTTCCATGCTCACAACAGTTTTTCATCAATAGGATGCAATTCCACCCGCTCGTCATTCGCGGTGTTATAACGACCTGCAAACTAACATCGGATTTAATTGGCCCTACCATCGCTATCCGCTATCAATATCCAACTCTCGATTCCATTTGCACTGATTCAAGTACGTCATGAATTATTTGTCCATTACTCCATATTTTTGTAGTATTTCATCCCGCTTCCCTATTTACGCCTTAACTCCCGATATTTCTTTTGATTTGTCTATATCTTATTCCTGTTTCGATTTGGACTTCGTGCTCGTTGTGTAAGGAATTAGATCGGATGTCATTTATTTACATATAAGTACTAGAGGTTTGCCTTTGCTCCGTACGGGGTCCGTCTTTGAATGTCGGCAAATTATATTTGACTTTGCCTGAATTTCACTCTCGAGGCCGTTCGCCTTACCGAGACTGAGGATACCCCGCTGGCCTGTCGCCCCTCCCTCCGCAGTGAGCGCATTGGCAGGCAAAATAAAAATAAAATAACAAGAAGAAAAAAAGACTTGAAATCCGGTTCTTAGTTTTCAATTTAGTTTTCAATTGATAAGTAGCTGCAAAGATCACCTGTATTTTCATAACCTGAGTAACTGACGTCTATATATCGGCCATACGATACCAAGCACTTATCAGATAGACGCCATTGAGGCGCGGGCGAGCTCGGAGGTATTCGGACCTTATCCTGTTCCCACGCTCGACTTAGCATCATACTTGAAACCCCCAAATTATTCCCTTAGTGTCCAACCAGCCACAACCATTGCGCCGAAGAGTCAAAGGTTCCTCATGTCGGTTAGTTAGGGTGTGTTATTTCATATTTGACTGATTTCGAACTCTCCAAGCTTACCATCACATATCAATAGAAAGCCAACCAGGCATTGGGAAAATAACTAATCCGAATACCTTGCAAAACTCAAAAAAGCCACAATTTTCTTCTCCAGGTTTTCTGCGTCGATTTTTTTTTCCGACGATGGATAATCCTGCACACAACCATCATGTTTACGACACCACGTTAGAAAATACACAACAGAACTCGAGCCATGAGATGGTGATGAATGGTGGGACGGTGGAGGTCGTGCAGGAACAACCCGTCCAGCAGGGAGTCCAGATGAACGGCAGTGCAGCATCGAGCAGCGAGACAGCACTCAATCTGGACGGAACGCCAGCAAAGAGGCGACCCGGGCGTCCGAAGGGCAGCACGAAGAAGAATTTGCTAACAGGCTCGCCTTTACCTCCAAAGATCAAGCGGCCAGTTGGGCGACCGCGGAAGGATGGGTTGCCAGCTGGTTCTGTGGGTCCCTCGCGTGTGAAGAAGGAGAAGGCTCAAGTGGTGCGTTTCGTGCTGCTTTTTGAAGAATGAGGACTGAAGTTGAGTGTCTGGCACAGTTCGTGACGGGCGTTGGGTATCCCCAGCCTGCGCCTTACGGGTATTCCATCAGTGCCCCAATCTTCCAGATAGACCCGACATTGGAAAATGCAGCAGACAACGAGTGGGCAGAGCTCGCACGGACGAACCCCAATGCTTTCCTCGGAACACTACTCACAGCTCTCGCCGCACCCAATCCTGTCTCAACCGCCGGTCCAACAGTGGAAGAGGCGTTCAAATCCCACTTGGTGTCCCTTGCCCCGAATCCTCAGCAAATGCAGCCCATTCCCTCGCTCTACTATCTCCTCAAAACTTTCTGGGTGCCTTCAAGTCCGGCATATTTCTCACTCACTGCGTCGACATCAACCGCGCGGACACCCTCGGAGCATCGGTTTTTTTATTGGGACCCCCTGCCACTTGTGTTCAATGGGATTGGTTGCCCGAGCTGTGCTGCGCCACTCATCAACAAAGGTCGTATTGCCTCAGGTCCAGTCAAAATATATGACATTGAGAAGCCATTTTTCATCATCGGTTGCGAGTATGTGTGTCGTTCGGCTGCCTGCCTTGCTGCCACGTCCTCACTAGACGGTCGTGATTTCGCATCTACGGACCCCTCGATTCTCGGCTCTCTACCTGCACGTCTGAAGGAGGAATTCCCAGCTCGGGTGTTGAACAGCGAGACTGACGCAGGAAGTGGAGGGGATGTATGGAACTGGAAGGCCATGGGCGTTAGCACAGGCTTGTGGAATCTGGTCATGGGTTCGTTGAGGGCGGGTTTGAAGAAGGAAGTCATTTTGGGGCTCGTTCTCGCGGTGCAACATGGAGTCCCTGAGCTGGCGGGTGATGCTTCTGCACAGCATCCTCAACCGCCGCAGAATGGGAACAATGAAGACGACAGGATGGAGGAAGGAGACGGCAGCGGAGACGAGGAAGGCAGAAATCATCCTCCGAACGAGCAGGATGCTAACGAAAGACAAACATTATCATCTAGTGTAAGCACATCTCTGACTCTTGTTCTTCGAATGACTCATTCTGCTTCAGAACTTCCAGGAGACGTATCCAGAAGCCTGGAAAGAAAATACGTCTATGACTGAGGCGGCTCCGAAACAAGCTTCCGCATCATCTGCACCACCTATCCCACAACCTACTCATCTACCCACCCTGCTTCCAGCGCCCCCACCTCCGCCGCCGCCGCCTCCGGCAGTGTACAACCCGTATACGGCATATCCGTTCGCATCTTACCATGCATACATGCCGCACCAAGTTGTGAACGGCCAAATTGTGCCAATGGCTCCCCTTCCCCCTCCTGGTCTCGTTGTTGCACCACCGGCCCCTTCAAATGGAGCCACTAATACAAACGGTGAGGGGCCTAGCACCAACGGCGCAGGAGGACAAGCAGGCAAGAGAAGCCCTCGGCACTGCTGCAAGTGTGGTTCTCAAGACTGCAAAGGAAAAGGTGGACGGTCTTTCTGCACGAATGCATGTCAAGATTGCGGAAAGGCGGAATGCAAAGGTCGCAATAGCCGACGACCTGACAAAAAATGCTCTGAAGGATGGTCATAAATTCGGCGAAAATGCAATATTGTCGACGTAAAGCCTTTCAATCTGTTTGGTGGTTCCAATGTACGCAAAATCTTGTTCGTTCTCTTGTAGTGTAAACGTAATAGTCGATTAGTAGTAGAGCACTTGATAATCGATGTGTAATATCGGAACTTAATAGTAAATGACTCTAGTGGGGAAAGGGACCGACGATCTGGACGGTTCGCTTCCGAGGCCGAGTGTTTTCTTCCGCACAAAAGTTGCTTCTCAGCTTGTTCTCGAACCACCATCACCACCACTTTCACGATCCTCTTTCTACCGTCCACAATGCCAATATCCCGAGAAATTATCAATATCCAGGTGTGCTTGGTCACCATTCGACTGAGACGTCTCGCTAATGAAAATTGAAGGTTGGACAAGCTGGCAATCAGGTACGACTCTACATGTTCACATTGGCAGGTCGGTCCCAACGTCGCTTTTGCAATCGCATAGGTTGGCGAAGCCTTCTGGCAAATGCTCCTCGCTGAGCATGGGATGGACAACTCGGGGGTAAGCCTCGTTTTCGATGTCCTCACTCACATTCAAGGGACGCGTCGGGTACTCACACTCGTTCATTTCGGCGCTCTGCAGACGTACACTGGCACGGACCCCCTTCAACTCCAACGGGTGAGCAGCTCATCGCGTTGATATCGCGTCCTAGAACTCGCCACTTACACGATCGATGGATATCATTTCTTCTCACTTGTAGGCTGGGACATACTTTACGGAGGTGACAGGTACATCGGGAACTGCCACGCGTTTTGTGCCTCGCAGTGTGCAGGTTGATCTGGAGGCGGGCGTATGCAACAAGGTGAGTTGTGCTAGCCATTCTGTCCTGCGTTCGCAAAATGCGACTCGGATGGGGTTTGATCTGATACACCAATCCTCAGCTCCGGTCAGGCGTCCTTGGAAGCTTGTTCCGCCCCGATACGTATTTAACGTCAGAGTCTGGTGCTGGGAACAATTGGGCGAAGGGATGTGAGTATGTTCGTTCTGCTATCCACGTTACTGATACTGATACCTCCTTTGTGCAGATTACACCGAAGGTATTCTTCTTCACATCTTTGGACGATATGCCGAGAACTCATGATATTACTAAACCTTTGTGGTGCAGGCGCGGAGCTCGTCGATTCTATTCTCGTAAGCCTGTCTTCTGTCCTTCCCTGCCTTCAACTTGTGTTGAGGTGATCGTCAGGATATCGTACGCCGACAAGCGGAAGGATGTGATGCCCTCCAAGGATTCCAGATCCTCCACTCTCTCGGAGGTGGAACTGGTGCTGGGCTTGGTAGTTTGATGCTCAGCAAGTTGCGAGAAGAATTCCCGGACCGCATGATGGCGACGTTCTCAATCTTGCCTTCGCCCAAGGTCTCGGAGACAGTTGTTGAGGTATGGTTGCCTTCACATCTCGGATTCTATGGTGGATAACTGACGCTATTCCGCAGCCGTATAATGCCATGCTTTCGGTTCATCAACTCGTAGACAGCAGCGATCTTACAATCTGCATTGACAACGAAGCTCTGTACGTATTCCAACCAATGTTCGTCAACGCACCGTGGATTTATTATGGTCTAGATATGATATTTGCACCAGAACGTTGAAAATACCTGCCCCGAATTTCGAGAATCTGAACGATGTATGTTCATCAACTTTTCTTATGCCCAAAGTCGCGTGCTTATATTCCTGCTTGTTCTAGTTGATCGCCCGCGTCATGTGTGGTGTTAGCACCAGTCTGCGGTTCCCTGGCCAGCTCAACGGGTATCTTCCTTCTTTACCTCATGTCTGACCATGTCTTACCTTTTTGACAGCGACCTGCGGAAGCTTGGAATGAACTTGATTCCATTCCCCCGCGTAAGTCCTTTCCCTGTACGAGTACACTCAAGCTCATGTCTCTCCAGCTGCACTTCCTCATGCCTAGCTACGCACCTTTTTATGATCCCAAAGCAAAGCATTTCGAGAAGAATTCTGTTCCTGAGTTGACCAAGGCGTAAGATCGGCTGGCTTGTTCTTGAAATATGTCCGCTCATGATTGATTCATAGGCTGTTCGACCGCAAGAATCTCCTCGTCGCTTGTGATCCTCGTTTTGGGTGTGTACATACTCCTGCTTCATCCATCGCGCAAGCATAACTTTTTTTTACTCAGTCGTTACTTGACTGCCGCTACCATTTTTCGCGGAGACATTTCTTCCCGAGAAGTAAGTTCTTCGATACCCTCTTGCAAAAAAGAACATGATGACATTCTCTGTGTTTTGGGTAGGCTGAAGTATGTACGCCCCGTCTCGCGGGTCCATGCTTCGTTGAATAGTTGGCGCTCAATTTTGGTTCCATGGATCGGTTGTCTACTTTTGCATTTGCTGCGCCTACGTTGTGCTGTCGTAGGTCGCCGTGCATGACCTCCAGCTGAAGAACTCGCAGCATTTCGTGGAGTCAGTGGCGCATCGTTCCTTGCTGCTATGGAGCGGCTCTGAGCGGCTCTTCTTATGTTTTAGGTGGATTCCTGACAACGTTTCGGTGTCGCTTGTCAGTGTCCCTCCTGTGGGCCAGACTCAGGTATGGCATTTGTTTCCTCCTGCAATAGTTGATATAAACACAGGTCCCCTTTCTCTATCTCCTTTTCGGTTTCCATCTAGTCCGCCACTGCCCTCTCCAACTCGACAGCCATCCAAGAACTTTTTACGAGGACTCTCGAGAGCGTACGTCGCAGCAAATTCAGTGCCTGAGACCGTCTTGACAATTCTAGCAGTTCTCCGCCATGTTCAAGAGGAAGGCCTTCCTGCACTGGTACACAGGGGAAGGAATGGATATCATGGAGTTCTCTGAAGCCGAGAACAACACGCGTGACTTAATGTATGTCTTCCCGTCCTTGAGCTCCAGTCCTTCGACTCATATCCTCTTGCAGCTCAGAGTATCAACAGGCACGTCCCTCTCCTTCAACAGACGAGCACGAATCTGATGCGGTTTTTGTTATGCCTTTTTCTAGTACCAGGAGGCCACGGTTGAAGAGGAAGAATTCGGAGAGGAAGAGGAGGCCGCCGAAGAGCAATAACACCGCCATGACGTGTGTTTCCGTTTATTTCTCTCATTGCCTAACTTCGCTCGTTCTGCTATTCTGCTACTATACTTCTTCTGCTAGCTTTAGTTTGATTCATCCTAATCATCTTTTTACTTGGCTCCATTTGCATGACTTTACTAACAGATTCGGCTTTCGCTTCTCTACGCTTGCTTCCTTGGTCATGATTTGGAATCCTATGTGCCAATAATTTGCTATCATCTGTTCCGGTTCTCAGCACCTTCTGGATCTCGATTACTCAAGGCTGCTCTCGTTCTCATCGGCTTATGGGATACGAATTCCCCATCCAAGAATCGTTTGCGTCTCCTTCAAGTTCATATGATCATCTGGTGTGAAAACCAGCCTCACTTGACTCTAAATGAAGCTCGTTATATGGTCAGTTGGGACTATCAGTCTTTGTAATTTATAAACTGACTCGTCAGGTGCTGATAGCGATGCTTCGTCTGACTTATTGGGCGCAACTTGTATGCCTTCCCTTGACATAGGAGTGTACCTCGTCGGAATATCCTCGGAACCTCAGCCTCACTTCACGTAGGGAACGCGGGCCGAGGTCCTGTCCGAATCCTCCACCGACAGGGTATATAGACCGTCCTCAGGCTACTTGAGCCGCCTATCTGAGCTTATTCTTTGTGTATATATCTTTCGAGGCAAGTCATCGATGCAATCGCTCTCTCAAGTGTTAACGTCCAACGGTTAGCAAGTACCGCGCCAAACCAAAGTCGTTGCAAGAAACAGAATACGTAGTATGGCACTCCCCGCTCGCTTCGCTGACCTTAAAGCCATCATCGCTGCTTCGTACCCCGATTTCGAGCAGAACGTCACCAAGGCTTGGTCCGAAATCTTAGCCGAGCTGGCGACCGTCACGAAGACCATTAATGAGGAGGGTGTAAACGTTGTTGCAGTTTCTCTTTCACCCATCGAGAATCAACCTAATTCGGTGTCGAGCAGTATATCCCTCAAGTCAATTTCGCGGACCTGGGCAATCTGCCCAAGGAGGACGTAGAAAAAATCAAGAGGAGAGGGAGTGTTGTAATCAAGGACATCGTTCCGGACGAGCAGGCGATGCAGTGGAAAGAGGACCTTAAAGAATTCATAAAGGCCAATCCTTCTGTCGAAGGTAGGCCTTTTCCCTTTCAAGGTCGCGAGGGTACGGAAATACTCACGAATCCATAATTAAATCCAGGCGTTCCGGCTAATGACAAGCAATTCTTCCAGCTCTAGTAGGTCGTTCATGCTCTATAACAATCAAGTCGGATCTCTGAACAAGAAGAAAATACGTAGCTGGACGAAGCCCCAGGTCCAAGCTCGTTCTCATCCGAACCTCTTGGCTGCGACTGTGTGGCTCAACAAACTGTACCACACCAAATCGTCGACCGGCTCTCCGAAACTGGAAGGCGTGGATATGAATGTTGCTCTAACCTACGCCGACAGGTTCAGAATCAGAAAGCCAGGGATCACATGGAATCTCCACCCACCCCATATTGATGGTATGCAAGTTCTCTGTCCTCGGCGCCTCTTTCTGATTACCGAACAACTATTATCCGTAGGCGGCACCATTGAACGCTGGGAGGATTCCCACTTTCGTCGATGCTTTGACGACCTCTTTACCGGCAACTGGAAGGCCCACGACCCGTTCGAGCTGGAAGGAAGGCTGGATGCGAGAAGCTCGTTGTATGGAAGACCAAACCAATCTAGTGTCTTCAGGACTTTCCAAGGATGGCTGGCGATGAGGTATACCACTTTTCTGATGATTCGAGAGTACTCCGAATTGATATATGCCCATAACAGCGAGACAGCACCGACGCAAGGCACTCTGAGAGTCTTTCCTGACGTGTTACTATCCAACGCGTACATCATCTTACGCCCATTCTTCAGTCCCAACGTGCCAGTCAGTTCAGAGGAAATCTACGACGCGAAGAACTGGAAGTTCGGTTAGTCGACCTCTGCTGCAAATATCGGTCATACACTGAGTTGAATAGATATCTCCAACTCCGAATTCCATGGAATATACCCGAGAGACGGAGGGTATGCAGGCCCCAACCCAACGCCGGCGCTCCACCCACACTTGAGGCTGGAAGAGACTATGACATCGATTCCTAAGGTTAACCCAGGTGACGCGGTCTTCTGGCATTGCGATGTCGTGCACTCTGTCGAGAGAGAGCACACGGGGAATGGAGACTCTGCTGGTAGGCTGCCCGTACACCCGACTGGGTGGAACAGGATGCTGACTTTTCTTGGTCGCAGTGATGTACATCCCAGCGGTCCCTCTCACGCCTCAGAACCAGGCATATGTCGAACGCCAGAAGGCTTGCTTCCTCGAGGGCCAGCGTCCACCTGATTTCCCGAAGGGTCCAGCAGAAGCAGGATTTGCAGGCGTCGCGAGTGTTGGAGACGTCTTGAGTAAGGAAGGATTGAGGGCCATGGGTTTGGTGCACTGAAAACTCTGAATCCATTCAGTGCAAAGTAGTTGATTTCCTTGTCAGCAGTATCGTTAGTCACACCATCGAAATATTTTTGTACATAGCTATCATGAACTTATGTGACGACTATCTGGCCGTCCTGAATTGTATTGTCGTGCTGGAGGAAGAGCTAGGGAGAGGAGTTGCCGGCGTCCGGTTCAACAACCGGCGTTGTTGATTTTTTCCACGACTCGTGCTCCTCGCTGAGTCGGACCGACAGCTCTTCTGTACCACCCTCCTGCCACCCTCCAACACTATGCGCGCCTCAATATTGCGACGAGCACAGTCTGTGTCAAAGGCGCCTCTCAACCTCACTGAGGCGAGTGCCATGCTTTACCCACCCATTCCGTAAGCCTTGTTCATCCCGACTTCTTCCTACCAACCTTACGGACGTCGTACAGCCTATATAGACGACTGCTACGATCCCATCGAAATCTGCCCATGGATATGCGTCGACTGGGCGATGACTATGTAAAATCAGGTAAGCCTGCTCTATGTCCTAGGTTCGCCTACTCGTCTTGACCTCCACATCTGAAGAATTCCGGCGACATAAGGAGGTCACAAACCCGGTGCACATCATGGGATTCCTGTCGCAATGGAAGATGTATCTTGATCAACTACCTCAGAACCCAGATACTGTATTCGATGGAAAGAAGCTGGATCCTACTGTCTTCGAAAAGGTGAATGTTTCTCTCCTCGTAGACCAACAAGCTGTTTAACAGGGATGCATTAGATGTCACCGGAGCAGCTAGGGCAGCTGTACGAGCTTATGCATGCCGCAAAAGATGTTTGGACCCCTGTGCAATCCGAGATAGAGCGCGAAGAAAAGTCGTAGTGTGTTTTATGAGAAGACTTCACCATTCAGACATTAATTCGCTGTTGTGAATTGTCCGTTACTCCACTTGCCCGCCGTTCAATTGCTTATTTTTTTTGACATGTCAGAACGAGTTGGACGCCGCTTCTGTCCGTTCCGACACAGTCCGACGTGAAAGACTCCTTTGCAGGGCCTCGCTTTCTAGAAAACCTCCGCCGACGGTTCTTTCCTGTCTTTTGAGCCTGCACATGTCGCCATGTGTGGCATTAGAATTGCTTTTACTTTCTCATGTCGACCCATGTGGCTCAAGGTCTAATCTTGGACGCCTCCCGTGACGCCTCTGTCTTCTTATAACGGGCCAAGTATTGAAGGAAGAAACAAAGCATCCTTTCCCATCGATCCTTTCCCCCACCCCCCACTCACACAGCAAACTCTACAGCATGTCCCAACCACAAATTGTCCGTCTACACTCTTCCTTGCCTGAATTCCATTTTCACCTTTGTTGCTGCTACTAGGTCATCCCAGCGAACAATGCTCCCTACACCGACCTCCCACCTATCAACACCGTCCTCTTCGAAGCAAAGGCGAAGAAGGGGCTGACGTTCGACCAGATCGCCAAAGAGATTGGAAAGGACGAAGTCTGGGTAGCAGCGGCTTTCTACGGCCAAGTATGAGCTCATATAGCCCACTGCCCTGGTTCTTATCAGCCTTCAGGCCAAATTCACCGAAGATGAGTTGAAAAAGGTGTCCGAAATCCTTGGAATCGCCTCTGCAGACGCCTTGGGGGAGCTTGGGAACCATTGGTGGCCAAACAGGGGACTAGGGCCCATCCCGCCGCAAGATCCTGTCATCTATCGTTTGTACGAGGTGCTTGTCGTTCGTTGTTGAGCTTGAGATGACTCTGAATACCCATACCTTAGGGAGTTCTCGTCTATGGACATGCTATCAAGGCTATCATCCATGAAAAGGTTGATTCATTTTCTCCCTACCTCTCTTTCGTTGCCTGACTGTTTCCTTCAATATAGTTCGGAGACGGGATAATGTCCATGATTGATTGCAAAATCAACGTTGAGAAGAAACCCGACCCCAAAGGAGACCGCGTCTTGTTGAGCTTCGAGTGAGAAACTACCTTCTTTTCTTTTCACATTTCTGACCACCGTTTAGTGGGAAGTTCTTGCCATATGCCAAATGGTAGACAATACGTTCGTGTTTTTGTAAGACCCTACATAAACCTATGAAACCATTGAAGAATCTTTTACTGCAACTGTGGAGAATTTAGGCAGGTTCAGCTGCTTATTTACTTGAGGTCTCACTAAGTTTCTCCCACATAGTCTCTTGCACCTTCAACCCTTTGACAACACGTCCTGTCACAGGAACGTGATTGTGACAACTCGATCAACATCGCCTTTGAACAAATTGAAAGGGCTTTTTTCATGCATCGCTAACGCGTATTTCTTATACTTCTTTCAGTGCTTTGGAAGGACCGCCTCGTTATGGGCACCAAAAGAAATAGCCTTCTGCTATTTAACAAGGACGCTCTCATTCGTTCTCGAACTGACTTTCTCTGCACTCAAGCCTCTCAACATGTGGCAGGATCCCGCGTCGACCAATTGCCGATTGGACGATGGCGAGGTACGAACCTGCGCAACTGACCCTCATCCGACCACTCATCTGACACCGTTGGCCCGTTTGACAGGTTTCCATTAGTGACTTATTCCCAGAATCCAATTTCTCGCCGCCATCTCCTACTTTACCTCCTCCGGAAGGAACGCTATTCGTCGACTGCGATCTGCTTCAGCCCAACATTTTTGGTGAGCCGCTGCACGCGTCAACGAATTTCGCTTGGGATCTACCGGAACACAGGTTCCGGAACCAATATCAGGAGGCGTACAAAGCAAGTAGCAAACAGGTGGATGCGCCTACGACTGTCGCTCGGGAAACGAAGGCAAATTATGAACTGAATGCAGGACCTGCTGTTTCCTCCGGAGGTCTGCCAGTCCTGTTGGAAGTACCAGAAGGACAGAAAATGCCTCGAGGAAATCCTAACAGGCCATCGAACCTTGTGAAACGACCTTCTTTTGGAGTATTCGCGCCTATAATTACGAAGAAAAAGAAGACCAGCGTCGTTGGTGCTGCCGGAAGCAACCTAAGCATAGTTGCGACATCCGGCGGCTCTTATGATTTTAAGAACAAGCCTGCAAGCTCCACTGCCACCCCGACCAATACAACTTGACTAACGCGGTTGTATGCCTGACTTGAAAGCATTTCCGTCGGAAAGAGGCAGGAACCACGACTGAATGTGAGTTCCTAGCGGCCATGATCATAATTGTTACTAACGTTTCTCTCTCGTCAGAAGTTCAGCTTCCCTTTGCACGCCCGAGTCCTTTCTGCCCCTTTCTGCCCTTCATATGGCTTGCTCTTGTGGATATACCCTTCTCAAATGATCAACCTTCTATCGTTTGTTTTTGTACCATTCAGCACGTTTCGCCTGTCTATTATTAGAACCCGGAGTCTTCAGGCCAGACCGCTTTTTGTCAACTTGGCTTTCGGAACCAGAGGACCAGTCTGAATTTCAATAATCATATATAGCTCGGGATGGTCCACCTCCACCAGCAGCCCAAATATTTCTAGTCCAACCCAAGCACGACATCCTGTCCTTGATACATTCCTTCCCCAACTGCACACCATGCCCGACTTCTTATCAGTTTATCCTCCTACCCCCCAAAGGGTCTCCGAGTCGCAGGCGTTCTCGAGCCCTTCCACGTCCCTTTCCTCTTCTAGGTCTTCCACTTCCCATTTTGACCGCCTTTCTCGCTCCAGTTCGGCGTGCCTAACTGATATCAGCCTTCCCATCAGCCCAGGCGAGAAGTACTCACATGCCGCCTCGTCCATGACCAGCGACATGGGTCGGCAACACGACACGTTTGAGGACGAATCCGCCAGCCTCCTTCGGTCCTTCCCCAACTTGGACGAAGACTTAGGCTACGCCTCTGACCGCGACCTGGGCGATGGAGATTTTGATGCGGTGGAGGCACTGCGGTCGCGATTGATGAGGAACAAGCCATCTATCAAAACGAAGCGCGCATTGAAGATTATGGAGAAGCGCGGTAAACATAACTCGTCCCCAATTGTCGATGGTGAAGGGGCCCGGACGCCTCTGATGCCTACCAGAGTGGTCGTGACCGAGGCGGAAGCACCAGTGGAGGATTGGACAGATGATTTTGAACTTGGCGAGTGCGATGAGCAAGTTGAGGTGTGCCCTCCTCGTACCTCCTTTTGACCCGTCTATTGATTCCTAAGTCGACAGGTTCGAGTGGAGAGCGTCGCTGACTCTGACAGTAGAAATCAAGATGGCGCTGAAACCGTATCTAATGACCGTACGCGAACAATCCGTCCTTTCGTTGAAGTGAACTTGAGCCTTTATCTTCCTGCGGGTTACAGAACTACGTGAACAAGATATCGCCTCGCCATTCCTGGTTGACATATCCCCTATTACAGCGCCCAAGCCGGGTCGTACGTCTGTGGACCAGGAATGGGAAGATTCCTCCTTCTCGCTCTACAGCGTTGGCCTGTCTTCTTCTGCCTCCATGGCTATCTCCGTCTCGCTCTCGCAGATTGTCCTTTCTCCCGTCCAGGTAGAAGCCAACTCTCCCACTATCTTTGAAGCACCCGATCAAGGAATGACACCGTCCAGCCCGCCCAGGAGCACCACGAACGCCATGTTTGGTTCGCGCAGGAGTCGTCAACCGCCTCCAGTCCCTTCGCTAGATCAAAGCTTGGACCTACCGAGTTTAATGCGCCTTGAGATCGCCTCGAGCCTCGAACAACAACAAAGTAGCCAACTCGCCCTTCATCCTCCTCTCGTCGGTCTTGGTTTTGACTTGCCCGAACGCGAGCGGGACCCTGGATTGCCGATGGACCCTCTCTGGCCTGATTGGACTCTTCCTGCGCCTGGCAACCTCCCGCAGAGTGAAGAGCAGGCGATCTCTGTGCTATCTGAAGAAACTCATATGACAAACGAAGTTGATGGAGATCCCATTGCGACTGTGACTTCGAGTCATTCTGTCGCCGATCCCCTCTCTCAGGGAGAGGGTGACTCGTACGCACTGGATACCATTGCAGAGGAACCAGATGGTTATAGAATCATCGGGCTTGGGCTTGGTAGTGCGACCGAGCGATCCCTTCAGTCTTCATCGTCCATTTCTCAGCTCTGTCGAGTCACACCAACGACTAATTCTACATGCGATCCATCCGGTTTAGCTGGTGACCTGGACCGCGATACTACGGGTGAGTCCCTTTCTGTAACTCGGCAGTAATCCTCACCGACGTTCCAAGGCCCCGGTAATGCGGCTGCGTCTTCAGCTACTCAAGGAACCTGCAGCATCCCTTCAAGTGTTTCGAAAAGCGTTAAGCTATTGTATTCGCCACAAGTATCTTCCTGTACGTCTTTCCATTCCTCGAGAGACGGGTACTTACGCGGCCATCAGTCGTAACGGACTCGTTCGTGCCTTTGCCCGGGATCGAGCCTCTGGGTGTTCTTTCGGTTCAAGATTCATCGACTAAGACGTCTAATGAGTCTAGCATGAACCAGAATCGTAGTACGCATGATCCTAGATTATTTGTCTGTCTTCCAGTGCTGATATTGTATTGAAAGGCACGCGAAATGTTACCTCAAATGTCTCATCTTCCAAAGTCGAGCCTCCGGGTGTTCCTCTAGAGGCCAGCGGATTTGTAGGGTCCACATCTCTTTCATCGAATTCGCTGAATCGCATTCTCTCCGACTTTCCACTACCTCCAACACTTCATCATCACCTGCTTCCCCGCCCCATCACCCCGACACATAACGAGGCCAAGCAAACCACTTTCGCAAATGAGATAGCGCTTCTCTGTAGTCACAATGCCCTCTCAGAACAAGTGCCTTCGCTGACGTGGGATGTTGACCCTCGGAGCCCTTGTCCCAATTCCCGCAATGACTTTACTGTCGCCGTCGAACCGCGGGATGGGTCTCAGAGAATCGACTATGTGCCTCTGCCTCCGCTCCTCGCGTGCATACCTTTCCCAAATCACGAAACTCCTGCGCCTTCCACCTCAGACGGTGCTCTTAGGCCAAGCAAGGATGCCGACGGGCTTGGAATCGGTCTGCCTTCGGATCTTACCTCTCGCCCTCCGAGACAGCGAGACGTTTCCTCACACGGAAGCGCAGATTGTCTTCAACCTCGAATGTCGACCGCTGAGTCTTGTCAAAATCTTGCTCAGCTTGCCTCGGCGCCTTCTCCATCCGCGTCTCCTTTTGCCGAGGCCTCCTCCCCCCCCTCTCCGTCTCCCTGGAACTTCTTGAGGATAAGGCCATTTTCCAAACGACACTTGTACGCGATTCCGGAAATCCGTACCCCTTCGCCCAATCCCTCTCGTCGTCGTTTCTCACCGACCAATCTGCTAAGCCCGATTATCAACCGCATACGCTCTCCCAGGTTATATACCCCTTGGTTTAAATCGCCGCTGACAAGCACCGAAGACTTTGACACGGCCATGCCTCGCAACGGCGGCTTATCCCCTCTGGCAGGGATGGGCCCTTATTCTGCTCCTTCATCGCCTTCAGGCCGGTCCTTATTCCCGAAACTGATGTCGCGCAGACCTCATTCAACATCCTCTTTATCTCCCTCTCCTCAACCTCCTCCAATGGCTACGTCGCCCGCTTTAGTCGAACATCTTGACGCACCGAAGGGATTGGGGATTTTCCGGAGGGCAAGCCCCTCCAGTGCGTCGCCCAAGACGAAGGCCGCTGCTAGCCGGCTTGGACCTCGTCGATTCCGGCATCTATTCTAGAAGAACGGCGTAAGTTCATTTCGCGATGAAAACGAACAGAAAATTTTGAACAAAAGGGAGTAGAGTGTAAAAATTGTAGCATACTACGGCCGGGTATAATACATGGCTTACCTTGAAGACTCGAGTGTGGCCTGAGAAACGTATCACTTAAAAACATGCAACCAGTGGAGCGCATTGAGATCCAAACCTTCCTGTTCGATAGTATTACATTTACACGTTTTAGCATGGACTGAAGGCGTCTCCATCTAGTTGGATCTTGCCAAATATACCAAAGCTTCGTTCATTGTCATTGCCCTTCCACATTTGGTCGTCGTACTCGAACGCGAAGATCGAGACGCTGGTGTCATTGCGGCTTGCACAATTGAGGCTGAGGATAGCACTTCGTTCATCCGCAACGGAGGGCACAGCGACGCCATTGTTCCTGCCCCGAGAGGGCCACCCAGACCTAGAGCGCAAAGTGGAAGTCAGCGATCAACCGATGGTACATGGATCCTGGCCACATACTCTGTAATAATGATCTTCTTGCCAGGACAGGCGGCTTTGAGGGCCGGAACGACGATCTTGAAGATGAAGTCACCTGCTTGACCAGAGGTTCGTCCGCCGTCGAAGAACACGCTGCGAAGGGTTAATCAGTTCTGCATTCGTTGGAAGGAAATGGTGACCACGAACTGGGCATTGGCCCCTACGAAGTCGGCCCCGCAAAGAGCCGCATTGGCGCGGATGTCGACCCAGGTGTGGACAGTGGAGACGGGGGTTGTTACACCGATGGACCCGAGGTAACCTATAGTTGTGCCCACGTCAGAAGTGAGGGCTAAATTCACTCTTGGGAGTGGAAAACGTGAATTAGCACCGTACCTCGAACATCATAGACTTTGGCCATGATATTGGCAGCTGAATCATTGACTTCGTTTCCTATTGTCAAGCCCAAGTACCTTCCGGGCCCGTACTTGGCGTACGCTGCACGGAATGTTTGGACGTCGTTACTGGAAGAGAAAAAAGGGAGTGAGAAAAGAGTAAATGGAATTATTCTGCCTTACTTGATTTGCGTCATGCCCGAAGCAATCGTTCCCTATAATCAGCGGTGTTTAGCAATAACTCAAAGTCGGAAAGGAAATCGATGAACCTACAGAGACATAGATGCCAGCTAGCACCTGAATACCGGCAGCAGCAGCGGCAGAGGACGCCATGTCTAAGGCGTTGCAGTCAAAGCCCATAATACGAATAGCACCGAAGCCCTCGCTTTTAGCGTCGTTGGCAAGCTGGTTCCACTAAAAATAGTCAGCCGGGCTGAAAGAGAGAGGGAATGCACAGAATATTTACCTGCGCTTGCGTACGGCAGGCATATGTGCCTGTTCCACCAATGCTATTAGACGCAGTGAGTCCAGCAAAGTGGTTCATCGCCAGAGCAGGAGAAGAGAAAAGCGCTGTGATGAATGCTGCATGCATGGAGAAGAGCATTGTAAAAAGTGCTGTAGTAGCTGATTTATTAGGGATATAATGACCTCCTTTATAGGCGGCGAATTGGTGTCGTGGAATCGGACATCTCGCGGGGCAATCGTCATTCAATCATCCTAGACTCGGGGAAGCCTGTGGAAGTGTACAGGAAGCACGCGTTACACGTCGATCCCGGGCATCCAAGTTCCAAATGTCTAGTCCTGCAGATGGTCTAAGGATGTGGCGAGTGTTTGTCGCGGTAGGTTTTCTTTTTTCGGAACTCTGCACTCTGCCTGACGCCTCTGCATCGACAGGGAAATGCATGAGGCTAACGACACAACAGTAAAAGGGAGAGCTCTCTAAAGATACCCATTTGGGGACAAAAATAGAAGGAAGAGGCTGTTCTTGAACTTGGGTTGGGGCTCGGGATCCGGGTGGATGTAGTGGAGGACGGATGATCTTCCTGACACAACCAAGATACGAGCTCTGTCAGAAACAGAAGACGTAACTGAGGTACCCATGAACGATACCTACTGCCCTTCATGGCGCCTTGAAGCACCAGTGCGATATTCGAATGCCCTAAAAATATTCGGTTTTCTCTAGTCGAGAGGAGCCCGGTGGTTCTTGAAAACAGGCAATCAAAGTGTTTTTCAACGAAAGAAAATGACGTGTGGTAAGTTTTGCATTCTGCGAGAATAGGTTTGGAAAATTGGCATAGAGTAGTAGGTGGACGGCCTGGTGACGTCTGGTCACAAACCCACCGACGTCACTGCACACAGACCACTGGTTGACTGTTGCACACCATCCTCGATAAGCCCTGAACAGCCCTGAACCAACTTGAAGGCTCCGACGCTCAACATAGCTGTATGATGCATATAGGCCAAGCCCATGCTGCACTGTCGACAATATCGCTTACAAGAAGCCTATCTGACAGTTAGGACGTCAAATACCTTGCGAGACGAGCCGTAGGGAGCCCAGGTGCATTCAATAGTCCCTAATGTCGTGAATGGCCTCGTGCCCCCTCATATGTCTGGCATACCCGTTAACTCCTGGTTCTTCACGCCTATATGCCGTGTATCTTGAATGCTGGTGACCTGCAAATGCTCGAACGACCGAGGCTCATGTGCGTGTTTTCTAACCCTTCTTGCCGCACGGAATTCCCCTGGAGATCCCTAATGCTTATTCCTTTCCTGTTCCAGGGTCATAAAATAAGGTTTATTTTTGCCTACATGAGGCGTCGTTCGGCGTTTATGGAGCTCTCCCCATTTCACGAGGCGCTCCTGGCCAGTTGCATGAACCTCAAATGAAACCCGGCAAGGTGCAATTGTGAAGGATGTGAAGGGGAAAAATCTCGAACGGGGTAAATGCGTCAGTGATAATATTATAATGGCACGTTCGAAGCCCAGTTAACCACATCATGCATAGGCTTACATTTGTCTAGGCTCCGTCATACCATTGTATATGCTGCGCACAATTAATTATCTTCCCGCTGTTGAGGCCTTCCAAATCCCGCGTTCAAAGATTCTAAGGGATACTTATACCATTACGGGCTGTCCTTGATCTTCAACATCACACCCTCACCCTCAACGACCTACTCTCACATTCTCAGTCCGACCATCTCAACTTCATGGGGAATTTCGATGCTAGTCTTGGGTCCTTACTCATAAGCTGCATCGTGAGCTCTGTCCTCTTCGGCTGCAATATATGGCAGACCTTCTATTACTTCTGGTGAGGTTACAGACACCTGTTACGTCCACTTCTTCATATTGTTCGGTGCCGATAGCGCCTATCCCAAGGATAAAAAGAGACTCAAGCTCTTCGTGAGTGTTCTATCAACCTTCAGGCTATGGCAGAAAGTCGGCTAATCGACGCCAGGTCCTGCTCGTCTTGTGAGTACCCTCCGCTCTTGTTACACCCTTTCACTGAAAATCGGCAGTCTCCTCGAATTTTCACATAGCGCTCTGTCTGCAAGGGCGGTCTACTGCGTACGTTGATCACATCCGACTACTAGGCTTGTTTGATTCATCCCTGATGATACAGGCTCTACTGAAGCACCAATTCCCGGATCCCAATGCCGTCGTGACACACATGTACATATTCTTCTCTCACGCAACTCTTGTATCTGTGTTTATCAACACATCAATACAGGTAAGCGGCCGGTTTTGTTTCTAGATCGACAGATTTGCATCTTACGGTTTAGTCGGCTTTCCTTGCAGTGCTATTTCGCATTTCGGTTACACCGCCTTTCAGGACTTGTTTTCCTTCCGATCCTTTCCGTGGCGCTTGTAGCCTTCTGGTTAGTGGGATTCCTCATAGGGGTGGTCTCTCAACTGGTACACCATCACTCCTCTTCCGTGATGGGAAGGATTCTGTTCGTATCTGGAATACTGTCTGTTCTCGTGGACGTTGTCCTTTCTATCAGCCTAAGTACCGCCCTATGGAGACGGCGACGCAAGGACCGCGATCTACCCCAGGCTCTCATGTGGGTCCTCCTTTCCGCCGTCGAGATCAGGGCTCAACCACCGATAGAAGATCTGCTGTTGTCGACATGCTGTTCATCATCGCAATCCGTATGTGCCTGGTTTGTATCGGTTGCTTCATAAACTGACCGCTCTGCGCCTTGTTCTTAATTTAAGAGGCGGATATTTTTACGTGGTGCGAGACTCCACCTCAAGGACATGAAGGCTGTTTGCTGACGTTTCCTTGTGCAGCATTGTAACGACGGTTACAGTCATCCTTGTCAGTTTATTGGGACTAATGACAGGAGCTATCTAATTGCATTGCAGTACAATGTCTCTGAAAGCTTTGCGTGGATGGCGATGTCGATGATAGCAAGCAAGCGTGAGTTCCACAGTTCCGCTGGTCCGCAGCGACGCTAATATAGAGGGCATTTCTTTTGAAAAGTTTTTGGCATTTCCTTTCTATCTTCGTACGTTGCTTCTCTGCGCCTTTTATTACACCGTGTCATAATCTTCTTGAAGTCTCATTCTCGGGAAGAGGCTCGAGAAGTCAAGACAGCGGGATGCGTTTGAGCTGCCCACCATTCACTCCACGCCGCCCTCATTTCCGCCTCCCTGTGTGAGAGGATTCCCTGTGATCAGTAGGACATTGCACCAACTAACGCAATACTCGCTCTTGTACCCATTTCCACTCCCCGGTCTCGTACCCTATATAGCGCACCCCATCGTTCGTCGATCTCAGTAGGAACATCACCCGCGGTGTGTCTCCCATGGCAGCTGCAAGAGGCGCTAACTCCACGATGGTGATGATGTTCATCTCTTGCTTATTTCCTGTTACTAAAGTTGTCTATTTCTGTGTGTTCGTAGGCCGGCATATTAATATCCGAAGTCCCCCGGGAATAACGACTGTGGTTGGTGAGGGTTCCTCGCTATCGTCTGCGTTGGTTCAGGAGCGTTCTATCTTTCCGTTTTCTTTCCTATGCTTTGTCTTGCTTTCGGATATACTCTAGACACTTTGTGCACATGCTTTAGTCTCGCTTTCATGGACCTATATTCTACCTTCTCTGTTCAAGCTATATTCTACATCCTCGGATACTTCGTATACTTTTTTCATCACACGCTGACAAGAGGAAGTCAGAGACAATTTATTCGGTCAGACTCCCGAGGGGTCTCTGGTGTTCCCAGATAGTATTCCGTGGCGGAGACCACGTCGTCCAGCCACTCGCTCACCACTTCGTCATCATACACGTTTCCATCGAAGAACACATGTAGTTTCAACTGTTGCGCCGATGTCGACGCCCCTAGATAGAGCTCGGTGGGACGACAGTGCAAGAACGTCTTCTCCTCGCGAAGATAGATCATGGGCTTGTCGCTGTTCTCGGAGGGGTATTCACGAGGGAGTAGGAGGTCAACCTAGAGAGATAAGCACGTCGTAGGTGAGAATAAGCTGGAAAAGAGGCGTGTGGACTAACGTTGCCCATACTAGAGCCGCCATTGCCGAGTATAAAACCTGTAGCGGCTTGCTCTTTTGGGGACAGCGGTCGGTCATCTAAAATATGTGGAGGCAGGCCGTCTCTCCGCCACTGGACAGCCACGGGCTGTATCCTGGCGATCCTGTGGGGTAGGTTGACTTCGCCCAGCTCAACGAAGAGCGGGTGCCTGAAGTAGTTGTCCGCCTGCTTCCTGATGGACCGCGACCGGAGGAAGAAGCGCTGGCTCGACAACTGCTCCTCAAAGGTGGGCAACTGGGGCCCGGGACCAGGGCGCAACTTAGCGCCAGCACCCAACGGCATAAATGGGAGCAAGTAGAAGAAAAATCCGATCGAGACGCAGACGCTGAAAAACCCCCCAGCGTCGATCCACGACTTGTCGAGGAAGGGTCGCATGTTCAAGGGACCTGCAGAAAACATGGGCTCTTTGGTGCGGAATTCCCACTCCCCCTCTTTGATGTCTCCACGAAGGTACCGCCGCAGAAGCGTACGTGCAGTGGCGAGTTGCCCGAGGATAGGGTACGCGTTGCCGAAGGTGATTCCGTTTTTGCGGCAGTTGAGGATGATCGCTTTCGATTTTTCGACGGATAGAGTTCGAGCCATCCGCCGCGAAAGAGCGGGAGTGTAGGGTGTTCTTGGGGTGATGGTACGGGGGATTGTATGTCCTCCCTAGAAATGCCACTTTCTAATTAACTTTCGAATGTTTCCGGTCGGCCAGGACTTACCTGAAGCTTGCGATTCCGCATTGCGTAAATTACTGTCGCCATGGCCATGCGCCATCTTCGCCTTGCGACACTCAACTTGAGATGGGGGTTAAGGTCCTCTAAAGAAACCGACAAGGCGAGACGCTCGCTCAAATTCCAAGACTGCTGACTGGATGTTCGACAAAGCCGGTCGAGAAACGTCTTGAGAATTGTAATGTTGGCCATTCCGTCTGTGATACTGTGCGCTCCATGAATCAAGGCGTGGATGGTATCAGGACGATCCGTGCGCCTGAGGATAAAGATACGCGCAAGGAGGTCGTTTGATAGAAGCCTCTCTTGGACATTGATTCTTTCAACATGGTCCAAAGCCTCGTCCGCCGACGATATGTCGTAGAACGAAACTTCCTCTGGTCGGCTCCTTCGGAGGTTCTGTGCTTCGACGACGAAAAAGACGGAGTCCTGGTCGCGTTCCTCCAAACGCGCGCCGAGTAGAGGGAATTGTTGCTTTAAATCGACCCATGCCTGAACGATATTATCCTGTTGCAAGAGCGCAGTTTGCTCTGAGGTGAGTTCGATTTCAGCATAGTGAACGGTATCTGCGGTCCGATCGAAGATACTGTCCCAGTAAAAACCGCGTTCTGTCAAGCCTAGCAGGCGTTCATAGACAGGATTCTCGGCGGTCGATGTTGGTTGCAACTTCCACGGGCTCTGGGGGGAGAGGAGCATGGGCACTATGAGGGTGGTGTATGAGTCAGAAAGACCCTTTGAGTCAGGGGGATTGCGAATCTCTCGCGAAAGGTGCAACATGTGGACAGACTTCGGCTCCGGTCCGCTAACGCCGACTCAGATAAAAGTCGAATTATCGGAGACCTCTTCAAAGCTTCAAGTTTCAGCGCCACCATTCAACCACTTTTTTGTGGTCAAACTTTTAGTTTAAACTAGAGTATGTCACTCTTCCCTGTTTGAAGCTTATGCTGTTAACCTGACTGGCTCGTTGAGAATGTCCAAAATCGCTTTGTTTTACATAATTTCTGTGTTGGATTTGTTCATTTTGTTCGGTGCTGTCGAGCCATTGGATCCTCCCAACGTGCCCATACTCAAGCTTATGTTTGCTTCGTATTTCTGTACATGGAACTATAAAGGGGAAGATATTGTCCAAATGACAAAGAAACACGCCTACCGAGGGATGGTCAATTGATCACCCGTTTGATGACGTCCTCAATATCTTCATTTTGAGGTTGTTTTTAGTCAGTGGTGGCTGGAGTTACTTTGTTTCCTCCAATACAGCAGCGGAAGAAGAGCATTAGCCGAGGGCGGGCGCTTAGCCACCGCTTGGGTGCGAAGCGACGAAGCGCTCGTCCAAGCAACCAAGAAGAGGCAATTCCCCATCGACTCCATCTAACTCATTTATTAATGAAGCCCTTCTATACACGTTCATGCCTCGAATTAATCAATTATTTGACCCCTGTTGAACGTCGTTGGGGGCTGGGCGCTTCCATGATGATTGAATTCAAACCCCGGTTCAAGTCCGCTTCCCTTCATAAGGTCTCAGATGAAGGCTCTTCCGCTCTTTCAACCACACCGCCATCATCTACGATATTCGCCTCGCACAAGGGCTGCTGCTTTGGCAGCGTCGCTCTGCACTCGCGAGCTGGCACTAACCTGTCATCGCAGCCTGGCTTAACAGCTGTTGGTACTGTGAGAGGCAGGCCCACGCGCACCATGTGAGACACCTGGCCGCTTTCTTTTTCTGGCGCACATCGGGTCGTGAAAGCGACCTGGGGTCCTCGAGTCGTGTTTATCAGGCTCGTGGGCCTTTCTTCATCTGGCTTTGCCTCACCTTCGTCCGTCGAGTCAAGGTACACGGTTCCTCGGAATCTTGTCCTTCCCGTTGACGGATCTGCGTCTCTACAGTGCCTTCAACGAGGTCTTGTAGGACGTATGGTGGTAATATGTCCCCTACCACCATTGTTGCTGCTATCGGATTCTCATGCGGCCTTACCGCCGCGCATCCGCCCTCTCGCGAGAACGGCCTCGCACCTCAATACCTTTCGCTCCCGCTTGGCTTCGCACACCATGGGACGCTCCTACCTTTTCACTACATCTGCATATCATCTCTATGCATTCGCTCCCTTCAGGCCGTGCCTCGGGATGCCCCTCTGCCCCTGCGTTCCAGAATGCCCTCCTACGTTGCCTGTCAGCTCCCAGACGATTGATCACCGGCCGTGGGATGCTCTTCGATCATTTGCGCTTCTTGCCTCTCGTCATGGTATTCGTGCCCGGTCCGGTAGTGGTGGAGGGAGGATCTTCGAAGCGCTTCCCTCGTGGTGTGTCCGGGAGAGAGATCCGGTGTCTATCGCGGTGCGCTTTTTATCGTAGGCCGCGTAACTGAATCGCGCCCGTTCCTTCGGGAGCCAGCGTGGTTCGTTCCGTGGTGTGCCATCTTCGGACGGCAGATTCGTGGGTTCTGGTGTACCCCAATTTTTTCCTCCTGCTCATTCGTTGAGCGCCAATTACCTACTTCGCTGTATACTTCCGAACCAGGTAAGTACGAAGCAATACAACTTTCCTATTGGCTCTTAGTTACACCGTTATAAGGTTAGCTGCACCCTCTTCTCTGAACCCCTGCGGTGCTTCCTTGTTATTTCACGAAGGCAGGCCAGGATTATCTGGCGGACTTTCGTTGATTTTGTCTGTGACGCTTTATAACGCGATGGTTTTCATACAGATTGTAAGTTGGCTATTCATAATAAAATAATAATACATCCATTCGATAGCATAACGAAAGCGAAGTCAGAAAAGCAAAAAATCGACAGCGAAGATAATACGACAACAGGAAGATACATAGAAGAAGGAAATGACGTCGGAATGTGACGCGGGGGTAGTGTATTCCTACGCCTAGGCTCTCTTCTTCCTGGAGGTAGTCTCCGCGATCGTCTGGTGTCGGTTGCGGAGCTCGGTGATGCGGTTCGTGTCCTGGCCCCCAGCGGCAAGCAAACCCTCGACCTCATTCGTGATCACAGTGAGGACGTGCCTTTTCTGCGCGTCGCGCCGGCTGAACTTCTTTTCCCGGCCACAAGGGCACTCCAACTCGCTGCAACAAAACCTCTTCTTTTTGTGCGTCAACAAGTGGCGGGCCATGTCGCTTCCCCTCGTCATCTTCATTGGGCAGAATGGGCAGGAGAATCGCCGGGCCGGGGAGTCGTATGGCGTAAACCTAGACCTAATGCGCGGCTGCCGGCGCTGTAGCTCGACGTCTGCGATCTCCGAGAGCGTTGACTCCGGAGAGCCAGGAGGAGGGAGAGCAGGCTCCGCGGTGTCGTTGTATCCAGAACCACCCTCAGATTCATCGTCGACTTCATCTTCGCCTTCAACCGCGCCTTCGTCTTCAATCCCGTCTTGGACTTGGGTCTCAACGGCGGTTTCCTCCTCCAGAGGATATACGTCGGACGGCGCGATACCTGCGCTGGCGTCAAAGGTAAATTCGCTGAAATTCCCATGAGTGATAATTGAAACATTAGTATCAGGAAACACATACTTTTCCATAAAATTGACGCCCTCGATAGGCATCGGCAAAGTATTGACGAAAAGGTCGTCCCAAGCGGGTCTGCAAAAGCGCGGTTCAGAGCTCGGTCCACAAGGCAAAGCGAATAACACGTACGGGGCGACTTGCATGTCGGTGAAGGCATGCTCAGTGGCATAGGCGTTCCAGTTATCGGAAGAATGGTCGCTGAAATCCTCGTATAGCTGTGGTAAATATTCTGGGAAAGTGTACCAAGAGGCGGGAGGGAAGTAGGCCATCGTAGATGTTGTAAGGTAGTGGTGCGGTGGTGGTGGCAGTGCTGGAGGGGTAGAGGAAACTTGGGAGTCGCCAACGACGGGCCAGGACGCTCATATTTATATTCACTGGCCCTCGGACCCAATTACGAGTCCTGTCCAAGCGTTCGCCCAATCCCACTTCTCTCAGATCTTGACAACCCAACTCAGGAGCAGATCCAAGGCCCATCGGCCAAGCGCTCTACCTTGAATCCCATTGTTCATACGGAATTAATCCCCTTCTGGATGACCGTGACCGCGTTTGTTTCCCGGGCTCGGGGCTGTGAATGATACTCGCGCTTCGTTTGCTTTGACAGTACGGTCTCCCAGTTCTTATCCGATCTACCCGAGGGTTAGAATGCAGACAGCCTTGTTGCTTTATGCCCACACCTACCGCGCAGTCTTGTGATCCCACCCCTTAGTTGCACAGTGACCCCCCAGGTAGTCTGGGGCTCCAAGGCGGAAGGGAATCAATACTCTACTAGTAGGAAGTTTGTACACTTGAACGCGAATGTATCCTACTAATAGTGCGCGCTGTTGAATAAACTGTAAGTACCACTATTTCAAAAAAGTTAGGAGGGTTCCTCACCTCGACGAGGATGGTTTGGCGCTCGAGATCGCCCGAGCAAAGCGTCGATCATCGGGGCGAGGCTCCATGACTCATGTCAAATGTCAAATCTGTGGCCAGGGAAATTGGGAGATATCGGCGGGTCTTATTGTTCACTGTGCAACGCGTTTCCGTAACCCCGTCCTATCCAATGCTTTTTCTGGCCACCTCCCGAAGAGGTTCTCGAATTCCCTTAAATAGGAAATGTGGCTCTTTCGCGATCACGTGACATATATTGCGCGGTCTACGTGCCAAGGTTACCAAGGCAGCCAAGGTCAAAGCGAGGGCAAATCAAAGCAGAACCAGAGCAGAACCGGGCCAGGAGAAGTTATGACTCGATTCTCGGTCCACCGGGCGATCACTGCAGAGAAAAACGTAGAATTATGGCGAATGATACTACAATATTGAAGGCGCCACCACCGGGGGCCTTTTCTCTGAGCCGTTCTTAGCAACGCTCTCCCAAAATCTAAGCGTGGGAATGGCTGTGGTAAACGTGTTCAAGGCAAAACCCGAAAGGAAGACTTACGCGCATTGCTGCAGCAATGGAGTTGGCGTTTCGAGGACCCGCATCTCGGGTGCGCCGGTGTCCGTCTTATTGAACAGCATTGCGTTTGCACCCTTCCAGAGCGGCAACGCGGGTGTCATATCCGTAGGGCCACGCTTTTCGTTTGCGTTGAGAGCTATGGGAATCAAGGAAGGATGTATCGAACGCCTTATCGAAGGTCGGATCTGCGAACCGGGAACGCCGTTTGCATTTTGGAATGTGAAGTAATACGCGACATCCATTCCGTGTCCCCCGGGCGGGATTGCGAACTCGCCCTGATCGAAGTTAATAGAGTCCGGAAGACGGCCAGTTTGACGCGATCTCGTATCTTGAAGCCGTTCCTCCCGGAGGCTCGCAACATGGAGTATATTGGGCAGATAAAAATAGATGCACCGGAATTTGGGCTTGTCAACGGATTTACCGCAACTCGGAGTCAATACCATGGAACGTACATTCTCCCATTGTCGCAATTGCCTGGCCCAAGTTCGCTGCGAGGCCTGCTTGAGCGTACAATGCGGTGCCAATCGAGATCTGTGATTGGCCGACATTTGGGAAGAGCTGGGCCAAGATGCGCTTCCAGAGATGTAGCCGCCTCTATTCTCAGAGTATTAGACGGGTAATTCTGTGATAGATACCAGGACTTAACCGTGAATCCAAACTACAACAGGCATATCTTTCTTCTCACCATGGCTTCCTGGGATATGCACACTGTCGAAGGAAACGTAGCCGCCAGCAGGGTTCGGGAAAGTCCAAAAATAAATCTCTGTTCCTCTTCGCGGTCATGCTAGTTGCACCAATGCGAAATGGAGTCGCAGCCTGCACTCCCGTACCTGCCTCGAAGCACCTCTCAGGCGCACTACCAGCGACCTGTACCCCAGGCGTGCGCGCTGGCGCTCTAGGCGCAGCAAAGCGAAGAGAGGCAGCGGGCGGCGCCGCGTACCTCATGCCCAGGAACTAAGTGTTGGTGGTATTGGTCCGAGCATCGAGGAAAGGGACACCGACATACGTCGCGTCGCCCAAGTTCACTGTTGCGGCTGTCGAGGCAGCAATTATTAAGGTGAGGATAAAGCTTGATCCCAAGTAGTGTGTGCCTTCATGCTGCGGTATTTGTGGTCGTCCACCCTTCAAGTCTGGAGGTGTATATACCCTCTGGTTGCACTAATTCAGGCGTCTTGAGCGTAGCACAAAATGAAGATTGGGAGGAAACGGTCGCATAATGCACTGCAGGGAACCAAATTTAATCTTTCGGGGCAATTTTGCGGATTCGGTCAAATGAGAAGCCCATGTAAAGTCTGCGAGTGTATTGGTCACGAGCAGAGACAGTGAAAGGAGCGACACGGGTACCAGAACTAGAGATAGATGGGTACCTTTTGCTTCTGGGGCGCCGGAGTGGTTGTGGAGAAGGGCATCGGCACCAGGTTTGCGGTGGTCTGCGCGCTGATGAACACGTCCATCGTCAAGATGTTTTCGGGTCGGCACGTTTCCAGTAGGAGTGGCTACGCACCTAGGCACGGGAAGACCGATGCACGCTAAGTGAACGAACACGGCGTGCGACCATCCAGGGAAGCGCCGGTTACTGGAAGTAGCGAACCCACGAAACCTTTCGCGAAATCACATCCCTAAAAGGAACACCTCCCATAAAGACAAACGACGATCACCCTCGAACCACATCACAAAATCACATCACCCCCGACATCGTCTCGGAAGGGGTCGGTACCGACTCCCTCGCGCGCATGACCACCCGGTAGACCACCTCCAATCGCAGTGTACCGGAACGTGGAACTTCCCTTATCCCAGGCGCCCCACTCATGGTAAACAATAAACCGTTACCGGAGACAAGCTCGGAGTCGTTGTACTGTACCACCTTCCTCCTCCTGAGCTCACTATTCGCGTCTCCAATTCCATGCGCCTTGAAGAAATGCACTCAATGCTCACCGAGGTCACGCACTTCGTCCAAACGAAATCCAAGAGAATCAACAATATCATGGGCCAACGGCGAGAATTTACGAGGGCGAATCATCTTTTAAAACCTCTTCGACAAACTCAATCTCCCAATTCGCATGGGTCGCCAGATGATCTGTCCATTGGAATCCCTTGACGGCCCTGGAATTCACCGACCCGGAGAAAGTCAAGGACTTCGAGCCATGGAACGTGTCCTTTAACGAAGGTACTATCGCCGACAACTATATCGAAATTTCCTGGAACGGCGATTGCTGCCTGCTTGTGTCCAAGTGCACCAACGTTCCTCTGCATATCCTCAAAATCCTCAAAATCTCTGCATGCCTTATGTCTGTCGATGAAACAATTTCTATTCTCCGCTCATGCCCACAGCTTTCCTACGCCGAGCTTGCTACTGTCGACAACTCCGTTGAGCGAACGGCGAAGAGTAACATCAAGCACCGCGGAGTGCATCAGGTTGCGCTCCCACACCTGAGAAATCTGAGGATAGTGACAAACTAAAAGCTCGGGGATATTCTAGGAAGGATAACATGGAATGTCCTTTTCAGTTTAACTCTCATCATTGGTAGGGCTAGAGCGTCTCCCAAGAGTTCTTTCCAGTCTCGACAGGGTTCAACACCTGCCGTTGACACTGGAAGGACGTGTCAACAATCGCGATCAGGAAGAAATACGACGATTGATGACGAAGTACGCCTGTGAAGGCCTCCACCAATGAAATCGGTTAGATATGTTTTAGATGGCCTTTTTGTCATATGCCGCGGACTACTGAACATGAGGTAGAAACAAATACCTAGAATCCGTACATGGACAACGCTTTTTCATCGACTGGTCCTACGTCCTTCTCTGAATATAAACGAAAATCCGTCAACCTGGGGGAGCCAGAGGAAACGAGGTTTGCGATCATGCCGTCCGTCGTATTACACGTTGCGAGGGATAACGTTCCCAGAAGAGGCATGACTACATGGGATCCGTCTTCAACACAAGTGAGTGACGAAATGGTGGAGTCGGTTATGTTTCCAGACAAAGAAAGAGCCCTAAGGGACTGTAGAGAGGGAATATTAAGCAATGCCCCCAAGAATTCCTCTGGGACCTGCGGTCTTCGTAGTGAAGGCTTTCTAGTTGACAATTAGATTGTCGAAAGAAGCTATCGAGGACGGCGGATTCAAGGAAGAGGGGTTCACAGCAGGTCAAGGACCATAGGTCGAGGTCGCGGAGGGCAGGTACGGTGATATGACGAAACGTAAAGGAGATCGGAGCGTCTATCCGGAAGTAAAGGGTTTCGAGTTGCTCGAATGTGATGAGAGAGATGGGTAGGTTCGATTTCCAAGAAGAATGAGGGGAATGAGGGGATATTCTTGCTCGGAAGGACCGAAGATTCGGGAACAATTGCATAAAGCAGACCATGTCCTTTGCATCCAAGCCTGTCGTAATACGCAGTTCGATTGAAACTATCTGCTGGAAGGGCGAGTTTTCATATGCCAGTGTCTCCAAACTCCCTGTCCAGATGAGGTCGCAGAGGGATATCGACGTATAAAAGAAAGACCAGATGTCACGAAGGTAAGGTGTTGTCCAACCCGGGTGTCGATCATTGAAGTCAAAGGTGTTTGGAGACAATTCCTTGATCATAAAACTGGACTGACTCGAGCGTATTGCATCGGCGAGACTGTCGGAGGGCTTTCGCAAAATGGGGGAGTAGGTCGAATGGAAGGACAATGCGTGCCTTCTTCCAGAATGAGGGAGGTGAGGATGGCCCACGCAGGCGGTAGGTTGTCGAGGTGGGTGAGCGTTATGTCCAACGGTTGGTCAGCAGCCCGCTCGAGCCACAGATTGACGAGATACGCATGCGCATTGGTGGGTTGGAAATGGACATGGTTGACCATAGCGTGGGGAGGTTGATTGCGATGTTTCGCCAGTGGGAGCAAACTTGTCCAAGGTTCAGGGGATTCCGGACTGCCTTGTAGGAACGTGGGCCTGCGCGCGGGCGCTGTTTGTGAATCGTTGGTATAGAGGTTAAAGATATCACACAACAGTTCGACCGGGATACGGGATATCGGGGCAGTCGAGTAGGGGCTTTGGAGGTTTTGACAATCAACCAACAGCCTATTGGCTTTCTTGTTCCGAAGTGAGATTCGCGTGGACGACGTCACATCAGCGGTGCCTCCTGTAAAATAGTCAGTGAAGCGGCGAGTTCTAAACGCGAAGAGGCCTTACGTGCGGAGATGTTCTGCACGGCAGAAGACGAAGGCGATTGGAAGATATAAGGCATTTGGAGTGCGATGCGGGCCGGCGTAGACCATGTTCTAAAGAGTCGCAGGTGATCAGATATGAGTTATTACAAGGGCATACAAGGTAACCAGGTCGCGAAAGGACGGGTTACTTGGCCTCTTGCCATTTGTCGAGGTCTTCGAACCAGGTTGAGAACAAAGCCAAGGCCGCATGTCGTTTGTCGCAGCGGTCATTCACACGCCAAGTCCAATCCTCTGAAAGGTAACAGGGCTTCTGCAACTCGTCGTACGGAATATGGAATAAATTTCTACAATGAAGTAGGCACCCGAAATGAATAGTACAGAGAACTTAATACGAGCGAACCGTACACAATATTCAAGAGTCAGTTTTGTATTAAGCGCGCGCCACACCTTCAGTTCCAGTTCTGAAAGCGCCACCTGAGGGCTTCGAGCAACGCATTGAGGTCGGCGGCTCTAGCGACGTCACCAAATTCTCTAACCCTGCCACTTTCAATGCCGACTTGCTCGAGGACGTGAGCAAGTGCCTCCTGAAGAGTGGGAAACTGTTTTCCTTCTCCAGCGCACGCTTCGGCGGGGCAGCACAAATGCCTGCAGCAGAATGGGGTCATGTTGACGTGGTCCGCACGATGGTTCACATGACGCTTCATCGTCCCTTTGTGCGGTGAGATATAGTTGCACACCAGACAAGCGAAATATCTCTGGCCAATCGCAAGACTGGACAGCCCGTGTCGTAGGACGATTTGCTCCGTCGCGGTCTTCTGAGCATATTTTTGCAAGAATTCGTCGCGGAGTGGAATAAAGGAATATTCTGGATGTAGGAGCAGACGCGTGTACGACATTGACGAAGTGGCATCCTGGTTGAAAGCATTGTTCCCCTGCGAAACGACCTGGGGATTTTGTGATGAAAACTCGTGTGCTCCTGACCTGCAAAATTCTGAGTTTCGGTAATCTCCCGGATTACTTGTATACGAACCACAAAATGGTCCCTGCAGTGCTACTATCTTCTATGTGGTAGGTATTGGGCTGCAGAGGCCCATGCATGGGACCTGAGAGTAAGTTCTCTGATGAGCGTTCTTGATATGTGAAAACTAAACTTCATTATTCCACACTGACCATAATAGAAAGTGTTACTGATCATGGAAATGTCACTCCGCATAGTCGAGGAGTAACCATAATCAGCGAAGCTTCTTCAAAGAATTAAAACGAGCTTTCGAAGACGAAGAGCTGAAAAGCGGGACTAACGGGTATAGATATCGATTTCCTGCTTCTTGGTCCAGCGGCAAGGTCCATGTTCGTGGTGGATCGACGGGATATGTGCCAGAAGTGGAGGTCCACATATTGGAGAAAGGGAAGCTGGACATTGAGGACAAGTCAGAGATGGGAAGGTAGTCTAAGGACCTTCTTGAGGGTGCTTCAGTTGAATTGGAAAACAAAAGCCATGGCAATTTATAACCCTCTGCGCCTGTCGATTAAGCTTCTGGCCTAGTTACTCTGGACGCCCGTGTCCACTCACCCTCTCGTCAGAAACAGTCATCGGAGGTGTGAAGGTCGATTCGCTAGTAAGAATCCGTTGTTCGAGTTGGTCTAGTGCTCGAGTGCATTATGTTTCCTTGCCTTCGAGAACGTCCAAAAAGGGCCGCGTACGCCACAAAAAAGGAACATGCATTTGTTGGTTATGGATTTATGGATTTTCCGCGAAATGGTAACAGCCTGATTGCTGGTTATCGAATGTGCAGGTGTTACACTGCAGCGGGAGAAGCATTAGCAGTGGTGATACTTGAAGAGACGAAAGTGAGCGCCACAACACCCCAGATCTTGCAGATATTATTAATATACAAATCATCCGGGAGTCGATCGAGGGATAGATGAGCAAGTTATTGTGCTATGCTGCGGTGAAGGGTCAGCGTACCTATTGAGGGATCGGTGGTGACATGCCAGGACATGCCGCGTACCCGGGCATATGTGCAGGTGCTCGTCACTTGACTAGTAGTTACCCACTCATGCAATGAAAAAGTACCCACAGGCTGCTGGCACAGCAGAGATTCTGTGTCAACTAGCGCAACATATCGGCAAGTGACCTTGGGCACGAAAGTTGTATTAAAAAACATTGCATACCATGATGAGTACATTTACCGTTGACCTGCGTCCGGAGGGCGATTCTATATTCATGTCTTAGTGGGTTTAACTAGGGCCTACGCCACCTGCATAGGTGCGGTCAAAGCATTCGATTGGTTCACGTCTTCCTATGGTGGCTTGATGATCGTCCCTTGTCCTTCACTCGCGTCCACAGTGGCCAGAGATTAGCCAAGCAGGAATTCTCGCTCGTTCGTTATCCTTTCTTCTTCACTTCATTTCATTCGCTGTTCGCCGTTTGCTGTTCGACGTAACTCTCCTCCGACCGTTGAACATCCGTTCGAATCAATCGTAGCCCGAGTTTGCTTTTAGATAGATCTACTGCCCCCCGACATGACTGCAGGATGGTAGGAAGTCACCTTGAACTTAGGTCGAAAATCATCGATAATTCTGGAGATTCTTGCCTTTAAATCTGCTGGTAGCAGAGATCTAAGTTCTGAATCCTTAAATGAAGCGTTGGCCAGAAGGGACGGGAGAGTAACGCTTTCTTTGAGCTTTAAGTTTGAAATTTAACCATTGAACCAAGAAAGCGCTTGGAACTGTGATGTCATGAGCACGTGATGGGTCTAGACCATCCCAGAGACGGTCTCAAGGCGCGCAAAGTTCTGAAGGCTTGCAAATGAAACTCAGCGTCTCCTCCTTTCTTTCCGCTCTACCATCTCGACCTACTCTCCAGTTTCGCAAAGATCCTCACTTCTTCCTTTTTCGATAACGCGATGTCTTCGAGGCCGCCGACTTCACGGCGTGTATGGGTTCGTCGGACCAAGATGACCAAGTCTGGCCTTGTTTAGAGCTCTGCTTCCTGTTTGTTCTCCCTTCTTTGCCTCACCCTGCCGGGGCATCACTTCCGATGCCTTAAACTCAGCCAGCGGAGTAGGGTTCAAAACGAAACCCGCATTTCCCCTTTTCACCTTCCGCTTTTCTTGTGCTATGGTCTTCGTGGCTCAGTCCTGCTCGGGATAACGTCGCTCTGGGGACCTTGGGGTACTATCGTCGACGGCGCTCTACGGCCTGTTAAATGAGGAGCACGTGGTGGGAGTAGCCACGGAATGTTCTCGCACGTCCGGGAGTATCAAGCTGGGAATATACCTTGGCACCTTCTCTGCCTACGGACTCCGCATCGCTATTTCCCCCTCTATTTCTGCCCATCGCCAACCGCCATGGACATACCAGGAGCGAAAGAGCCACAGATACCGGAGCAAGTTGACGTAGCAAGTTTGCCTGAGAAAGTAGGTGATGGAGGGGTGGGGCCCGACGTCATCGATTTGAACTCTACACAATCGGGTATTTCTGAGAAAACGAAACAGGTACGTTCCCTGACCTTCTTCTTCTCCTCGATGACCAACGCGAGCAGCCCGACAAGGTAGACACGCAAATCGCCACAGATCCGACGCCTCTAGAACCTGCAGAAGCTACCCCAGCGACATCCACCTCAATCGCGCCAGAGATCCGGGACCCCAGCCCGACGGTGCCCGTCTTTCCTGTAGAAACCCCGCCACCGACACCAGACGTCCGTCAAAAACCCGCCATCTCCCGGTCAGCGTCCCCGCGACACACTCTCACCATGCCCACCCTTACCAACCTCGCTGAACTGACGCTACATTCGCCTTCGTCACAAATTGTCGGCACCCCATTTGCAACCAATTCGACACGGTTCGAGTACCCGTTCCCAGACAGCAGTTCGAATCCGTCGTCTGTCTCTGGCTCTCCACCTTCCACAAGTTCCGCAACGCTCACCAACTTCAACCACTCCATGTCGCCTGGCATCGTGTCCGGAAATCCCTTCAGTTCCCTGTCCTCTTCGCCCTCTGCCTCCCAAATCTCATACCCCCAGATAGAACCCCCGACGAGTGGCGTCACGCACCCGAAGCTCAAAGCACCTGCGACGAACCCACCTATCCCTCCGAGCCTCGTGAAGAAGCGTAAATG